CAGACACACCAGACCATAAGACGCACCTAGTTTTTGGAGGAGGAAAACAAGGAAAAAAATATTCTGAATCTCAGAAGCCAGAACAGCAAGAGGGATCGCTGCGCAGTGAAAGCAGCAATCCCTCTTGCTGTTCTGGCTTCTGGGATAGCCGTGCAGCCTGCATTCGCTCTATAAGACGCACACACATTTCCCCTTACTTTTTAGGAGGGAAAACATGAGTCTTATAGAGCAAAAAATACGGTATATAAGAACTGATCTATTTGTATTTCCTGTTCTAAAGGTTGGTCCTTAACTGATTCTACTCAATTAGATAATGTGAAAAGAGTTGTGTTTATATGATGTATAAAGAATTTATATACAGTGGTACCTTGGGTTACAGACGCTTCAGGTTACAGACACTTCAGGTTACAGACTCCGCTAACCCAGAAATAGTACCTCGGGTTAAGAACTTTACCTCAGGATGAGAACAGGAATTGTGCGGCGGCAGCGGGAGGCCCCATTAGCTAAAGTGGTACCTCAGGTTAAGAACAGTTTCAGGTTAAGAACGGACCCTCAGAACAAATTAAGTTCTTAACCCGAGGTACCACTGTAGTTAAACATTTGCCATCATTACTCTAGCAACTTAGTCTCTGCAATGACACGTAATGTTAGGAAACAAGAAGCAAATAGCTGTCCACCCCAGTCCCTGGGTTCATGTGATAGGAAAGGCAGTAAATATAAATAAATAAAGGCAGGAAGGAAGTATGTAACTCCCCATTTGAAAAAAAATCTATTCTCTTTCCAGGAATCTGTCAATCTTGATGCAGTATGGTTTGCACTATTGCAACATTGAAAAAAAAGGAAATAGAAAGACTTTGTGAATAGCTTCTTCCATTTAGATATCACCCACCCAATGCACACACAAAAAGCAGCAACAGACATACTTCAGGTTTGTGGGATCTATTATGTTGTTGTTGTTGTTGTTGTTATTACATGCACACATAATTTTGTGTGCCACCTTTCCACAGTTCAAAGCATGCTCAAGGCAGCTTGCAACATGAAAAAACACATTAACTACAACTTAACAAAAGTTGTCATAAACAGTAAGTCATAAACATTAAAAATTACACAACCAAGTTGGACAATCTCCACAAAAACCACAAGAAGATCTAAAGATACAGAAAACCAACAGCAACAACGTCCCTGCCAACAGCACTCCAGCCCAAGAGTCTGTTCAGCAACCTCAGTTTTTATAGGCCAGATGAGCTTCACAAACTGGAGCTAGGATTAGTGTTATATGCTCAAACTGCCTTGCCCCAGTGAGCAACCGGGCAACCCAATTCCACACTAACTGAAGTTTCAGAGGCAGTCCCATGTATGTGTTGCACTAATCTAACCCAGAAGTTACAGATAACAGAAATTAGGCTATCCCTGTCCAGATAGGGGTACAGCAGCTGGGCCACCAGCCAAGGCTGACGGAAGGCCTCAAGTAACAAAAGTGGATTTAGAAGCACAGTGGTACCTTGGTTTAAGAACAGTCTGGTATAAGAATGATTTGGTTTACAAACTCCGCAACAACGGAATCCGAACGGTGGAAGGGCACCGCCTCATTAGGGAAAGCGCGCCTTGGTTTAAGAACAGACTTCTGGAATGGATTAAGTTCGTAAACCAAGGTACCACTGTATTCCCAAGCTACGTACCCACTGCTTCAGAGGGTGTGGAACCCCTTCAAAGATACATGTTGGTCCACATTGGACTGATCAGCCACTATCAATCCCTACATTTGTTTGATGCCCCACAAGTACTTAAGTTGCTGGCAAGCTTCCTTCCTTGGTTTTGCTGCATGGAGAGCGATTGTGCAAGTGTCTCTGGCGCCAACTGGCTGGTGTCCATTACTTCATTAACTAGGTCCATGGCTCCACATCTTAATTACATGCTTCCTGAAAATATAAGTGTTATCTGTGCTCTGGTAACTTCTGGGTTATATTAGTGCAACACATACATGGAGCTGCCTCTGAAACCTTATTTCCCTCAATGGTTAACAATAACCATTTTCATCTCACTTCATCCTGTCAAATTTATAAACAAGGCCGCCAGCACCTCTCTCCCAGGCTCGATTAAGATGTGGCAAATTTGCACAGGAAGGGTATTGATTTTAAAATGTAACTTTCCATCAGTGACAGAACTCCACTTTCCTCCTTTAACAACATATTAAGATAGAGGGGTGTTTTAAAATAAAAGACACAGTGCTTGCCGTTTCAATCTAAGGAATACTAGGGTTTTGCCCCTGCTTTTCACTGCACTGTAGGTTTCAAATGGCCTAAATTAGATCAGAATCTGTTCTAAAGCCTTTGGACCAATTCCTTTTCACAAGAGGCTGCCTTACATTTCATTGTTTCAAAGCAAAACAAATATTTACAGCATCCAATAGTCTTTCTCTAGGTAAGTCAACTAGCTGTTTGTTTTTTAGTCTTTAAAATATGCTGCAATGCTGTTCATCATTGCTGCCTTTTTTGTTTTGGAACTGCTCCTATTTCCCCTTAAAGCTAGCAGAGGTAGAATAAAAACCAAAGTTTTAAGAAGGGGCTCCTGCCAAAAATACCTATTGATTTCTGACAAACTCTTATAAATTCAATGTTGCTTGTGCGACTTGCTTTCCTCCCTCTATGTGTGTGTGTGAGAAAGAGAGCACTCTAGTTTAAAAATAAACACAATTTCACACTTTGAAAGCGGTAGCATGGTGTCCTTTTCAATCTAATTTGTGTTCGCACATTATTAACAAGTATGGCTTGTTTATCTGGGATACAAAACTACCACTGGTTTATTTCTATGTAAAGTCAAGCCTGGATTATACCCAGCCATGGCTTCAGTTCTTCAGTTTTGACTGACCCAAAGTCCCTTTGCTGATTAAAAGTTAAGCTGCAGAAAGGAAAGGAAATAAATTACAAAGGAAACCTGTTTTTTTCCAGTTGTTCTTCACTTTAGACCATCAACAAACCTGGCTGTAACCTCAGGAATCTTGCAGTGCTGCAAACTAGACCTCTGTACGATTACATAAGACAATGGTAGTTTTGTATAACAACTTGTATAGAATTGCAGAACAGAATCTTCAATAGTCCAAGTCCTCTTGCCCCCCCTACAACAATACTCCCTTTTATTTGAGCATCTGAATTTCCCCCCAAGATACAGCTGGAAAAAATGGGGTGCTGACTGTATCCAAAATTCTCCGTTATCTTGGTTTTATCGTTTAAGACACAAGGGACTCAATGTTCAGATAGGATCCCCTCCCATCATTAAAAATCCAGTGTTAATATTGATATTAATAGAAACATTTTACACAAAACATTCCGTTTCAAGGGTTAAAAGCATATGTTCGTGCCAATCATTCTTTCTTGGCAAGAATGACAGCACTGAAAGATTTTGTTGATACACAGAGTACAAATTGGTGTTTTAAGAAATATCTGTAGGTCCTTCTTAAAAGTCAAGAAGCGATGTCTCACGTTTAAGTATTTTGCATTCACTGAGCACACTGAACTGGTGGAAGTCCATGTTTGTCCAGATATTAGCTTCAAGATCTATGAAAAAAGCTGTTTCCTTCAATCATGGCTGGAGTTAAACCCCATTTCCTCCAAAAAGAATGCCTGCTTCAGTGTGTTACACTAACCACAAATTTACTGGGTACGCAGTCTACAGTTCCCATCACGCCCGATCCTCTGGTGAGGAGCTGGAAGTCCAAACAGCATCTTCAGGTTCCCCATTCCCGCTTTAAACTATTAATACGACTGTAAACTTGCTTTTTCTGAATGTGTATAGAACACACAACATTGCCGCGTTCCTCAGTTCATGCTGCCAGCTTCCATGAAACGAGACAATACATAGCCGATCAAATGTGAGAAAACCACACAGGATGTATGTCTTCACATATGATTCAGCGGTTAAGACGACAGCTACATAATACAACTAGCATTCTGGGTCTACTCCTCAAAAACGCTCAAGACAATTTCTATTAGCTATGGGCATTAAGCGGAACAGTACAGCAGAAAACTCCCGGCAGTAATAAAAAGAGTTGAATATGAAGGAATATGAGTGTAATCCAGCAGTCCAAGGCTGCACGCCTAACGTCACTTACCTGAGAGTAAACCCCACTGAATTCAACAGGACTTAACTTCTGAGTAGACGAGGATAGTGCTGCAAGATTTCAAACATGGGTGTCTAAAGTTAAAAAATAAGCCTGAACTATGGACTCATTCAACTGGATCCAATCTTGTGCTCAGAGGAAGGAGAGGAGAGGTGATCTTTGCCAATTCCTCCTGCAGATCATTGTGCTCTTTCCGCCCCGCCCCCAAAAGCTGTTATGGAGGACCAGGGAACCATCTGGGACAACACAAGAGGTAGTGCTGGGATCTGGAGGGAGGGGGAACTGGCAAAAATCCCCCCTCTTCCTCTAGTGAGGAACTTCTCCAGGATCCTGCCATGAACTAAAGAAACCCTTCATTTCCTAGGTCTCATATCTTTCAGCCTCCGTTCCCCACTATGGAATGGCTTTTGTTGTTGTTTAGTCGTGTCCGACTCTTCGTGACCCCATGGACCAGAGCACGCCAGGCACTCCTGTCTTCCACTGCCTCCCGGAGTGAAATGGCTAGGGGCGAGTAAAAAGCTAAACATTATACAGCAATCGGCAACTTTTCTGCAGGGCTATAAAATGCTGAATGCTTAGTACAGGCTGATGACTAATTTTCCAAGTCCAGCCAAATAATGAAAGCTCACCAAGACACAGTTACATAACAACATAACACTTCCATGGTGTTTTAAAAGCAGAGATAGAGGGTATAGATGAGATCTCTCATAGCTCTGTCCAAGGGCACATATGGGAATCGAGTAAATGATTCTTCTTTCCTTAGAGCAGAGACCTTTTTTTTGTTACTGTCAAAGTACCATGTGCATTGCGCTGCATAAAAAGTAATTAACACACTACAACATTTTCTGTTTTTTATTAATTCCAAAAGATTGCATACCAGATACATGGTTCCATATGCATGTACAGTTCATACTATTACATCCATTCTCCTTATGCTTCATATAGCTCACCAAACAAGTGTAAAAAAAATGCTTTGATTAAAACAAGTGTTCCAAAAGCACACAAACCAATTCCAGTTTGCTAAAAAAAAAAAAAAAACCACAACAATCTCAAACGTCCCTTCCTTTCTTTCAGGATATTTAACAACGTGTCAACTTTGCAAATGGCCCAACTGCACTGGCTGCCAATTAGTTTCTGGGCTCAATTCAAAGGGCTGGTTTTGACCTATAAAGCCTTAAGCATCTCAGGACTGAAATACTGTATTTTTTCGCTTTATAAGACGCACCAGACCACAAGACGCACCTAGTTTTTGGAGGAGGAAAACAAGAAAAAAAATATTCTGAATCTCAGAAGCCAGAACAGCAAGAGGGATCGCTGCGCAGTGAAAGCAGCAATCCCTCTTGCTGTTCTGGCTTCTGGGATATCTGCGCAGCCTGCATTCGCTCCGTAAGTCGCACACACATTTCCCCTTACTTTTTAGGAGGGAAAAAGTGAGTCTTATAGAGCAAAAAATACGGTACCTAAAGGACTGCCTCTCCCCATAGGAACCCATCTGGACCCTGAGGCTCTTCTTTGTGTGCCTTTGTGTCCAGAAGTTGGCAACGTGAGAATGGGGCCTTCTCTGCAGTGGCTCCCCGTTTGTCGAATGCTCTCCCTGGGAAGGATTGCCTGATGCCTTCATTATACACCTTTAAGGCACCAGGCAAAACGTTCGTCTTCAACCAGGCCTTCGGCTGATTAACTTCCTTTATCTGTTTAAGTGTATTTGTGGGAAGGGGTGGGGTTAGGGTTTTGCTTTCTTCTTCCCACAATAACGTTCTTACTCCCCTTTCCAGCTTTACTTCTATGCATTCATTCCTTACCTCCTACCAACCTGTTGGCCAATCCGAAGGGCAGGAGAGCTCAGTTCAACTTTCTCTTTCCCGTAATTGTTTTAAATAATAATAATAATAATAATAATAATAATAATAATAATAATTTATTATTTATACCCCGCCCATCTGGCTGGGCTTCCCCAGCCACTCTGGGCGGCTTCCAACAAAATATTAAAATGCCATAATACATCAAACATTAAAAACGTCCCTAAACAGGGCTGCCTTCAGATGTCTTCTAAAAGTCTGGTAGTTGTTGTTCTCCTTGACATCTGGTGGGAGGGCGTTCCACAGGGCGGGCGCCACTACCAAGAAGGCCCTCTGCCTGGTTCCCTGTAACCTCACTTCTCACAGTGAGGGAACCACCAGAAGGCCCTCGGTGCTGGACCTCAGTGTCTGGGCAGAACGATGGAGGTGGAGACGCTCCTTCAGATATACTGGACCAAGGCCGTTTTGGTCTCCTCCTCTTCCTCCTTCCCCTCTTTTAGTCTTGAAGTTTCATTTCCCCTTTGGTCTCTTTTTCTCCACTTTTAGTCTTCAGCTTTCCCCACCCCACCTTCACTGTCAAAATCCTGACCCAAACCTTTGGCCCTCCAGCAATCTTTTGAATCTCCTGGTCGGGACAGTAATTAAAAAGCAATTGCTTTCCACCAATGAACAGTACACAAAAGCAGCCGAAACAGTTTCATTCACAGAATCACAGAATTGTAGAGTTGGAAGGGACTACGAGGCTCAACTAGCCCCTGCAATGTAGAAATTCCTTCCCAATGAGTGTGCAAAAGGCAAGTCACAAACACACACGCACTTCTGGGTTGTGTCCAATTCACACCGGCATATGCAGAAATGGTAAATAAAGTGTTTCTGCTCAAATGTTTTCCTGGTTTTTGAGGACGTTTGAGAGGAAATGCCTGCTCAGGCTAAGAGTTGTGTTTACCTGCAGCATTTTCTTGCCTACTCTTGAGTCAGCTCCCCTTGTTTTTGGAACTTGCCTTGAATCCAGACCCTATGGATCTTCACCTTCTTCTTCCTGTTTACTTGCAGACGTCGATCGAGCAGGTTCTGCACTTCGGTTAAGCCCGCCGAAGAGAAAATGCTGTGTATTTCATCTGTGTTTTGTAAAATAAATAGCCAAGTTACACTCATTTAAAACAGGGCAATAATAATAATAATAATAATAATAATAATAATAAAAGATCTATGTAGGATGCTGCTAACAAAGTCACGGATTACAGCAGGAGTAAAATTGCACCCTCAGGATCTCCAGGCACTGCAGGATTTCTTTACGTTCCATGTCTTGTGTTGCAGCGGATCGACTTTTCGTTTATAATAATAACAATTTATTACTTATACCCCACCCATCTGGCTGGGTTTTCCCAGCCACTCTGGGTGGCTCCCAACAGAATAATAATAATAATAATAATAATAATAATAATGTGATAAAACATCAAGCATTAAAAACTTCTCTAAACAGGGCTGCCTTCAGATGTCTTCTAAAAGTCAGATAGTTGTTTATTTCCTTGACATCTGGTGGGAGGGTGTTCCACAGGGCGGGTGCCACTACCGAGAAGGCCCTCTGCCTGGTTCCTTGTTTCGTTATCATTTCACACACCCAGCAGCCAAAGGAAGAGCAGGAGACACTCTTCAGTCCTTGACAATTCTGGCATGGAAAACGCCAGGTCCATGCCAAATGTGCGTCTACAGGCCCAGAGTCATGTTGCAGCATTTGAGCGAGCACCTGCCAAAGTTCCTTTACTTTCAGAAGCTTGGGGTCTAGGTTTCCAGAGTATACAGAGGTCACAGGGAACCAGGCAGAGGGCCTTCTCGGTAGTGGCGCCCGCCCTGTGGAACGCCCTCGCATCAGATGTCAAGGAAATAAACAACTATCTGATTTTTAGACGACATCTGAAGGCAGCCCTGTTTAGGGAATTTTTTTAATGTTTGATGTTTTATCGTGTTTTTAATATTCTGTTGGGAGCCGCCCAGAGTGGCTGGGGAGGCCCAGCCAAATGGCCGGGTTATAAGTAGTAAGTACAGTGGTACCTCGGGTTACATACGCTTCAGGTTACATTTGCTTCAGATTACAGACTCCGCTAACCCAGAAATATTACCTCAGGTTAAGAACTTTGCTTCAGGATGAGAACAGAAATCGTGCAGCGGTGGCGCAGCGGCAGCAGGAGGCCCCATTAGCTAAAGTGGTACCTCAGGTTAAGAACAGTTTCAGGTTAAGAATGGACCTCCAGAACGAATTAAGTTCTTAACCCGAGGTACCACTGTAAAAATCATCATCATCATCATCATCATCATCATGCTTTATCCATTATCATCATCCTTCGTGAGCTTTCTAAGTGGCTGGAAACAACTAGGGCTGGGTGTGGCGATCACACAGGGTCCCTGGACGTTTCACCGTCTATTGATCCCTGTGCCACCACTTTATTTCTCCCTGCCACCACCCAGGCCTTACCCGGTAAAATACTGAGTCCAGTCAGGGTTAAATTGGAACATAAACTTCTGTTTATTTATTGCAGTTTAACAAGTGTGTGGTTTCAATTACAATTACAATTACAATCAAGGGGTGCCTATCCAGACCTATAACTTCTGCTACCTGGTCTCACTCACTAAACCACCTCTCAGATTTTTACTTGTCTTCCTAGCTCCTAACTGTTCCTGACTCAGCTTATTTCGCTACACTAACTCACACTCTATCCCAATTCACTCCCACTCCAACCAACCACCCAACTCCCAACAAACAACTCCTCTTCGCCCCTCCCAGAGCTGGTTTTATAGTCCCTCTGACTCCACCCCCCTGGGTTCTGATTGGGTAACCTGTTTAACTATTTCACCTCCAGCACTAGGTGATACCAGCTTTTCAACATCACGATGTATCACCACCTAAACATCACGATATAGCGATACATCGTGATGTTGAAAAGGAAGGAGCATCATTTGGCGCCGGGGGGAAGCCAAACCGCCTCAGAGGCAGCTTCCTCCTCCACCAGTGGCTGGCACAGGGAGGAATTAGGCAGCCAGAGAAGGTAAGGCAAGCTCCACCTGTGATATATCTCTGGAGGAATGCGCCATCTTGTTCTGGCCCTCAAACCGGTCTAGGAAGACGTATTGATCCATGGCCTAGGCCTAGAAACAACACTGTCCCCCTGGCTCCTTGTACAGCATGTCTGCTCCTGATTTGAGTACTCCTTTGTTGCTGTGTTGTACCATGCCTGAACCCTCTGTCACCTGACCTCGTCTCTGGATCATGTTTTGGACTTAGACTGGTTATCTGTGCTGCACTGCACCTTGAACCCTGCTCCCCCTAAGTGAGTGTTTCGCTAAGAGGCTTATACCTCCTGGGACTGCGACCCAAGCTTCTGAGGGCACCCCCTGGAGGGCAATGAGCAGGGAGGGAGGGCAGTGCCATCACCTGCCTAATCTGCGGCAGCCACAGCTTCAACTGCTCACAAACGCCAGTGAAAGGGTTTGCAGGCAAATGTTTGCATTAGAGCATGGCCTTGTCAGGTATGCAAGCAACAAGGTAGTCAAAGATGTCTAGGTCCGCCTAGAAGAGCATGCCACTTCCTGGATTTGATCTCTCACAAAGCAGGAAGCGGTACCTACTCAGGCTACCTGGCAAGCTCTGAAATTCCTAATTCAAGAGGAGTAAGTTGAAGCAACCATTTCTATCCTCCCAGCTATATGATATTCAGCTATATATTCAGTTTAAGTGAAGAGTAGACCTGGTTGGGCACAAAAATGGAAGCAAGAAGAATTACCTACGAAAGAAGAATGGCGGACGAAATTAATGGACTATGCAGAATTAGATAAATTAACAGGAAGGATTCAAAACCTGCAGGACCAGAGATTCTTAGAAGACTGGAGTAAATATATGAACTATTTGAAAAGCAACTGTAATGAACAGATTACGCTAGTAGGACTGCAAGAGGGTCTGTAAGGAGGATTATATGAAATATTGCAAGAAAGACTATGAGGAGAATTATTAGTTAATGATAATTAAGAGTAATAGAGAAATTAAGAAATGCAGAATAAGTGATAAAGAATGGAAAATCATCAGAGGTTGTTGACGGAAGTCTAAAATGTTGTATAAGATAAGAAGTTATGTTAAATGACTGTTGGAAATGATATGTTAAAAAATCAATAAAAATGTATACATATAAAAAATAGTAGACCTGGTTGATATTACAATTAACTGTCTGGAACCGGTATGAGATTCAAACCGCGATACCCGTTTCAGACATTTTGAGCTGGCGATATATATTTCTTTTTTTAATTTTTATTTATGATTTTCAGTGTTAGACATTTCAATAATTTTGCAGTCATTTTAACATTTCAAAACTCGACTTCCCCTTTTCCTGTGGTTCCTTAAATTTATTTTTTATATTTTCCGTATACAGTCGTACCATGGAAGTCGAACGGAATCCGTTCTGGAAGTCCATTTGACTTCCGAAACGTTTGGAAACCAAAGCACGGCTTCTGATTCGCTGCAGGTAGCTCCTGCAGCCAATCTGAAGCCGCGGAAGCCCCGTCAGAAGCAAAAATCGTTTGTAAATCAGAACAGTCACTCCGGCATTTGGGAACCAAAATGTTTGAGAACTGAGCTGTTCCAAAACCAAGGTACGACTGTATACCAAATTAACTTAATCATTAATTCATCTACTTTAAATGTATACTCATATAAAACTGCAGGTTATTACAATAATCCTGCCAATATTCTTTTCTGTTTACAGATTGTCTGCAAATATTCAGTAGATAATTTCCATTTTTTAAATAAAAAGTTTGTTAACTTGATTTCTTATTTTTCTGGTGAGTTTCACCATTTCTGGTGAGTTTCACCCAAAAGGAAGCTGGGATATATCATGGCTCAGTGGCTTTCACCAGCATAATAAAATAATAATAATAATAATAATAATAATAATAATAATGAATTTATACCCCGCCCATCTGGCTGGGCTTCCCCAGCCACTCTGGGCGGCTTCCAACAAAATATTAAAATACCGTAATATATCAAACATTAAAAACGTCCCTAAACAGGGCTGCCTTCAGATGTCTTCTAAAAGTCAGATAGTTGTTTATTTTCTTGACATCTGATGGGAGGGTGGTCCACAGGGCAGGCGCCACTCCCGAGAAGGCCCTCTGCCTAGTTCCCTGTAACCTCACTTCTCGCAGTGAGGGAACCGCCAGAAGGCTCTCAGCGCTGGACCTTAGTGTCCGTGCTGAACATTGGGGGTGGAGATGCTCCTTCAGGGATACTGGGCCTTCAGGTATACACAGGTATACACAGCACACCTCACTCGTGTCTGCCTGCCTGCGCTGCCACTGGCAACTGGGAAGCCCTGACATATCACCAGCTCCTCAGCTGATCTGTCATGATCTTGAAAGCCAGATATCGCCCAGCCCTAGTTAAGAGTATGTCAGGGATGGAACACTCTCCCGCTTTCTTGCTGTTCTGAAAGCCAAGCAGCGGACGCTAACCCTACAAGGCGGGGGAAAGGAGACACATTTCACGGCGCCACATGAATTTCATTACAGAATCTCATGCCCGGTGGTGTACGAAAACTCATCAGTCACACCAAAGTTGAAAGCCCTCTTTGCAGGCGCCCGTTCTCCTCTCCCCTCCCAAAGCTTTCACAGTTAATAGAAAATATTATGGGAAGCAAATGTGAGTTTGGTCACATCTCATAATCCAGAAGAGAAAGACCTCTGTGGGAATGATTTAAAAGCACACACACGCCGAAACGCCAGCTAATTCAGAGTTAATTAAGCATGACAGACAGGGGCCTAGGACAGGACTCCACAGAAAGAAAAGGGATCTCGTGCCAAGTTGAAGCCTCTTCCCCTGTCGATGCAGACATCCGTGTGTGCCCCACAGTGTGTGCCCCACACTGCTGTAAGACCCCCCAGAACAACCGGACAAACCACCACATGGAATTAAAATACTGCTCTCAACAATGTGCTGCGCTGCAACTTCTACTCTCCTCCCAAACCGTTATTTTGAATGCAATAGTTGTATCCTACTGGAAGAATCCCATTATTATATATAGTGTTTCTCTCAAAATGGTTCATGCAATAATACAACATTTTAAGTGCAAATTATCAACTGGCTTTCAGGATCACACCTGAGCTGTTGTGAGGAAAAGGTTTCCACAAACAGCCCACATTTGGCTGAGCTTTCTCCTCATGTTCAACCGAAATCCACCCACCTGTAATCGATTATTTTATTTTATTGAGCCTAATTTAACTGAGTCTGCATACACGCCATACATTTAAGCATGTGGCTTCCCCTAAAAAAAATTCTGGGACTTGTGATTGACACCCTCACAGAGCTATAATTCCCAAATGAGAGTTCCCAGGATTCTTTGGAATGATGTGTGTGCTTTAAATGTATGGCAGCCCTGATCTCATTGGAGATCAGCGGAGAATAAGGTTTTGCCCTTTGTCCTGAAGAGCAAATGTTCCTAAACCAAAGTGGGGCTTGGAATAAATCCATGAAGAGAGATTATCTCTCTGAGGTAAAATGGCACTCCTCAAGCACAGTGCTGGCCCAAATACCTTTTGTGAAGAAATAAGCTCTGGTGCCGTCGCCTCTTACGTAGAAGTTCTCCGACAAGCAGCGGCCTAATAGGAGAAAAGGAAGGCTAGATTATTGCATCCCTACTGAGGACTCACAACAAGTAGACAAACAAAGCAACTGTCTCTTTGAGAAGCACCTTTTTTGAAACGAAGCTGAGAAGCGTCGTATCTTCCATAGTCCCGAAAAAGAATCATTCCTCCAGGTTTCAATAATCTGGCCAGCCTGTTTACAACTCCTTGGATCCTGTGAAAATAGAATAGCCAGCCACACACACACACACACACACACACCATCAGGGTGTAATTCAAAAACACAAAACACTAGCTTGCCCCTGACAACACATCCCTCTAAGTGGCATGTCTGCCTTATGAATATATAGCTTTTCCTTCCAAAAGGCGCCTTTACATAATTTTATTTTGATATGTCTACAAAACCTACTTCTGCTTATTTTATTCTAACTGCAATAACATGACTTGCAAAGTTTTTGTTCTTTTTTTTGTCTTGTTTGCATGTTGTATACGCTCAACATTTCTTTGATGAAAATAAGGACATCTTATTCCATAGTAGTAGTAGTAATAATAATATTAATAATAATAATCTGCTAACAATAATAATACTCTACCCATCTGACTGAGTTGCCCCAGCCACTCTGGGCAGCTTCCAACATATATAAAAACGTAACAAAACATTAAACATTTAAAAACATCCCTATACAGGGCTGCCTTCAAATGTCTTCTAAAGATTGTATAGTTACTTATCTCCTTGGCTCGGCAGTTGCATAACCCCATACCCTCTTAACATTTCTCCGATGAAACCTAGGGACATCCTAAGGAAAAATGGGGCATTCCAGGATCAAATCAGAAACCGGGACAGCTTCTCTAAATCCAGGGCTGTCCCTGGAAAATAGGGACACTGAGGGTCTAATGATTTGGTTTTTGAAAACTCAATAAAAAAAACATTCATCTTGATTCGTTTGCACAAAGTTTGTGGGGAGATTACAGGACATTGTGTCCAGCAATTGTCACTCCACACTTCAGAATGTAATTTCCTTCCACTTTCCTTATCACAGAAAGTTCAGTGTGGGGTGAACTCAAGAGAACCAAAGCATTTTGAATTCCACAACCTGAATTTGCCAGGGCGTGACTGAACCCTACCCATAAAACAGTGACAGGCTGTAAGTGCCCTAAAAACTAATCAGTTAATAATTTAAATGCTGAATGAAGGTTCTTACATGAGAAGAACCCTTGTGGCCTTTTGCACGTTGCCCGCTAAAAAAATTATTTGCCTTTTCCTCACCCCCACCCCAAACCAAGATCAATATTTTTTATTAAGAGGCACTTGTTCGGGGGAATTTCTTTAAATATTTAGGAAGATTAGAACAAACAACTATCTTTTAGTGCTTTAACCTTTGGAATTAGGATAATACTAAGATAAGGTGAGTGGCGAGAAAAAGAACAACAGTGATTTTAGGATACAAACTGCAGCTCGGACCTAATTTTGGCATACTTATTCGGCAACCAGTTTCACTGATTTCAGTGGAACATACATGTTTATTCAAAACACTTAAATACATTGTTACACACTGTTCACCTCACAATGTTATCAAAAGTGGAATTATTACAATCAGGATAAATGTTTGTTGGTTTGTTTTTTGATTATCTTTTTTTCTATTTGTTTATTATAAATCTGGAAAACTAAAAAATTTGGAAAAATAAATAAAACAAAACACTTAAATACAGCCTTTTGCAGTATTAGAATTGAGGGATATTAATCACAGCAGCCTTCGTCAGATTACCTGACGGTGAGGGAACAAAACAGGACGATCTACAAAGGCTAATGGTGGAAATTTGCACAGAAAACCTGAAGGTTTGCGGCTTAAGAGTTAGCAAAAGGTGCAGGGAAGAGATATTTCTTCCCTTTCCCCACCCGGGCTTGGCAAAGTATTCTTTTGCCTATGACTCATCACCCGCTTGCCTCCCGAACAAACAGGAAGAAATGAGGGAAATGCGATTTTCTCTGAAAGCAAATCAGAAAGCTCAGCTGTTTGGAGAACAAAGCTGGGAATATCTTTGGTGCATGAAGGTGGCCATTTGGATTTCGCCGGTTTCATTTCAATTTTTTTTTCCCAAGGGGAAAAGAAGAAGTCATTTGTAATATTTTGGAAAGACCCGCCATCTTTAATAGGCATGCATTTTGCCAAAGAAGCCTCTTCTGAGGGAGACAAGGGGCCTCATTAGTGAAGCGCTCTTTTGACCGGCTCTCGCTGTGAACGGGAGAGGATTGGGATTTTAAATGCCCAGCGTGCAAGTGCATCGGAGGACTCTTCAGTAATAAATTCACCCTCTCTCTAAAGATAGCCCTGAAAGCCACTCCAGATGAAGAGAGACATTTACTGCGTTTGGCTCTGTCCCCCACCTTTCCCAGCCCTCATTTACCTGTCAGGGTGAACGGAAGATAGCACAAAGATGAGGAGAATGACATCCAGACTGTCATCTGGGAAAGGGTAGGGCGAGGCATCATCACACACGTCGTGAACAAAGGCAAAACACCGGGAGGAATCGATGAGTGGATGCGACTGTTAACAAGTCCCCCCCAATCCGAAAGAACAAACAGAGAGACTCTCAAACTACTTAGAATCTGTTTCCTGTAACACAGAAACGCTCCCCTCAAAATCCCTCCTCCTCAGCAATTCAGATTTCGGAAAAGGGAAAAAAAACAACCCACCCCATTTCTAAGGACCAGTTTATACAAAAACCAGATATAAAGCTCTCACCAAATTACCACACTGTTCCGTGTACAGTCATACCTAGGGTTACAGATGCTGCAGGTTGTGTTTTTTCGGGTTACGGACGCGCGGAAAACCGGAAGTACCGGAATGGGTTACTTCCGGGTTCCGGCGGTCGCGCATGCGCAGAAGCGCTAAATCAGACTTTGCGCATGCGCAGGAGACCAAATCGCAACCTGCGGATCACGTTCGCAACACGAGCATCCACGGTATAACACACCCCCATGTATAAGACGCCCCCTATTTTGGGGGACTAAAAATTTAGAAAATGGGAGATTGCCCTGAGCTTTTTTAATATCACTCTCCCGCATGGCCGATGCTAACACTCGTGTTATAATCTCGTGGTATAATCTTAATATTTACAACCAGATGAAGGATTCATTTTTGGAATAATAAATTTTCAGAGTAGTTTTTACAGTTATATCAAAAATTACTGATTTGGTTATACTATTAGAAATACATAGACCGTTAATTATGAAATTATTGTGCGGTTTAATAAGTTAACTGTTTATATTTGGACAACTTTTCCGCTGTACTTTATCAGAAAAAGTAAAATAATCCTTTCCTTAACAACAATTTAAACAATTTGTTCAACTAAAACAATAACATTATAGCATGCTTGTTAACTGATGTGGTTAAACATTTTTATTTTTATAAAAAACTTAGACTGAGTTTTAGCACATATGAAAAACTTAAAACAAACCCTTATTTCCTGACGAATAGCCTTTGCATTATAATGTAACTTAAACAGAAAACTATCTTTAGAAAGATTTTTCCTCTAAAAGCAGTTTATTTTAAAAATCCAGTTTAATTTAAAAATCTGGTTTTTTTATTTTCGTTATGTGAATGGTGCTGCCATATGCTCCAACAGGTACCAGCCCAAACCCGGACATGCATCTTCCGGGCCACACTAATCACAAAAATGGGATGTCCCAGACAGTTGGCAGGTATGTGCCATGGACCCCCCTTGGTGTGGGGGAACCACCTCTAGAGCAGGGGTCAACAACCTTTTTCAGCTGTGGGCCGGTCCACTGTCCCTCAGACCATGTGGTGGGCCGGACTATATTTTGGAGGGAAAAAAGTGAACGAATTCCTATGCCCCACAAGTAACCCAGAGATGCATTTTAAATAAAAGGACACATTCTACTCAAGTAAAAACACACACTGATTCCCGGACCATCCGCAAGCCGGATTGAGAAAGTGACTGGGCCGCATCCGGTCCCCGGGCCTTAGGTTGCCTGCCCCTGATCTAGAGGTTAGCACCACACCTGAGAAAACCCTGCTCCACACTACCACACCAGTCAGCAGAAGCAGATGGGGACCTCTGATTTTGAATGATGCAAGTATGGAATAATATCTGGGAGGAAGCACACCTCTAGGTACCAAGCTCTCAAATCCTCTCTAGGGCATCATCTGGAAGCACCCACTAGCCAGGAAAGCGTATGAACCAGTTCCACATGCACTACTTCATTGGAAAAGGAACTATAATTCCAAACTGTTGCAGTCTTTGAGCTCTATATCGGTACTGATGCCTATTTCACTGGCTGGCGAACCCAAGGATTGAAGGATGCTCTCGCAAACGAATTGCCACGTTTTAAATACCTTGATGAGCTCCACCGCTTCTGAAGCAAAATCGCAGCAATACAGAAAGACTCCGGGATGGTGACTGGAGAAAGAAACAAGGGAAATATCAGCCCCATTAATTGCTTTTGTGAAGCGATTTTCGCCGGGGATCCATCTGCAGGCATAATCAGATCACCTAAACCCAGTTCTTGGGAGATGTGGAAAGGGCAAAGGCAGAGGGAAGCGAACGGGAAAGTTGAGGGTGGAGGTGGTTAAACGTCTTGTTGGGAAATTAATAATAATAATAATAATAATAATAATAAATTTTATTTATATCCCGCCCTCCCCAGCCGAAGCCGGGCTCAGGGCGGCTAACAACAATAAAACAGTACAAAAGTACAGCATAAACAACATTCTAAAATCATTCATTATAAAATTAATTAATTCAAGCCACTGGCAACCATTGGGCCAGAGCTCCGCGAAGATTGCCGAGGGAGGGAGTCAGGCTGTGCCCTGGCCAAAGGCCTGGTGGAACAGCTCTGTCTCGCAGGCCCAGCGAAACGCTTACTTTTCCAGGACTCCATCCCTACTAGGCCATTGCTTTGTCTGTGACGAAGCTGCATTTGGTAGCCGTTGCACAATATTATAAAAGGTAAAGGGACCCCTGACCATTAGGTCCAGTTGTGACTGACTCAAGGGTTACGGTGCTCATCTCGCTTTATTGGCCAAGGGAGCCGGCGTACAGCTTCCGGGTCATGTGGCCAGCATGACTAAGCCGCTTCTGGTGAACCACAGCAGCGCACGGAAACGCCGTTTACCTTCCCGCCGGAGTGGTACCTATTTATCTACTTGCACTTTGACGTGCTTTCGAACTGCTAGGTTTGCAGGAGCAGGGACCGGGCAACGGGAGCTCACCTTGTCGCGGGGATTCGAACCACCGTCCTTCTGATCGGCAAGTCCTAGGCTCTGTGGTTTAACCCACAGCGCCACCTGCGTCCCTGCGCAATATTATAGAACTGAGCAAAAAGGAAAGGGATGTAGCTACAAGAGACCTTTCGATCCCACTTGCTAGTATCATAAGGGAATGTGGTCCTCCAACAGCAGTCCCAGCGCAAACTGTCTCTGTTCAATTTCTGAATGAAAAACGCAGGCTGGCTCCGATACAGGGGTAGCTTCTTCCCCCACCTCCATCCGCTACAGAGCCAGCTCCAAACTCCCTTGTGTATTTAAGATTATCAGACACCAAGGACATAAGGCAGCATTCCCCAGGACAGTTGTACCTTGGATCTCAAACGCCTTGGCTCCTGAACAATCAAAACGCAGAAGTGAGTGGTCCAGTTTTCTAACGTTCTTTTGGAAGCTGAATGTCCAATGGGGCTTCCGCAGCTTCCGATTGGTTGCAGGAGCTTCGTGCAGCCAATCAGAAGCCGCGCTTTGGTTTCCAAACGTTTTGTAAGTCAAACATACAAGGTACGACTGTACCAAGAACAATTGCCAGTACAGTGCAGTGTTTCATTTTAGGAAGAGATGAAATAAAGGGGAAAAATTTTTTGGATCTGCTTTGCTCTTAAGAACCAGCAGCAATGTCAATCACAACTTTTTAATTTTCACTGATTACTCTGAAGCGTAACTACAATGGAACAACCACAAATAGCTGGAAATACTGCTGACCAAGAGATTTTCCGCGCATGCAGATTTTACAAATTACGAACACATTACACTGGTTGTTTCTTGCCTGTGCCGGCATCTGACTCATTTGGAGTCCAATTCATGGTACAGTGGTACCTCGGGTTAAGAACCTAATTCGTTCTGGAGGTCCGTTCTTAACCTGAAACTGTTCTTAACCTGAAGCACCACTTTAGCTAATGGGGCCTCCCGCTGCCACTGTGCGATTTCTGTTCTCATTCTGAAGCAAAATTCTTAACCAGAGGTACTATTTCTGGGTTAGAGGATTCTGTAACCTGAAGCGTCTGTAACCCGAGGTACCAATGTACAGCTTTGGACCTATGAAGGCCAACGAAACTTCGTACCCAATGGAACATCTCATGCTAACATCACCTACAGCAGGGACAAGTAACCTGTGGCCCTCCAGATGTTGTGGGAAGCCACGAGAGGTCCGGAGGGTGGCAACACGAGGACGGGCCTTTTCTGCGGTGGCTCCCCATTTGAGGAATGCTCTCCTCGAGGAGGCCCGCCTGACGCCTTCATTGCATATCTTTAAGCGCCAGGTGTAAACGTTTCTCTATAACCAGGCCTTGGAATGATTAAATATTATATGGCCTTTTAAACGTGGTTTGTTTGTTTTTTGGAGGGGGGTTTGTGACGTTAACATATGAGAGTGCTGGAGGTGAGATAGTTAAACAGGTTACCCAATCAGAACCCAGGGGGTGGAGTCAGAGGGACTATAAAACCAGCTCTGGGAGGGGCGAAGGAAGGAGTTTGTTGGGAGTTGGGTGGTTGGAGTGGGAGTGAATTGGGATAGAGTCTGTGGGTAGGTTGAGTCAGTGTAGCGAAATAAGCTGAGTCAGGAACAGTTAGGAGCTAGGAAGGCAAGTAAATATCTGAGAGGTGGTTTAGTGAGTGAGACCAGGTAGCAGAAGTTATAGGTCTGGATAGGCACCCCATGATTGTAATTGACTGATACCGTTTATGAAACCACACGCTTGTTAAACTGCAATAAATAAACAGAAGTTTATATTCCAATTTAACCCTGACTGGACTCAGTATTTTACCGGGTAAGGCCTGGGTGGTGGCAGGGAGAAATAAAGTGGTGGCACAGGGATCAACAGGCAGTGAAACGTCCGGGGACCCTGTGTGATCGCCACAGGGTTATTGGGTTTTTTTGGTTTCTTATTACGTATTTCGTGTTCTCATATTGTATTTTTATGTTGTGAAGTGCGCTGTGATCCTTGGATGAAGGGCAGTATACCAATTTAATAAATTATAATAAAAACAACACTCAACAGAGCCGGCCAGCATGATCAAAGGTCAAGGATGATAGATAGGAGTTCTGGGGCAAAAAACTTCGGGAGGACCAGAGGCTCCTCATTCTTGAACAATAGTGAAAATTCTTAGTGGGAGTTACGGCAAAGCAGCTGTTCCCTCCTCATTACTGTAGCATGTAACTTTTTATCTGGACCAGGGCAAGGCAACTTACCGAATCACTTCCAAAATAGGGAAAACACTGTTACCAGCACCACAGCCAACCTGGTAGTAAAGACAAAAGCAAAATATTAAGCTGATCACATTTATAAAAAAATTTTTTCCAACATTTAGGGGGGGCAGGGCGAGAACAGACTAAGAATTAAACTTTAAAATATCTTCAGGGAATAGTTCTGTGTGTGTCCTCCTTTTTTCACAAGGAAGGGCTTCATCTTGTTTGATGCACCAAGAAATTACTTTACTCTGGTAGCCACACACAAAATACTAATTTGTTCCAAAATGCAGCTGGTATTTTCTCTCTCTCACTTAAAATGTATTAGAGTGGCTATGCGCGCAAAGGGATATAGAAAAGCTGCAACCAGCTCCTAACCTCAACAGAGTATCATGAAATAAGTTAGAAGAGAAGACATATTTAAAGAAACTTGAGCAATTGCCTTTAAATGCTTCTTAAAAACTTTAAGCTGACCGAAGTTTTCCCAGACTTTGTTTTGTAGACTGCTCAGTTTTGTTTGTCGTATATGGTTGTTGGGGGGGGGGCAGCGAGAAGGGGGATCATTCTTCTGGCAAGTCCAAATGCTTGCCCCGGCGGAACGACTGCAATATTGAACTCCCCCCCCCCCCCAAGTTTCCATATTGTTTTCATTCAGTTTTTAAGGCACAATTTGGTTGAATGTTGCTTGCCTTTTTGCAGTTACTCCATTCCTATGGTAAACCATTCATTGATTTTTTTACTATTTTAAACATTTTATAAATGAGTAAGATTGTGCTACCTATCAGATCCCAAGGACTTATTCAGAACAATACTGTATGGGAAACCCGAGAGGATTAAAAAAAACAATGAAATTTTAATATCATCATCATAATTTATTAACAACAACATTAACAACAACAACAACTTATTACTTTTATCCCACCCATCTGGCCGGGCCTCTCCAACCACTCTGGGCGGCTCCCAACAGAATATTAAAAGCACGATAAAACGTCAAACCTTAAAAATTTCCCTAAACAGGGCTGCCTTCAGATGTCTTCTAAAAGTCAGATAGTTGTTTATTTCCTTGACATCTGGTGGGAGGGCCTTCCACAGGGCGGGCGCCACCACTAAGAAGGCCCTCTGCTTTACCTCACAGCAGGTGAGTTAAGAAAGAGGTAACTATTCACAAAGCTGCATATGGGTTGGATCCACAGAAACAAATGTGGAAGAGGGTAGAAGGAGAAGCATAGGTTGACTCCCACCGCCCCCAAAATAACCCTCTCCCAATGATCAGGAGGCCTTGATTTATGGGTTGCGCTGAAGGGGAAAGGAGGATTGCCAAAACAAGGCAGAGTACAAGTCTCAAGATCAATCCAATTTTTGCACTTCTGCATAAGCATCAAAAACCCCAGGAGAATATGGTGTTGGACACAGAATAGAAAGTTCTACCGTACCTCTAATATTCGGTAAGAAGAATCACCGCCAGGGAATTGTTTTCCAGTGTTCTTGACAATTTGCTCATCAGCTGCAGAGTTATCATAACATGCGCTCAAAACGGAAGAAACTTTTGCAGCAGAATCATCCTCACAAAGATGGTTGTCTTCAAGTAAACCAGTACATCTCAAGTTTTCTGTAGTCGCTTTTCTACAAAGGTCAGATTTTCCTTCTGGGAGAATTTCTGGAAATTCCACGAACAACCACTTGCGATCTCTGAAAAAATGGTTCTTGTGGATCTTGTAAAATTCATTCCAATATCTACTGGCTTCTCTCTCATACTTTGCTAGATTTAAAACCAAAACCAAAAAGAAACCAAGAAACCATAAGCATAAAGAATCGCTGGCATAAAAGAGTGGTGGTGGGGATAATTAAAACTAAACATTACTGATAATGAAAGGTAAGGATGGAGATTTCAAAAGATGGTAGGCAATCTGAATATTACTAAGACCTGCACTGGTATAAGGACCGCAGCTAATTTGAGTTTCCTGCAATAAATGATTTGCATCAAGGTTACAGAACGATAGGATTTTGAAAAATCAACATAGCCTTAGTCAACTTTGTTTATTCAACAAAATTTACACACTGTTCAATTACAATAAAACTTCTAAATGGTTTACAAAAACCAAAACATCAAAATTATCGAAGAAAGTTAAAAACAGCATATAAAAGATAATTAAAATCAACAATAAGCTAAACGAAGATTAAAGCACATGTGAACTTTCGACATGTAAATAGGTGTTGACCCAAGGCCGTATTTTCACTAAATCCACGAATGAGCATTGCTAGAAGACAAAACAGAAGAGATGCAAAAGTATTTTGGATCCCATAACTTGAGTTCTCACCAACATGATTCTCACACCTCTCACTTTTCTTTGTAGTGGACACAAGGGATATCCAGTATATTTGAAGGAGCGTCTCCACCCCCATCGTTCTACCTGGACACTGAGGTCCAGTGCCGAGGGCCTTCTGGCGGTTCCCTCACTGAGAGAAGCCAAGTTACAGGGAACCAGGCCGAGGGCCTTCTCGGTAGTGGCGCCCGCCCTGTGGAACACCCTCCCACCAGATGTCAAAGAGAACAACAACTACCAAACTTTTAGAAGACATCTGAAGGCAGCCCTGTTTAGGGAAGCTTTTAATGTTTGATGTATTACGGTATTTTAATATTTTGTTGGAAGCCGCCCAGAGTGGCTGGGGAAGCCCAGCCAGATGGGCGGAGTATAAATAATAAATTATTATTATTATTATTATTATTATTATTATTATTAACACGCATGCGCAAATCCTAATTTACACTGCTCTACAAACCCAAAGCGAAGGATGCGGGTGGCGCTGTGGGTTAAACCACAGAGCCTAGGGCTTGCCGATCAGGTCGGCGGTTCGAATCCCTGCGACAGGGTGAGCTCCCATTGCTCAGTCTCTGCTCCTGCCAACCTAACAGTTCGAAAGCACGAAGTGCAAGTAGATAAATAGGTACTGCTCCGGCGGGAAGGTAAACGGCGTTTCCGTGCGCTGCTCTGGTTTGCCAGAAGCGGCTTAGTCATGCTGGCCACATGACCCGGAAGCTGTACGCTGGCTCCCTCAGCCAATATAGCGAGATGAGCGCCGCAACCCCAGAGTCATCCGCAACTGGACCTAATGGTCAGGGATCCCTTTACCTTTACAAACCCAAAGCACACGTCACAGGCTTGCTATTTATAGAACACACATAATTGGGCTGTGTGAAAATGGGTTCTTTTCCATGAAAAGCAGAGGAAAGAGCACCGCCGCTATTCCTTTCAAAATAGATGTGCATCTTTGGGACAGGACTGAAATTGGTTACAATGGAAAACCAGTGCTGCTTTAAACAGATTTAATAATCAAGTTATCCAAGAGTGGTCCTATGAACCATGAACTCACGAGAGTACATATATTTTATGCACATGTTTTCCAGCCATCAACACACTCTTACAGGAAGGGGAGATACAAATGCTGGCAGTTTATTAATTAATAATCCCAGTTCCCCAAGAAAGAGAATTCAAAAGGACTGCTTAATGAACTTAAATGGAAGCACAGTCGTACCTTGGAATCCGAACGCCTTGCAAGTCGAATGTTTTGGATCCCAAACGCTGCAAAAGTGAGTGTTCCGGTTTGCTGACGTTCTTTGGAACCCGAACATCCGATGTGGCCTACGCAGCTTCTGATTGGCTGCAGGAGCTTCCTGCAGCCAATCGGAGGACAGCTTTTGCTTCCGAACGTTTTGGAAGTCGAATGGACTTCCGGAACGGATTCGACTTCCAAGGTACGACTGTAATAATTATTCCTTATGTTTTGGTTGTATATCAAGCCAGACCATTGCTCCATATAACTCAGCACTGTCTGAATCAGAGATGGGGAACCTGCAGCCAGGGATGTGGGGCAAAGCATGTCAATTCAAATTCTTTCGGGAAAGGCCACCTCACTCCCTGCGACCCTCCAGAAGATGCTGTACTACAATTCTTTTGTCCCTGACCATTAACCACATTGACGGCAGCTGATGGAATCCAAGCTCCACCACTGCTGGTCTGGAGGCGGAAGTGGCTCTCCAGGGGATTCAGATGCAATCTTTCTCAAGACCTATCTGGGGACTGAACAGAGACCTTCTACATGTAAAACAAGCACCTGACCCATGGCAGCCAGGGTGGAGTTGATTTATATCAAATCAATTTAAATCACGATTTAAATCACTAGTCAGTAAGACTTGATTTAAATCATATTTTTTACAGAAAGACTCATTCTTGCTGGTATAATCTTAATATTTGCAACCAGATGAAGGTTTCATTTTTGGAATAATAAATTTTCAGAGTAGCTTTTACAGTTATATCAAAAATTGCTGGTTTGGTTATACTATTAGAAATGCATTGAGAGAGAATTATGAAGTTATTGTGAGGTTTAATAAGCTAACTGTTTATATTTGGGCAACTCTTCCGCTATACTTTATTGGAAGGAGAAAAATAATCCTTTCCTTAATAACAATATAAACAATTTATTTAACTAAAACAATAACATTATAGCATATGTATCCATGTTTGTTAACTGATGCGATGAAACATTTTTTTTTAAAAAAACTTACACTGAGTTTTAGCACACATGATAAACTTAAATCCTTATTTCCTGATGAATAGTCTTTGGTAAACAGAAAACTTTTTAGAAAGTTTTTTCCTCCAAAAGCCGTTTATTTTATAAATCCAATTTAAATTTTAAAAATCTGATTTAAATTTAAAAAAAATCATTTAAAATGTAAAAATCTGATTTAAATTTTAAAAATCTAATTTAAGTTTTAAAAATCCATTTTTTTAAAAAACACACATTGATTTGTATCCCCCCTGAGGGCAGCCCCACCTATGAGGCAACGTTAGGCAACCGCCTCAGGTGGCAGGGTCCACTGGGGAAGCCAATCTTGATGTCAATCTTTCTTCCCTCCTTGCTCCTGGTGTAAGTTTTCCCCAGGGGTTTTTTCAGCTGGAACTCAGTTTTGGCACCTCTCAGGTGGGCGCCATTGCCATTGTAAAATAACAAGGGACATATTCATGGTGAGTTCCGGCACCTCTTTTTCTAGAAAAATAGCACTGATGTCTTCCCTCCCCGCTCCTACCTGTTCAGATTTTATGTAGCCGATGCTGGCTGGTGTGGTTGGTGTAAATCACATGAGATGTCTGAGAAGAGTGTGGGAACGGAAGACTGTCTTATCTCTTCAGTCTGAGAATGTTATTGCACTGTACTTTCGCTTTTGCTATATGCTTTCTGTTTCTGCCAGAGTTTGGAGAACACAGACGTGATTATGGACTCTCTGTCTATATTGTGAATAAAACGTAGTTTAGATCTACGGATGTCTCTATCTTCTTGCTGTGTGATGCCAGAAGACTTGTGTGCACTTTTCAAATGAGAAGTGTCGCAGATGGGCACTCTGGAGTGAAGGGACATGCCATTCCAGAGACGTGCCTACTGGGAGACGTTTGGAAGTACTGGGGGTCTCCCGCCCCCCAGGAGTGTTTGCCAACACTACCCTGGTGGGGTTGAGAGTTGCCATTTTTGGGTCCTCCTTAGGTGTCCAAAAGTGTGGGTTTTTCCAAGTGTTATTTATTTACTTTTATTAAAGATTTTGTTGATTTACAAAAGTGTGCAATGTCTCTCTCTCGTGTTTTTTTCCTCATGTAACATTTTTACAAATCAATTTCATTTGTTGAGACATTAGGAAGAAAAGGGGGGAAAGAGGTGGAGGGGGGGAAAGATGGGTGGGGTCGGGTGGCAATGTTTCTATTTTACTTACTATATGTAGGGTTTGGTGTCAGCGTTGCTTGTGCAGGTTCTCTGCTGTTCACTTGTGTTCCTTTGGTGGTGAGAGAGGTTGGGCTTGGCCTAGGGTTGGTTGTTCATTTGTGGCTGGCTGTGGTGGTCTTTGTTTTCATGTGTGAGTGGGGTGGGTGGGTGTTTTGGATCAGGTTAGCCATACTGATTTGTATGCTTTTGGTGGATTTTTGTCATTGTCTTGTTGGGCTGTGTATGTGATAAAGGGGAGCCATACCGGGGTGAAGGTGTCTTCTTCTATTTGTCCCCGGGTCAGTTTCAGTTTATTGGTTAATTTTTCTAATAAGGCTGTTTCCCATACTATTTGGTACCATTGGTCCGTGCTTACTCCTGACAGGTCTCTCCAATGTCTGGCTATGATGCTTCTGGCTGCTGAAAGGAGGTGGGTTATGAGTTCTTTGTGGTGTAAAGGTGTCCAAAAGTACTGAGCCAGCCCTGAACAATGGCCCACCCTCCAACTTTCACTCTAAAATTTAACTTTTCATGTGAACAATTTCCCCACATAAGAGCACTTTTGGACAGAGACTTGACATGACAAACAGGTTGTTGGCCACACATCCTTTAAGGAAAATTATTGGATTTCCTGCAGAAAGGATAAATCTGGATTCAAATTTGTGAGTATGGGGGAAGTACAGTGGAACCTTGGTTTTCGAACATCTCAGTTGACGGACATTTCGGTTTTCGAATGCTGTAAACCCGGAAGTAAATGCTTCGGTTTTCAAACGCACCTCAGAAGTTGAACGTACCACACTGCTTCCGCTGAGCGCAAGAGCCTAAGGCCTAGCTGTTGGCTATTGAGTTTTCGGTTTTTGAACGTTTCAGAACTCGAACGGTCTTTCAGAACGGATTACGTTTGAAAACCGAGGTACCACTGTATGGGTTGGCCTTTCCAATGACAACATATAACAAAAGAAAAATTTTATGTATGACTTTGGGATGGGGAAGAAATCCGATGCAGTTCATGTTTAAAGGCGAACATATCTAATCAAACTTCCTGGAACAGTACCCAAGCCAAAAACACTGCCTTCCTTCAATATTTGCACTTCCCCGGATCTCGCAACATAGCCTCCAGTCAAGCAATATGTACAAAAATGCCTACAGTATGGCAAAGTGTGCATATAAATGCATATACAGTGGTACCTCTGGTTGTGAATGGGATCTGTTCTGGAGGCCCGTTCGCAACATGAAAAGAGCGCAACCTGAAGCATCGTATCTGTGCAGGTGTGCAGCGCGATTTGGTGCTTCTGCGCATGCATGAGTGGCGAACCTCGGAAGTACCGTAACCCTTTCCGGTACTTCCGGGTCGCCGCGGGACGTAACCTGAAAGAACGTAACGTGAAGCAAGCATAACATGAGGTATGACTGTACTGAAGAAACTAACATACAACAATGCATTACATTAGGCGAAATTGCTTTGCAAAAAAAAAAAAATATGTATGAGGTAAAATTGCATATAAACGTGTGTGTATTGGGAGCAACTCACACAAAAATGCAATTGTTAATTTTTTTATGAGAACTTTTTTTTAATGGCAAACTGATGTGGAAATGTGGCAAACTGAAGAGTGGAAAAATGAAAAACTGGGAGAAACAAGATTCGGACGGATTGGCCGTCTCTAGCGAGGAATAACAATCCCACAATTAACACCCATCTGGAAGCACTGCTGATCAGACATGGCTGCCGGCTTTCGGTTGCTATTCGCTTGGCATTGTTTCAGGATGTTGCCTTTTTGTAGCATCCTTCAAAAGAGAGGAAATCAGAACAGAGCAGCGTGTAAAGTCGCTAAACAAACACTACATTCTTCTTTTTCCTTTTAAACGCAATAGCCTCCTCTTTGCCTAATAAGCATGCTTGAAAAGCAGCTGACCATGTTAATAAGCAAAGAAAGTGCTCGAAAGTCTATCAGTTTATTCATTCTCGCTCTTCCTTTTTGTACCAAGGTCCTTCACAATGATACTTTTTGGCAATGCTGCAGTATGTTGGAGGAACACTGCCTTTTATTTATTGCTTCTTCTTCTTCTTCTTCTTCTTTACAGTGATTTCCAATGACCTAAAATAACCTGCTCATTAGTTTCAGCTCGGCTCATTGTTAACAATAAATAGGTCAAAATGTGCTGCCACATGCAGAAAGAAGATGATGCTTTGAGAGGAAGCATTATTGGCAATGCTCACCTATTCCCATTTTAAGCATGCAGGCATTCATAAGAGAAAGAATGGCTTCCTGAGTCCAATATATCTCAGCCATAAGCTACTGCCTGCACTCTACTTATTTAATTTCCAGCGAATGCTAACCATGCTTCAATTAATCTTTAAAAGAGTAGGAAGAATGTCAAACGAGGCAAATTTGCAAGTCTGCACTTATTTCAGAATTGAAGCCGAAAAGATTATACGAAGAGTAAACTTTGAAGACCTAGAGGAACTTCATTGGCCAGGTGGAAATGGAGAGAAAGGATAGATACATACACACACACACACACAGAGAGAGAGAGAGAGAGAGAGAGAGAGAGAGAGACACAAAACATGGTTTTCCACAATGAAGAGAAGCAGCAAGATTCACCGCGGCTGTGGCAGTTTTGCAATGCAAAGCAACGCATCGCAGCCCTTATTCATCCTTGCAAGAACCTTTCGTTCCAGGTCTCCAGGTAAATGCAAACGTCAGCCAAAGCGATACCGGTTGGCTCTCAAGGAGTGGCTACAGAATGGTGTCAAGGATCCATGAGGGGAAATGCACAGGTGCACCACACAATGCAGTCAGGGAATACACTGAAATGTGTGACTTCCCGGGGTCATCCTGGCACTGCATGTGCCCTGCACCAACCTCGCCACTAAAACCGAAAACTAAGATCATGGCCACTGGCCAATAGAAAGGGAAGAAATGGAGGCAGTGAGAGATTTTACTTTCTTGGGCTCCATGATCACTGCAGATGGTGACAGCAGTCACAAAATTAAAAGAAGCCTGCTTCTTGGGAGAAAAGCAATGACAAACCTAGACAGCATCTTAAAAAGCAGAGACATCACCTTGCCAACAAAGGTCCGTATAGTTAAAGCTATGGTTTTCCCAATAGTGATGTATGGAAGTGAGAGCTGGACCATAAAGAAGGCTAATCGCCGAAGAATTGATGCTTTTGAATTATGGTGCTGGAGGAGACTTTTGAGAGTCCCATGGACTGCAAGAAGATCAAACCTATCCATTCTTAAGGAATGCTCACTGGAAGGACAGATCCTGAAGCTGAGGCTCCAATACTTTGGCCACCTCATGAGAAGAGAAGACTCCCTGGAAAAGACCCTGATGTTGGGAAAGATGGGGGGCACAAGGAGAAGAGGACGACAGAGGACGAGATGGTTGGACAGTGTTCTCAAAGCTGCCAAAATGAGTTTGACCAAACTGCGGGAGGCAGTGGAAGACAGGAGTGCCTGGCGTGCTCTGGTCCATGGGGTCACGAAGAGTCGGACACGACTAAACAACAAAACCTCGCCACTGCCTTGCCCTTCTTCTTATACTTTCCATTAAGCAGGGACAACGAGACTGATTGAAGGTCAGGTGGGCCCTCTTGTCTGCTCCTGAGCCCGTTGTATCAAGCAACATCTGAAGAGGCTCTGTGAGCAAATGACTACAAGACTAATCAAATTCAGGACATCTATTTCTGGCTTAAGATTTCCCCCTCCATTTGCAAAGGGCAGCAAGTGTGTAGCCTCACATTTGAGCTTCTCAATGGACCATGCACATACCTCTGGTGACACCCACTCCCACACTCATACAGACTTTCCCATCTTTTATGGGGTTTTTCCAAGTATTCCCAGTTCACATATTAGATAAACAAGGCCGAGATTGCCATGAGCCCTCACACTTTTAATGACTTGAAACAAATATTCTTGATCAGCCAGACTACTACCTGGTCTGAATAGCAGGGGCAAGAGCGTTTCAGTGTTTACAACTATGGGCATAATCAGAAAACAGCAGCCACCTGTTGAATTGTCTCTGCCACCTCCTCCTTCATAACTTCCAGGATGGCTTCACCAGGCCCTGATCTAATGATGAGGTGCTTTCTTCCCGAACAACGTGGAACAGGGGAAGCAAGAAAAACACGTTTACATATGCACACACCACTAGTTTTTCGCCTCCAGAGTAGGATACAATAATTACATTAAAATACTGTATTTTTTGCTTTATAAGACTCACTTTTTCCCTCCTAAAAAGTAAGGGGAAATGTGTGTGCGTCTTATGGAGCGAATGCAGGCTGCGCAGCTATCACAGAAGCCAGAACAGCAAGAGGGATTGCTGCTTTCACTGCGCAGCAATCCCTCTTGCTGTTCTGGCTTCTGAGATTCAGAATCTTTTTTTTTCTTGTTTTCCTCCTCCAAAAACTAGGTGCGTCTTGTGGTCTGGTGCGTCTTATAGAGCGAAAAATACGGTAGTTTTTTTTAATAAAAAAAATCACATTAAAACCATAACGTTATCAAAACTTGCAAATCTTCCACAAAATTCCCAAAGTACATGATTCACAACAAACAAGACAACCATCTCAACAGTACCTTGAAGACCAAATTTAGCAACGCCTTCCACCGATGTTGAAAAGACATCAGCACAGGGGGCAAACACACAACCAGTGGGAGGAAGTTTAATAACTACTACTACTACTATTACTCTTGCATTTTAAACCAGTACTTTATGGGATGATTTTTAAAATTGTTGTAAGCTGCTCCTTCAAATCACATTTTGCCTGAAACACAGGTTAAAAATATACAGGGATTTTAAATAAACACAGTCTCAATATCTTGCACATGGTTTTCCTCCCCAGCTTGTCAAACTCTGGAGGTCCTCCTAAAAGCTCATCTGCCTAACATGCACAGAGACACCAAAGAGGACTGTACCACATGGTATTTCTGCCTGTTTCCCATTAACCTAGATTTCACTACTGTGGTTACCCCCAAAAAACAGCATGACTAGGCGAACAGTCCTGCAAAAATTGCCTGAAGGGAGGATCAAGATTTTTTTGTTGGAAAAATAATTAAACGGGTTCCTTTCAGATCTACAGATTCCCATATCAAGCTGAGGTTTATTAATTCTGGAAAAAGATACATCGACAGATCTTTTAGAAAACCGAACACTGACATTAAATTCATGTAGCGACCATGCACATGCTGTTATCACCCTGAAGGTCAACCAGCTGTAGAAAGCAGGAGAGTAACGCCAGATGTGCTTGGGAGGTCAGAGCGGAGTTAGATGTCAATATTTCGTGAGCCAGGAGGGAGCAACGTTAATATATGTCACAGTCAACACAGTCGTACCTTAGATCTCAAACGCCTTGGCTCCCGAACAAATCGGCTCCCGAACGATCAAAACCCGGAAGTGAGTGTTCCGGTTCCCGAACGATTTTCAGAAGCCGAATGTCTGGCGCGGCTTCTGATTGGCTGCAGGAGCTTCCTGCAGCCAATCGGAAGCCGCACTTGGGTTTCCCAATGTTTTGGAAGCTGAACGGACTTCTGGAACGGATTCCATTCGACTTCCAAAGTATGACTGTTCAGCGCATAGGAAAAGAAGGAGATGGTGATGCTAAGGATTAGCGCATAAACAAAAGGGTGGGGGTATTGCAGTTTTAATTGTTCTTAGGGAATTTTACCTTGCAGCTCTGGTTGGACTCTGATGAGTGAATTCTCTGCGGCTTTTTCCTTGGCTGTTTCTTCTTCTTCCTGTGACCACTGCATGTGGTCCCTGCAAGGGGGAGGGGGGGAATTGCAAGGGGAGGGGGGGGAAAGGATGCCTTTTATTTTTAAAAGCTTCCGGTCTTTTCTTTTCTTTTCTCCCCTTAAGCACCACATGTAATCAAATGCATTGTATATTCTAGATTCCATTAGCTGCTCTCCACCTCACCCCTCGCTTCACTCTCCCGGGTCTTTAAAGTAGGCCTTGGTGCCCTCTGGAGCTCCTGCCATTCTTACGCTCCATTCTTTTGCTTTCTGGAGCGTTCCAGAAGGCTCTGCGCTGACAAACTCCTTGTACTGCCCTCTCCTCACGGTCCACGGCAGCATTCGAATGCCTCTGTGGTGTGTGTCGCCTTTTCGTTATAGGACATTCCGCAGCTTTCTGGAGTGAGCGCCAGCGGAAAGTTTGTCCTTTCGCAAACATGCCATCTCTCCAAAACGCAAGCCCGTGCGCTCGTGATAGGGTCTGTGCCGTTTGATTCCCGTGTAATAAGGGCTCATTATCTCCTAAAATGACACACGTTGCATGTCATGTGCCAGCTGCGCTATGCGGCTGCCATTCCACCACAGATTTGTAGTTATCAAAACATGGTCGCCCGGCGAGTCAAAGCATAACATACAGATAAGTACAGAAATATGCTTAGTAAAGGTGTGGGTAATCCGATAGAGGAATGTTGCAGCTGGTTTTGTTTCTGAAGAAATACTTGTAATTGCTCCCATGTGTTGCCAGACCACTAAACACAACCCAAAACAGCAACCAGAGGTGAGCTACAGGGAGCTTTTAATTATAGAGCGCAACAGATGGATTTGAGTGGGATAAAGATTTAAATCTCCCTATGTCAAATAATGGTGTTCTAATGTTAGCCAGGCCTCAGTAAAGGATTGGAGCCGCGGCCATGCCACAGTATTGCGCCAAAACAAGAGTGGAAAAACGCTGAGCAACGCGAACTATTCCCTAGGAATTTCAGTGCCAAAAATTCAAAAGGGGCTGATGACTTAATGGCTAGGTCCTAAGGCATGCCACAGAAGCAAGTAAGAAATATAAACAACCTCAGATATGCAGATGACACAACCTTGATGGCAGAAAGTGAGGAGGAATTAAAGAACCTTTTAATGAGGGTGAAAGAGGAGAGCGCAAAATATGGTCTGAAGCTCAACATCAAAAAAACGGAGATCATGGCCACTGGGCCCATCACCTCCTGGCAAATAGAAAGGGAAGAAATGGAGGCAGTGAGAGATTTTACTTTCTTGGGCTCCATGATTACTGCAGATGGTGACAGCAGCCACGAAATTAAGAGACGCCTGCTCCTTGGGAGAAAGGCGATGACAAACCTAGACAGCATCTTAAAAAGCAGAGACATCACCTTGCCATCAAAGGTCCGTATAGTTAAAGCTATGGTTTTCCCAGCAGTGATGTATGGAAGTGAGAGCAGGGGCTGATGGGAGTTGAAGTCCGACGGTATCTGGAGGTCTGCAACCTGCCCATCCCTGACTTAGAAGGAGCACAGAGCCAAACTGCTTCCCTGGAAGTAGGGAAATGAGTCCCATACAAGGTAGGAAGAAGGAAGTAAGGGCTCATCTCCTATTATGGTATGGATACGCCCCTATCTGGACAGGGATAGCCTAACTACTGTTGTCTATGCTCTGGTAATCTCAAGGTTAGATTACTGCAATGGGTTATACGCAGGGCCGGATTTAGGTTTGATGAGGCCCTAAGCTACTGAAGGTAATGGGGCCCTTTATATGTCCAGATGTCCTTTATATGTTCAATTGTCACTGTTTTTTGTATTGAATATATGCTATATGGTAATTTATGGACCTAATAGGTATCTAAAACCATTACCACATAACGAAATATGTTATTTTATCAAAGTAATTGTTGAAGTGAAATACAATTAAGAAGTATATTAATAGTGAAATACAATTAAGAAATATATTAATAGTGAAATAATTATTAAGCTCTAACTTAAAATGTATTTTTTATTCATAACAAACTTAATACAGTGGTGCCCCCGCAAGACGAATGCCTCGCAAGACGGAAAACCCACTAGACGAAAGGGTTTTCCGTTTTGGAGGTGCTTCGCAAAACGAATTTCCTATGTGCTTGCTTCGCAAGACGAAAATGTCTTGCAAGTTCCTGCGGGGTTTTTTTCCTTTTCCCCCCCCTTTTTCCCAAGCCGCTAAACCGCTTATCAGCTGAAGGCTAAGCCGCTTATCAGCTGATCTTTAAGCCGCTTAACAGCTGATGCTAAGCCGCTTATCAGCTGATCTTTAAGCCGCTTAACAGCTGATGCTAAGCCGCTTATCAGCTGATCTTTAAGCCGCTTATCAGCTGATCTTTAAGCCGCTTAACAGCTGATCTTTAAGCCGCTTAACAGCTGATGCTAAGCCGCTTATCAGCTGATCTTTAAGCCGGCTAAGCCGCTAATACTGTAGCGCTAAGCCGCTAAACCTCTAATGGGCTTGCTTCGCAAGACGAAAAAACCCGCAAGACGAAGAGACTCGCGGAACGGATTCTTTTCGTCTTGCGAGGCACCACTGTAATGCAAACACATTGGCATTTGGCAATAACAAAAGATCCTTTAGAAACACAATTTACAAAGATTCATAATTTTGGGGGGGCAAAGGTTGGTATATAAATTCAATTAATAATAATAACAATCTCAATTTCCTGCTACTAGTACATCCATCATTTATTTCATAACATGGCTCTACTTCATGTTCTATTTTTAAAAGTTAATGGAACATGGATGGTAGCCATTCTTGTGATGGTGAAACAAGTGCCCACTTAAATTTCCTGGAATTGGTAAACAGATATATATCACATATGAGGGCAGGGCAGATATCCAAGGTATCCAATTAATCTCTGAAAACATTGAGATAATTATTTTGACCGACCACTGGATATCAGTTGGTCTGTCTCTCTAAATTAACAGACAAACACTTTCCATTTGCATGTAAGGTTTCTCTCTTCTGCTGGCTATGGATTCTGGCCTCTGAATGGCAGGAAAGCATTCAGCCTCTGTGTTTAGATTCTCAAAAAAAATAAAAAAAATAAATAAATCCCTACCTATATTTAAAAGACAAACTGATAACACAGTAGCAAATTGCATTAATCATACCACATGTTGTGATCAAAAACTTTATCTGGATCCAACAAAACTCGTGACCCAAGGGGAGCAACTGGTCGTTTGTTACTCTGGAACCGATGGGGCATCTTGCTGGTCTTCAGATGTGAAGCAAAGAATCTTTTAACAAATAGCATTTCAGCGCAGCAGCAGCAGAACACCCTGAAAGCAAAATTAAACAGGAGTATAGATTTCTTGCAAACTTAATTATTTCAGTTAACCTTAAGAATTCCTGTCTCTTCCGTAGCAACACAAATGTAGGTTGGTTTTCTCTATATTTTCCTTTTTCAGTTGTTGTTTAGAAGGAACTAACCACTGAAATGCTAATGCAAGTTTTGAGTTTGTTCTCTTTCCATCATGCAGCTAGATACTGGTGGAAAACCCAAGTAAAAAAACAGAAAGTTTAAAAATGGTTAAGTTCCATTAAAGGGTGATTTCTCACAATTTAACCGTGTCCTGAGAATGGCAGCTGAGCTGAGCACCTCAACATGTCTAACGGGGTGGGGTGGGGTGGCAGGATCCAAAAAGAGACTCTCCAGAGCGTCTGGTAATCAACTGTATGGTGTTTCAGAGGAATCACCTTCGTCGGGAGCTATGTACAAAACCCAATTAAAGGTAAAGGTAAAGGGACCCCTGACCGTTAGGTCCAAGTCGTGACCGACTCTGGGGTTGCAGCGCTCATCTTGCTTTATTGGCCGAGGGAGCCGGCGTACAGCTTCCAGGTCATGTGGCCAGCATGACTAAGCCGCTTCTAGCGAACCAGAGCAGCGCACGGAAAGGCCGTTTAGCTTCCTGCCAGAGAGGTACCTATTTATCTACTTGCACTTTGACGTGCTTTCAAACTGCTAGGTTGGCAGGAGCAGGGACCGAGCAACAGGAGCAGACAATATCATGATCAAGATGGAAATAATATAGATAATTTTCTCACCTTAACTTGCACTAGGTAAAGGTGAAAAAAGGTAAAGGACCCCTGGACGGTTAAATCCAGTCAAAGGCGACTATGGGGTGCGGCACTCATCTCGCTTTCAGGCCCAGAGAAATGGCATTTCTCCAGAGACAGCTTTCTGGGTCATGTGGCCAGCATGACTAAATCGCTTCTGGCACAACGGGACACCGTCACGGAAACCAGGGCGCACAAAAACGTCCTTTAGCTTCCCGCTGCGGTGGTACCTATTTATCTACTTGCACTTTGATGTGCTTTCAAACTGCTAGGTTGGCAGGAGCTGGAACGGAGCAACGGGAGCTCACCCTGTCGCGGGGATTTGAACTGCCAACCTTCCAGTTGGCAAGCCCAAGAGGCTCAGTGGTTTAGGCCACAGCGCCACCCGCAATCCTTTAACTTGCACTACTCCATGGGTAAAATCCAATGCTACTCTTCTTTTCTAGAAATGCTTTTGATCCAGGGAAGGCAACTGTTAAGGAAACAGGAGGGAATGGGGAATTTTCTCCCCATTTCATTTTCCTACTCCTGTCTCCAAAGCAACCTTCCATGCTGTTCTGGAGGGCTCTCAAATCCTATGGAACAGATGGGGGGGGGAGAGGCACAGAGGACTGCAAGAGGATAGGGGAATTGCAGAAAAATAGCCTCCCTTTATGTCATCAGAGGTTGGCTCAAAAGCCGTTCTGCAAGTGTGACAGTGGCATTGGACTTCAGCCTGTGCGTTTTCCTAGGGTTGTGGTCAATTGTTCAGTGATGTTTCAACAAACCTCCCCTAACCATTGGTGGGTTGGCATCCGTCTGGTCTCAAGAGACAATGGAGTGCGCCTGCAGGGGGCGGAAGAAAACCCCTGCGTTAGCTTGCCCCAGGTGCAAGCTTGGGCAGTGTGTATGGAAATTTAGTCTGCCCAATGTTATATCCATGAATGATGCATCAGAGAAGGATTTGAGCCATGCAACTCAAATTGGGTCTACAAACCCCACCAAAAAATTAAGCAAAGGGGCCCTCCAGGATTAGAAACCCTGAATCTTAAGCTACATTAGCTTCATCGTACATTTACCCGTTTCTGGCACAATTTACCTACTGCTTTATTGTATAATTATACAGGCTTCCTCAACCTCGGCCCTCCAGATGTTTTTGGCCTACAACTCCCATGATCCCCAGCTAGCAGGACCAGTGGTCAGGGATGATGGGAACTGTAGTCTCAAAACATCTGGGGGGCCGAGGTTGAGGACGCCTGGTACAATATGATTACTCAATATGACACCTGTGTTTCTGGAATATGAATTCAGATAGATCCTATCTTTGGTGCCCAATGGTTTTTAAAATACAAACACAGTAGGTAGCCAATAACCATCTCTGCACTCCTATCAACAATTTTTAATAAAATGATGTTCTGTATAATAGTTAGTGCTTAGGAGAGCAGGTTCACACAAACCTGCCACAAAACTGAGTGGCGCTGAGTTCCTGAGTCACATTCTCTCAGCCTAACCAACTAACCACAGGATTCTTGTGAGGATAATGTGTGTGTTGTTGTTGTTTTTTTGGGGGGGGCATGTATGCCACTTTGAGCTCCATGGTAGAAAGCTGGTGTATACACACAGATTTCTGCATTATACCGAAGCCATTTGCCAAATGTAACTCAGTGTTTACAGTGGTACCTCAGGTTAAGAACTTAATTCGTTCTGGAGGTCTGTTCTTAACCTGAAACTGTTCTTAACCTGAGGTACCACTTTAGCTAATGGGGCCTCCTGCTGCCACTGCCCCGCGATTTCTGTTCTCATCCTGAAGCAAAGTTCTTAACCCGAGGTACTATTTCTGGGTTAGTGGAGTCTGTAACCTGAAGCGTCTGTAACCCAAGGTACTACTGTATTTTTAAAAACCTGACTGGATATAGATCTGTGTGACCCTAAAATTGGTAAAATACTTCCACTTCCCACCTCCCTCTACCCCACCAGCACGACACAGGAGCATTAAGTGACCTTACGGAGATCCAGTCATGCCTCTGGAATTAATTGCCTTTCTATAACAAATGTATCAGTTACGATAGTGACTAATGAGAAATTTGCCTGGGAAGAAACAAAATGTGCATTACTAAGCATTTGCCAGAGACCAAGAGACATACTGTGCATTCGGATTATTGTGCTTGTTTACTTTAATAAGAAGGTTTCGGGGGGGGGAGTGGGAGGGGGTTATGTTTCAATTGTTGCACCTTTAAAAAAATAATAATATCAAAACACTCATCGCTGGAGAAACATTCTGTTCCTGTGGCAATGCGTTGTTCCTCTGCTTGACTTTTCTTCTCCCACTCCAAAGGTTAAGTTTCTTCAAAGAATTTCTTTCACTGCTCTTTTTCTGGTTCCAAACACTCGAGCAACGTGGGCACAGCGGAAATGGCGTCCGTGCACACACAGAGCCTGCAAAATTATATCGTGGATTTGTAAAAACGAAACAAAAGAAGGCTCAGTGCTTGGAAAGCACGTGCCTGAAATAATGTACAGCATTACCATAAAACTTCCACAATTTACATTCCTTAATGCTGTCCAACCAAAGTTGCCTCTTATGAAGTCGGCAGAGCTTTCGCATGTCATGGAACTGGAAATCTAGAGACTCTCTTCCCACCAAAAATCTCTGTGCTGTGACCATGATAATCTCCTCCCCTCTCAGTACAGTGGTACCTCGGGTTACATATGCTTCAGGTTACATACGCTTCAGGTTACAGACTCTGCTAACCCAGAAATAGTGCTTCAGGTTAAGAACTTTGCTTCAGGATGAGAACAGAAATCGTGCTCCGGCAGCACAGCGGCAGCAGGAGGCCCCATTAGCTAAAGTGGTGCTTCAGGTTAAGAACAGTTTCAGGTTAAGTACGGACCTCCGGAACGAATTAAGTACTTAACCCGAGGTATCACGGTACCTGATGAACAAGTTTCATTTCTAACAACTGCCTACAGCCACAGTGTTCGAAATTAGGCAGGCGCCAGGCACGTTTCGCAACTACTGCGGGTCCAATTGCGACCATATGGAGATCTCTGGATGCTAGGTTGGCAACTGGGGAAAGCAAAATGTCACTTAGAGAAGGATCTGAAATATTTTCCTTACAGCTTGAATTATTTTTATTCTGCAGTATTTGATGTTTTTATGTGTTGTAAACTGCTATGATTTGTTCTTTAAAATATTAAGCGGCATAGAAATGGAATTAATAATAATTGCAATGATGAAGATGGTGGTGGTGGTGGTGGTGGTGATGATGATAATAATAATAATAATATCCCACCTGACATTTAGAAAACATCTGAAGGCAGCCCTGTTCAGGGAAGTTTTTAATTTGTGACATTTTGATGTATTTTTAATATTTGTTGTAAGCCGCCCAGAGTGGCTGGGGAAACCCAGCCAGATGGGCAGGGTACAAATAATACATTATTATTATTATTATTGAATTTCTAACACTGTAATTTCAGGGAAGTGTCAGTGCATCATAACCATGGCCTGTTTAGAAATACTTGACTGGTCTACAAATATGCCAATTCTTCATGCGGCCTATCGACAAGCAACCAAGCAAAAGGGACTGAACTCAAAGATAAGTACCATTTCTGTATGCAGAAGATCTCAGGCACAAACTCTGTTAGGATTTTATGTAGCCGATGCTGGCTGGTGTGGTTGGTGTAAATCACATGAGATGTCTGAGAAGAGTGTGGGAACGGAAGACAGTCTTATCTCTTCTGTCTGAGAGTGTTATTAGACTGTACTTTCGCTTTTGCTGTATGCTTTCTGTTTCTGCCAAAGTTTGGAGGACACAGATGTGCTTATGGATTCTCTGTATATATTAAGAATAAAACGTAGTTTAGATCTACGGATGTCTCTTTTTTTTCTCTCCAAAAATTTTATTGGTTTTCACAATATTATAAACAAACAAACAAACAAACACACACACAAGACAAACAAACATAAATCATAGCCTTATTGAAAATGCACTTATTAACTTTGTTAAGTGACTTCCTTGCTTCCCCTTGGTTGAATTTCATTGCATGTCCTTTTAACGGTTTTCCAAATCCCAATTCTTATGAAATTTAACTTAAACATTAACATCCTTAAATCTTCACCTTATGGAATTAAACATATTAATTCATCACTTAACATAAATAAAATCCTAAGCCAATTAAGTATCTGCAAGCTATTTTCAATTAATTTAACTTAACAAATTTAACTAGATAATCATTAAATTTATTCCACTCTTCCTGATACTCCTCCTCCTCCTAGTCGCGGACTCTTTCGGTTAGATCTATGGATGTCTCTATCTTCTTGCTGTGTGATGCCAGAAGACTTGTGTCGCAGATGGGCACTCCGGAGTGAAGGGACATGCCATTCCAGAGACGTGCCTACTGGGAGATGCTCGGAGGTACTGGGGGTCTGCCGTCCCCCCAGGAGCTTTTGCAAACAATCTCTGGCATCTCAGCTGATGGGGAAGACTTCATGCCTAGACCCTGGGGAGCCACTAGCACCCAACAGTAGAGTTGACCATACCCCTGATGCGCTGAGCAACCAGCTTTTGAGAGCCTCCGTTCTATTGTACCGCCACCAATGGCTTCCAAACACGAGCCAGATTTTTGTCTCTCCCTACCCCCCTCTCCCACTTTCCACTCTCCCCCACCCCCCACCCATTCCAGAATAAGGCAGTGCCACCATGTTAGGTGGCAACTCTGACAGTGGGGGTATTAGCAGCAAAGCTGCCTGATGTGTAGGTGGAGCCTTCAAATACACGGAGACTCAAGTCCAACAAAAGTTGCATTCCTGCTAAGAGCAATACTTGGAATAGCCCGGAAATATACTAACATGGAAACAAGCCCAGAGGAGAAAATTAGACAGATGGTCAAAATATCTGGCAGAAATAACAGGAGGAAAATAGAGATTTTTCTGCTGGCTTGTAGCTTTACATGAGACATGCTTATCTAATAATTGTTAAAGCACGGCCATTTCGGAAGACTTCAAAAGACGGAGGAGTAACCAGTCTCTCTGACATTTGAAGGAAGGCTGTGGATTGGTTTTTTTAAAAAACAAAAACAAAAAACTCTGATATTGCACATCAGTGGCAAGTCGAATTATACCAGAGTTGTACAAATATTGCAATCAAGATTATCTGTACTGCTTTGAACCTTGTTGACTCAAGCCAGACTCATTGGAACAAAATGTTTGTTGCTACCTGCCTCTCATACAATCTTTTTAGTGTGTCAGCCCAGCCTACTATGATACAGCTTAATTGCTAAAGAAATGACAGATCACTTGACTTTCAACAACATATTGCAAAACATGTTCATGTAGCCCTTTAATAGTAGGCCCAACAGCACCATCCTGAATAATCTACTGCTGAATAAACTCCCAGGAGAGATTTGCCCAACACCTACCGTATTTTTCGCTCTATAAGACGCACCAGACCATAAGATGCACCTAGTTTTTGGAGAAGGAAAACAAGAAAAAAAAATATTCTGGATCTCAGAAGCCAGAACAACAAGAGGGATCGCTGTGCAGCGAAAGCAGCAATCCCTCTTGCTGTTCTGGCTTCTGGGATAGCTGCGCAGCCTGCATTCGCTCCATAAGACGCGCACACATTTCCCCTTACTTTTTAGGAGGGAAAAAGTGAGTCTTATAGAGCAAAAAATATGGTACTTTATTGACATTTTGATGCCATTTTGACACCTTTATTTCCCCCAAGCAATTGAGGTACAATTTTAGTCTTTTTTGTGGCCTTTTAAATTTATTACAGATTTTCAATACCTATTTTATGTGTTTCATAGATTCATCGAGTTGGAACAGCTTTTGAGAATCATCAAGTTGGAAGGTGTTTCAGAGGCTCAATGCAAGATCTGCAACTGCAGCATCCCTGGGAGATGACCATCTGGTCTCTGCTCAAATACTTAACAAAGAACCTAGAAAAAGCTCTGCTGAATTAGGCCAATGGCCCATTTAGTACTCCATCCCATTCTCATGGTGGAGAACCAGACGCCTGTGGGAAACCCGTAAGTAGAACCTGAGCATAACAGAACTCTGCCCACCAGCAATCCCCAGAAACTGGCTGTGCTGGTCCCGGGGGGAAGGTTACCGTTGGCGTAGTCAAAGTCCGGTCCTGGGTCACTGGTCTGGAAACAGTTCACAAGGAGCGAGGCGAGGTCCGAAGAAGGAAGCTGGGCGGGGACAGGATCACTGGAAGGTCAGGTCTGGGTCCGGGCAAGAGCAGGTACTCAACGACGTTGCTTCCGCAACCTGGGACTGGGCTGACTGGCCTTTATCTTCTCTGAGGCCAGGGGCGGCCCCGGCCCCCAGGAGACCCGCCTCTCCGGCCTTAAGGCGAGCACTCCTCCTGGGAGAAACCAGTTCCCTTCGCCTCTCTGCCCTGAGCCTCTGCAGTTCAGGAGAGGCTGAAGGGTTACTGGACCCAGGGGGAGACTCACCTGTAGGCACTGAGTCCTCAACCACCTCCGGAACCAGAGTGGATTCACCTGGTGCCTGCTCCTGAGGATCCGGCACAGGTGCAGGCGCTTCAGAATCAAGGCCCTGTCCCAGTTCAGCCGGCCCTGGAGGCGGGGACTCCTGTGCAGGCTGGGATTCCTCCGGTTCAGCCTCTGAATCGGATTCCCAGGCCATCACACTGGCGTTCAGAAGTGCCTTTGACAGTGAAGGTAGAATACAGTCACTGTGACTAGTAGCAATTACAAATAGCTTCCAGTGACGGAGAGCTTAGCACATCCTGAGGGCATCTGCTCCATAGTCAAAGCTCTTACCAAAATGAATGTTATCCTAATGCTTAGCCAAGATCTGCTTCCCTTCAGTTTCCACCTATTGGCCGTCGTCTTGCCCCCTGGAGAAACAGGGAACAAGTCTTCTCCATCTTTTACATGAGAGCTGTTTAGATATTTGAATGCAATGTACTACGTGCTCCTCCTTAATCTTCTCTTCTCTAAGCTAAACATTCCCCATCACTTTCAGTTGCTCCTCAAAGGATTCCAAACCTTCACTATTCTGGGGAGAGGTGTAGCATATAGTTACCAGACATTCCCGGATTTACAAATTTGTCCCCGGACAAAAATCTGTCCCGGGAATGTCCCTGGATTTCATTTAATGTCCCCGGATTTATATTTTAAGTGTTGTAGATTTATTAGTAGGGAATAAATGTTGCATAATTGGTTCAACGGCACAAGACACATCATATGGGGAGGCAAAATGGCGGGCATCACAGCAGCGAGCAGCTCCTGAAGCCAGCCAGAGCCAACTGTGCTACCAGGCTGGCTCCGGGCTGCTGAGACTGCCGCTGCCACTGCTGAGAGGGAACCGGGGACGCCTGGCACGTCAACTGGGGGAACCGTTGACACACACCCACTGTGACCCAAATCGAGCCGGGAGCGAGAGCACCTGGCCACCTGCCCAGCTCCAGGCAGGTGCCAGGAAAACCCCGGAGCCGATGCAGGGAGAAGGAGGAGAGAAGAAGGAGAAGGAAGAGAAAGAGGAAGGAGGAAAAAAAGGGGGCCACTGCCGCTGCGAAGGAGCGGTAGGAGAGCAACAGGTGTGCAAGGACACGTGGCTGAGCCCAGACCCAGCCTGAGCCTACTCCATGGCAGCTAGCACTCCAAGAGAGCAGGCCAGGGCCCAGAGGAAGGCCATGCGACAGAGGAGACCACAGAAGATATTACTTCTTAATTTTTTTTTTAAAAAATTACTTTTTTTCTCTTTTTTAAAAAAAGTGTCCCTGGATTCTTTGAAAAAAAATCTGGTAACCTTAGTGTAGCATGTCAACCCTATATAGCTAATAGCACTCAAATATTTCATGGCACCAAAAACACCACTGTTTTGGTGACAGTTTCCTTCTTTGAATTTTATTACGGCATCATTTTTAAATCAAAGGCAGGAAGAAGGGCTGTTTGCAACCTAACCAGAAATCACCGTTTTTCGGTGGCCTTACTGGCAAAGCCAAAAAGTGTAGTCAAGAGCCCCCCTCCTAACACTTTCCTGAAGGAAAAGCCATGTGTGCACTTTGTGCTCTGTGGACTTTTGGGAAGCAGCCCTAGACAGTGCGTGCTTTTCCGGCTAATAAGGCAGACTTCCTTGATGTCTCTAGAAAGGCTAACAGAGCCTTTCAGATACCCAGATTCCAAGAGTTTAGGACTTTATAATCAGAACCTTGCACTGAACTAGGAAACAAACTAGAAAGCAGCATAGACTCAGAAGAATCGGAGAGAGATGCAAACCCAGCTTTAAAATCTAATTGTTGCATTCTGACCCAGCTGAAGTTTCTAAACATTTTCAAGACCCAGTGCCACACAAATCAAAAAGTTAGCCACAGCGAAAGGCATTCACTCATTAGACCGTGTGAGAGCAACTTTCGTCCCGTCAGATATTTTTGCTGAACTACAACTCCCATCATCCCTTGCCGCTGACTACACCTGCTGGGGGGGGCATGGGAGCCTTTCTCAACCTGTGAGTCCCCAGATGTTGTTGAACTACAACTCCCATCACCCCTAGCTAGCAAGGCCAGAGCTCAGGGATGATGGGAGTTGTAGTCCAACATCATCTGGGGACCCACAGACAAAGGTTCCCACAACTGACTTAGACATATCAAGCTTGGCAGAAGTTCCTCACATCAGGCACAGGGCCTCCACCACCATTTTTCAACTAGCGTTTCCATTGAACCACAGAGACTCCCATATCCCTCTTGAGTCTCTTACTCCTAAGGAAGCGAGCACACGTGGGAGCCTTTCAATCTCAAGCAGCTTTCCTTAGATCTGTATAAGTAAACCCAGATGCTTCTATTTAACGCATCTTTCACGCACTGCAAATGCCGACGCCAGTATTGTTAATTTTCCTTTCCTTTTTGAAATTCATTTTTATTTGATTTTACAAATATAGAATTATAACAATACAACCATACACATCCACAATTAAATAATCCTCCGAATCTCGGGACTTCCCACCTTCCCCTCCGTAGGTCCTATATTAAACCTTTTCTACTGCATCTTTTTCAATAGTCCATTGCATCTTTTTCAATAGTCCACCAGACGCGGGGTTAGGACTGCTCTCTTAGCTCGACTAACTTAAGACATTCGGGCATTTAATTTTAGGGTTTTAATGTTTGTTTGTTTTCTCTGCCGGGTCAGCAGTTTTAACCAAAACGGTTTTTTGAAAGCAGGTAATATCTAATGCAACCTTGATTCCCACGAGGAGAAACGAACTTACCTTCAGGGCGCTATATGCCATGCAGTGTCAAAACAAACAAAAAACCCAAAACACTTTTCGGACATCCTTATCCACGTGCTTCCTCGCGTCCAGTCGTTAACAGTTATCAAATGTAATGGTATTCCAAAAAAATAAGCAGAAATGTGCAGGGCGCGAGTATTAATAATAATGATGATGATGATGCAAGGCGCTGCCCTTAACACTTTGCACGGCTCCTTCGTGCAACCTTCTCAACCCTCCGCTCCCGCGCTGCAAACCAGCAGCCGGTCAAGCCGGGGAAACCCGAACAAGCGTGTGGCCTCCCGCACTTGCGCGCGCAGAGGGTTTCGGGAGCCGTAGTCCCCGAGACTCTCGCGCTCCGCTCCCCTCGGAGGTAGTTGATGGCGGGGGGAACTACGTTTCCCGCCGTGCATTGCGAAGAGGCGGAGACGAGGAAACGAAAGTGTCCCTGCAGAAGAAACGGGCCCGGTTTTGGAGGCGCGCGCGGTTTTAACTCCTGCGCCGGTCCTGAGAGGTTTGTTGTTGTTCTGCGCGCGCGCGGTAGTCGGAGGCGCGCGAGGGCATAAAAAGAGTCTATATTATATATCTATATATTGTTTTAAAGTTGCTTTGTGCGAAACGGCAGCCTTTGCCGCTTGGAAGATTTGCAATGGAGTCCTGTGCTTGTTGAGTCGACCAGTAAGCCCCGCCTTGTGTGCCATCGGGCTTACTCCCGAGTAAATTCCTGCTGGGCGGATCTTGATCTGGACGGTTGTCGGGCGGCATATTCCACATCGCTAATGTAGAGATCCAGCGCCCGCGGTTACATCCCTGACCCCCTTTGCTTGCATTCGCAGAGAAGCCCCAATGCGTTCCAGTGAGTCTTGACTCCCAAGTAAGTTTACGCGCGAGGATTGCACCTTCAGAACCGTAAACTGGGATTGCCTCGAGTCCGGGATTGAAAAGATGCCTCCCTCCCCTTCTCTATCCCGGTAATGTACGGAGAGAGAAGTGTTGGGGGCGAGATGCCACGCGAGCTCGCATTGCAATCGCTGATGATGGTCAGGCAAGTGTAAACTATGGTTACCAGATTTTTTCCAATGAATCCGGGGACCCTTCTTTTTTCCCCCTTTTTTTGAAGCTGAGTAGCAACAGGGAGGGACACGGGTGGCACAGAGCCTAGGACTTGCCGATCAGAAGGTCGGTGGTTCGAATCCCCGCGACGGGGTGAGCTCCCATTGCTCGGTCCCTGCTCCTGCCAACCTAGCAGTTCGAAAGCACGTCAAAGTGCAAGTAGATAAATAGGTACCGCTCTGGCGGGAAGGTAAACGGCGTTTTCGTGCGCTGCTCTGGTTCGCCAGAAGCAGCTTAGTCAGGCTGGCCACATGACCCGGAAGCTGTACACCGGCTCGCTCGGCCAGTAAAGCGAGATGAGCGCCGCAACCCCAGAGTCGGCCATGACTGGACCTAGTGGTCAGGGGTACCTTTACCTTTACCTAGCAACAGGGAGTCAGTAGTGGGGATGGTGAGGCAAAGTAGTGGGGATGGTGAGGCTGCTGCTGCCACAGGGTTGCAAATCTGGGGACATTCTGGGGACGGAATTTGTCCGGGGACAGATTTGCAAATCCGGGGACTGTCCCCGGGAACCGGGGACGTCTGGTAACCCTAGTGTAAACTGTCTGGAACAGGAAATAGATTCCCGTGCATTTCCTCTTAACGCCGGAGTTTTGGAAGGAGCTGTTGACTCCTGCGTGTCTCCCTGACTGCGGGGAACTGGGACCCTATGCACGCTGCCAGTTTGCATAAGGTTAGCAGATTTTTTTCAAAGAATCCGGGGACACCTTTTTTTTTTAAGAGAAAAAAATTTATTTTTTTATTTTGTTAAAAAATCAAGAAGTAATATCTTCTCTTCTGTGGTCTTCTCCGTGGCATGGCCTTCTTCTGGGCTATGGCCTGCTCTCTTGGGGTGCTAGCCACCGTGGAGTAGGCTCGGGCTGGGCCAGGGCTCAGCCACGTGTCCTTGCACACCTGGTGCTCTCCTACCTCTCCTTCGCAGCGGCAGTGGCTCCCCTTTTTTTCCTCCTTCCTCTTTCTCTCTCTTCCTTCTCCTTCTCCTCTCCTCCTCCTCTCTGCATCGGCTCCGGGGTTTTCCTGGCCCCGGACCGCCGCTGGGCAGGTGGCCTGGTGCTCTTGCTCCTGGCTCAATTTGGGTCGTGGGGGGGGGTGTCAGCGGTTCCCCCAGTTGATGCGCCGGGCGTCCCCGCTTCCACAACAGCAGCAGTCTCAACAGCCCGGAGCCAGCCTGGTAGCGCAGTTGGCTCTGGCTGGCTTCAGGAGCTGCTCGCTGCTGTGATGCCCGCCATTTTGCCTTGCCGGAAGTCCCCATATGATATGTCTTGTACCATTGAACCAATCATGCAACATTCTTTCCCTACTAAAAAATCTACAACACTTAGAATATAAATCCGGGGACATTAAATGAAATCTGGGGACATTCCCAGGATGGATTTTGTCTGGGGACAGATTTGTAAATCTGGGGACTGTCCCCGGGAAACGGGGGCGTCTGGTAACCATAAGTTTGCAATGCTGAGCATGTTTGACTGAGAAGGATGCCTCTTTTAAGTTCCGTGGGGTTTATCCCAAGGTAAAGAAAGAAAGCCCCATTGAACACAGTGGGACTTAGCTTTGAGTAAACCTGCACGGGCTTAACACCCTAAGGCTGTAATCCTATGCACACTTGAAAATCTGGTGGGACTTTGGGTAGAGATGTATATAGGATATGGGTAGCAAACTAAGGCCCAGGGGCCGAATCCGACCCAATCGCCTTATCAATCCGGCCCACGGACGGTCCGGGAATCAGTGTGTTTTTACATGAGTAGAATGTGTCCTTTTACTTAAAATGCATCTCTGGGTTATTTGTGGGGCATAGGAATTCGTTCATATTCCCCCCCCCCCCAAAAAAAAAATATAGTCGGGCCCCCACAAGGTCTGAGGGACAGTGGACTGGCCCCCTGCTGAAAAAGTTTGCTGACCCCTGAATAGGATTACATGGCTGTTTATGCATGGATGTCCATAGTAGGGTGATCGGGGAAATAGGATGGGGTTCTCATGGGCGTAGCCAGGATTTATATGGGGGGGGGAGAACCGAGCTATATGTGATGTGATTGGTCAGTTAATTAAGTATTTTTATTTATTTACTTGATGGGGGGGCTGCTCCTCCCAGTTATGTTCATGAGTTTTTTTAATCTTTTGTTGGGAGCCGCCCAGAGTGACTGGGAAAACCCAGCCAGATGGGTGGGGTATAAATGATGATGATGATGAGAATTGTTGATTTCAGACAACTTGTAAAGGTGCAGGAGCCTTGCCTCCTTTTTCCAAATTGCAAATCTAGCACATAGGATTGTACAGACGAGTTTTAGTTTTTGCTGTGGTTTATTTCCATATTTGGCTAACTGAACAACTTTTTTCTCCCTCCGCCCTTTTGTTTAGACTACTTGGGTGGAAGCAAGTGGAAGTTTGATGTTCCACCAACATGCTTTCTGCCTTATCTGCCACAAGCAGATTACCCTCCGCTGACGCATTCGAAAATCGAAATATTTGCTTTGCACTCACCAGACGGTCACAGGGATTTCACACAAAAGATGCTGGTGTGGTCTATAGAAAAAACATGGGGATTCTGAGGAAGCTGGTATGCCAGGTAAATAGGTACTGAAAACCCATTAGCACTGTGTTGCAGCTGAATTCGTTACATCTTGTGAAGAAAGTACTTCTGTGTAGAAGCGAAATCCATGTCAAGTATAAATTGTGATAATCACTGATAGGTTTCTCATGTAGAAAATTTGTAGTGTGTGAAGCAATACTAATGGGGTGAATTTTCAGGGATTGTTAATGCAGGTAAGATTAAGGGAACTTTAATTTTATACACGGGACGTGGGTGGCACTGTGGGTTAAACCACAGAGCCTAGGGCTTGCCGATCAGAAGGTTGGCGGTTCGAATCCCCGCAACGGGGTGAGCTCCCGTTGCTCGGTCCCTGCTCCTGCCAACCTAGCAGTTCGAAGGAACGTCAAAGTGCAAGTAGATAAATAGGTACTGCTTTGGCGGGAAGGTAAACGGCACTGTGCGCTGCTTTGGTTCGCCAGAAGTGGCTTAGTCATGCTGGCCACATGACCCGGAAGCTGTACGCCGGCTCCCTCGGCCAATAAAGCGAGATGAGCTTCGCAACCCCAGAGTCGGTCACGACTGGACCTAATGGTCAGGGGTCCCTTTACCTTTAATTTGATACACAGAAGATCAATGAGTTTCACACACAGTACTACTGACTCTCTTGGTTCTATCGTTGGTGCAATCCAATAAGTATCTACTCAGAAGTAAGTCTTATATTTGTTCATTGGGCTTACTCCTGAATGTTTATGTTGTTTATTAAAAATAAATAAATATCCTGACCTACGGATGCCTATGCTCCACTCAGGGTGAACAAGAAAGAAAATCAGTTTTAAAAAAACAAAACAAAAACCATGCTATATAATCCAATATGATTTCTCCTCCTTGGTTATGAAATCAAAGCCCCCTATCTTGCTAGAAGTTGTTGACTAAGGTCAGTTCAGGGGTTAATCACTCAGGGTAACTGATAGACTGTGAGAAATTGTAGAAACTTTTAGGATTCTATAGTTAAGACTTTGTAATTGAAGATGGAAAAGGGCTGCCACTCTTTATCACCTCAGCCCAAAATATTTGTAATGTAGAAATGCTACTTCTACTTCTTAATTTATGTTTTCTTTTCACCTTAATTAAGACATTACTGAAACCTATGCATGCCCACACATAGGCACATGATTGCAGCCATAGACCTCAGATTCCTGTTGTACAGGCATTGTATCTGTAATGGAAGCCAGTGGAAATGTAAACTGTGGAAATGTGTTTAATTGATACAAAAAATGTAATAATGCCATGCACAGATTACATTTTATTAAACCAAGGAAGTATAATGTTCTTTCTTACATGCAAAAATGTGTTTTTATTCACAAAATCCCTGTTTTTCTGATCTTTTACAATAGTATATAATCATTAAAAAACAAACCAGTTTGCTAGAGTTCCTTTCCTAGGGTCCTTTAGCCTAATACGGAAAACAGGCTTTGCATTCACTACAAAATGAATACAAATGATTAATGTAGGGCCATTTCAGGTATATTTCCTAAACCACATTTTTTATAACAGATCACTGTGATTTATTTCAGGAAAGTACAACATTCAGGAACGTTTGGACAACACATTCCACCTCTCCAATTGCTTATCAAAGTGGGAGGATTTATTTCGACAACTATCGGTGCTGTGTGAGCAGGTATTTTATTTAAAAAACATACATTTAGAAGCGATTTTTCTCCTCCATCTTGCGATGCTATCTCCTGCATAAGTATTTGTAAAATGGAGGATTGCAATGTGGCACGGAATATCTCATTTTAAGAACTACAGTATTTTTTGGGAGACAACATGGTGCAGTGGTTAGAGTATTGAACCTTGAACTAGAAGTGGGGAGAACAAAGTTCAAATCCCTAGTGTGCCATGGCTTTATATATACAGTGGTACCTCGGGTTAAGCACTTAATTCGTTCTGGAGGTCCGTTCTTAACCTGAAACTGTTCTTAACCTGAAGCACTATTTCTGGGTTAGCGGAGTCTGTAACCTGAAGCGTCTGTAACCTGAAGCGTATGTAACCCGAGGTACCACTGTGTGTGTGTATACACACACACATATTCATGCCTCAGGTTACAGACACTTCAGGTTGCGTTTTTTCGGGTTGCAGACCGCCGAAACCTGGAAATACCGGAACGGGTTACTTCTGGGTTTCGGCGCATGCGCAGAAGTGCTAAATTGCACTTTGCGCATGCGCAGAAGCACCGAATTGCAACCCGCGCGTGTGCACACGTGCCACTGCGGGTTTCAGACGTGCATCCCGCATGAATCATGTTCGCAACCCGAGCGTCCACTGTATATACACACACGTGGGCGCGCGTGCACACACATATATCTTATATACGTGTGTGTTTGTGTGTGTGTGTAAGTCACTTTAAGACGAAATATTTTTTTGCTTGTAAGTGACAAATAAATATAATAAGACCTCTTTATTTTTGCATTCACATCCGAGGTCAAAATTGTTTTTCAAACGGGAGAGGATTTATGTTAAGAAAAGAAATGCCCGTGGTTGTTTAGAAATCCTAGGCATATGGATTTTTAAATAAGTGCATGAATACACATGCGTGCCCACAGCTGTATGCGTACAGGCGACGGCCATTTTGAGCGGGGGTTCCGTTCCTGCCCCCCGCCATCAGTGGAGCGTGTCACTTGGCCACACCTAAAAGGGTTGCTGCCTGTAGTTCAGTGAATGTATTAGTCGTGCTGCCACGCAAGCTGAGAGAAAAGAACAAACGGAGTTGTCGCTATTTCCATTTGTAGTGGAAAGTTTGTTTTTTTACTGTGCAATTTATGCATCCCAAATCACTTTGATACTGCTTCGTCCGTCGTTTTACAATTGAACAAGAATTTGAGTAATTGTTGGTGTAATTGTGGTCGTGCGTTTTATGTCATTTTTTAAATCTTGCTCTGTGGCTGTTTGCTGAAGTGCTTTGGTTAAATCTGTAAATAAAGACTTTGGTAAAATGTAACCGGGAAGGATAGCCTGTCTAGTAAAGTGGGATATTTGTCCCCTGAGCTCCCAGTTCAGCTCTAGGGTGGCCATTTATGTTTTGATTTTAAAAAGAGGGCAACCGAGGAGATAGATTTTCATATTATTAGCATATGTGCACAAATAGGCATAGTTACAAATTTAGAATTCAAATAGAAATGCAATGCAGCTCTTCATAGTGGGAAAGATCATGAGCGGTGACCTGTGTACCTGCTCAGTCTGTTGCTCAAGTTTTTATTGTTGAAGGCCAGCTTAAAGGCTCCTTCACTGCTGTTTCTGGTTCTTTAACATTTCATCGGATTTAGGCCAGAGAGACCTTCAAACTGAAGACTCCTTCAGGCAGAGGACTGTCCTCAGCAAAGTAGGACACATGGCCATTGTGCTACTGTTGTTGCTGCTCTCAGTCATATCAGTTCAGGAGTCACTAACCCTTTTTTAAGCTGGCACCACCCCAAGAGACAAAAATTAAAAAATGAGTGTAAAAGTGAAATCCAGTTGAATTAATCTGAACCTTGAAGGGCTCGTGGAGCTGAAAGAGGAAGCAGGAAACTTCCTCTTCCAGCTCTACGCAGGTGGCGCTGTGATCTAAACCGCTGAGCTTCTTGAGCTCGCTGATCAGAAGGTGGGCGGTTCGAATCCCCACGATGGAGTGAGTTCCCGTTGCTCTGCCCCAGCTCCTGCCAACCTAGCAGTTCGAAAGCACGCCAGTGCAAGCAGATAAATAGGTACCGCTGCAGCGGGAAGGTAAACGGCATTTCTGTGCGCTCTGGTTTCCGTCACAGTGTCCTGTTGCACCAGAAGCGGTTTAGTCATGCTGGCCACATGGCCCAGGAAGCTGTCTGTGCATGAACGCCGGCTCCCTCGGCCTGAAAGCCAGATGAGCGCCGCAACCCCATAGTCGCCTTTGACTGGACTTAACCATCCAGGGGTCCTTTACCTTTTACCTTACTTTTAAAGGGAGAAAAGAAGGGCTCAGACATTTTGTGCATGCCACGGCCAGACCTCAAGGGGGATAAGGCGCCAGTGGTTGCCTGTCTTAGTTGTTGTTTTTAAGTTGTAGACTGCCCTACCACTGCATTTGTAGCACCTATGGGCACTTAAGTAGGTTTAAAAAATAGCATCCAACAGAAATCACATAATCTTGGTTATGGTATTCGGGGAAGATAGAAGTGGTCAGATAGAAGTTCACAGCAGCCAAATACATGCACCTCTCCTTGACATTGGTGCAACTTGTTCATTTTAGGCTTCCTGCAGAGTGTTAGGAGTTCAGCCTACACTCGAGTAGGACCCTGGCAGAGACACATGCCCAACTGGCATGTTCTCTCCCTCCTGGTCAATCGTTCAGGAGCTTCAAAAGCTTTCTTCAGCCCGAACATCACAGCAACCGATGCCAACCGACACCGGCACACTTAGGGATCCGCAGAGTCTTTGCAACTCGCGTGACAGACCTCAGCAACTCAGCATTTTGGCTAATCTACTTCATTTACATATAAACACACACGGAGCACTGCAACATGGCTCCCTCTCTCTTTAGCATCAGACAGCAAAGAGAAAAAAACAAAGGACAATAGTCCCACTTCACGGAACACAGTAACACAAACATCCCGTGTTCGTCACTTCCCACTCTGTGGAGTCAAAACGTATACCCATGACTGCAACCATGGAGCAGGAATTCTAACACAGAGGAGCTCCTTAGATGGTAACGCGCAGTAAGCCAGCCCAACTGGGTTTTTGAGGACCATCCTGGCTCGTGTTGCTGAGTGAGCCATGGACATCTTCCCAGAAGTCTTGCCCTGATGGTGCCTTTGCACCTCAGAGATAACAGGCAAGAACAGGAGAGCTTTTGCCAGAGGCAGTCCCAGGCCCCTGCCTTCTCTGACAGTAGGAGGGGCAAGGGAATGAAGAAGAGAGGAGAGGAAGGATATGGTCGTTGCTAAGGGTGCTGGGAATTGTAGCTCTGTAAGGGGTGAACTATAGTTCCCAGGATTCTGGGGGCTGGGGCGTCATGCACTTATATGTATGATGTGTATAAAGTCTTGATCGTTATTTATAATAATAGCTAAAAAGACTTTCTGAATCATGGGAAATAATATACTCTAATTTCTCACCCGCTTTCTCAGCACCACACCGGAGCCGAGGATAATTTATCAAATGCCAAGGCGGCCTAGATCGGAAAAAATAGAAGATGCTTTGTTATTGGAATGCCCAGTGGTAAGATTTCTTTTGTTTTCCCAACGAAACAACTTTGCTGAGAAAAACAAGAACCAGACTCCCTTGTGTCATCTTTAGCATATTATTATTTTCCTTCCTTCTTTCCAGTCCAACACATGAAATAATCTTTGGGGAGCCGCCTTTTGGGACTAAAGTAATCAGCATCTTTTAAAGTGTGGGCAGCTCCTGTCTGTTCAGGCATTTACATGTATACAGTCACCTTCCGGTAATCAGGTTCAAATACACTATAAGGTAAAGGGACCCCTGACCATTAGGTCCCGTCGTGACCGACTCTGGGGCTGCGGCGCTCATCTCGCTTTATTGGCTGAGGGAGCCGGCGTACAGCATGACTAAGCCGCTTCTGGTGAACCAGAGCAGTGCACAGAAACACCATTTATCTTCCTGCTGGAGCGGTACCTATTTATCTACTTGCATTCTGACGTGCTTTCGAACTGCTAGGTTGGCAGGAGCTGGGACCGAGCAACGGGAGCTCACCCCGTCGCGGGGATTCGAACTGCCGACCTTCTGATCGGCAAGTCCTAGGCTCTGTGGTTTAACCCATCATTTTGTAAGCTTCCTTACACGATTGTGAAGCCTCAATACACTATAAGAAATCCTTTAAAGCAAGCAGCTGGTGGGTTTGCAAGTCATAATAGGGTGCACATTCTGAAATTCCACACCCCAGGCTGCTGTAACTAGCAAGTGCTTGTGTTATGCTATTTTGCTGTTGCATTATTCCATATTGGAAACAGTGTTAGAAACAGAGATATGAAAGCTAGGAGCTAAAAGGCACCTTAAACCTAGGTTATGGGCGCAACAATGGAATGTCTAGGCGCACTTTTTAATAACAAGAATTCAAAGCTGAAAATGAATGAACTGCAGCTAAAATATTAGGTTCATTTTTCACATGGTCTAGTCCTTCCCCTGCCCACTCCCCTAATATCCTTAAGAGGATCTCTTCTCCAGTCTTCAGAGAGTAGCTGGCAGTGGGGAGGCAGAAAAAGCTCTTCCTTTCCTCCCACTCTACAGTTTTAATCTGAAATCTTAGGCGCAGTACTGCGCCCAGAGCTCAGAAACTGCTCACGCTACTGAAATTCCCTGTCGCAAAATGCGCCAGGAACAAGGGGAGTTTCAAACACTGATTGAAAGCATGGCAAAATATCCATTCGCATAACAGCTGGAGGGTGAAGGGGCTCATATGTTACAAGTCCAGAAGTGGCGTGTAATGTGTTGCTTGTGTGTTCTGTCCACAGGGACACATTGCACAGCCCATTGGGATCCCTATCAGAGGTGAACCAAGTCTCCAAATTGTGTAGAGCAAATGTTCAGAGGTGCCTTAAGTTCAGCGCTTCGCATTTTCTCCATAGGAGAGCCAGTGTGGTGTAGTGGTTAAGAGCGGTGGACTCGTAATCTGGTGAACCAGGTTCGCTTCCCCGCTCCTCCACATGCAGCTGCTGGGTGACCTTGGGCTAGTCACACTTCTCTGAAGTCTCTCAGCCCCACTCACCACACAGAGTGTTTGTTATGAGGGGAGGAAAGGAAAGGAGAATGTTATCCGCTTTGAGACTCTTTAAGGGGAGTGAAAGGCGGGATATCAAGTCCAAACTACTCCTCCTCCTCCTCCTCCTCTTCTTCTTCTTCTTCTTCTGGTGTTCACACAGGTTCACTATTTGGGGTTGGGACGCGAACCCATTGTCGCGGTTGAGAATCACTTCACAGATAAGGAGCTGAGACTCCAACAAAGAGATGGGGGGAGAGCTGCCTGTGGTTGTAGTTACAGTGGTGCCTCAGGTTAAGTACTTAATTCGTTCTGGAGGTCCGTTCTTAACCTAAAACTGTTCTTAACCTGAAGCACCACTTTAGCTAATGGGGCCTCCTGCTGCCGCCGCAACGCAGGAGCACGATTTCTGTTCTTATCCTGAAGCAAAGTTCTTAACCTGAAGCACTATTTCTGGGTTAGCGGAGTCTGTAACCTGAAGCGTATGTAACCTGAAGCGTATGTAACCCGAGGTACCACTGTATTATCATTACTATTCTTAATAATGATTTAATTTCTGTACCACCCTTCCTCCGAGGATCACAGGTCAGTTTACAATATAAAAACACAAAAATACACAACATAGGAACATTCTCTATTTCTTAACACAGGGTGAAGTGCTGCCGACTCCATCAGACTACAAACCTTCCTTGTTGGTTCTGACAGCAAACAACTGGCTCTTTCGCCTTTCTGCAAGTACGGGAGAAATACTTGAAAAAGTGTACCTTACTTCCCACTACAAATTCAGGTAAAGAAGGTAGGCTTTAGTATAAGATTGCTTGAGGGTTACTTCTCAGCACAGAGTGAAATCCTATGAATGCTTACTTGAAAGCAAGTCCCTCCTAGTGGGGCTTACTACTCTAGGCCACTATCCTGTGTCCACTTACTAGCGAGTAAGAGCCATTGAACTCAGCAGGACTTCCCTTCAGCACAATCCAGAGTACATTGCCTCACAAGTAGGGATAGATGAATATACCTCTTGGTATATCATTTTTCCAGCTTTAAATTTAGTTCTCCACATTTCTGCAGCAATTTGCATTTTAAAAAAAAAAATCCCTTGAAAATTTGCCAGCGTTTTAATATGAATTTCTCATTAAAAAGCCGATTTGTTTGCTGTAGATTTGACTAATATACAGAACTGCATACAAAAACATGCTTGTTATGATGCATTTTTTAAGCAGTCTTCCCTTGCGTGCTTTTTTGTCTGTTATTTTTGCTAATATATGCATTTCAACACATATTTTGCCCCTAATATAATGCAAATCTTTACGTATTGTTTGGTTGGAGAACTGCATTTGTACAGTCTGGAGAGGTGTGAATTTCAGAAGTTGGCTGCCTTTCGATTCGCAGGTTGATTGGAGAAGTGCAGATTAGCTAGTTTCTTATTGAAATGCAAACAAAGCCAAATTTCCCTCCCAACTCAAAAGTGCCTCTCCCTGGAATTGATAATTGTCTGTATTTCTGAGTCATGCACTCAGGACAGAAGCGCCAACCTTGATCAGATTTTGACCGGCCTTTGCCTTAATCACAGCCTTTCCGTGGAAGCTGGAAGAGGTGATAGCTGCTTGGGTCCCAAGGAAGATTGATTCCAAAATGATTTTAATACCGCTTTCTTACTGGGGAGAGAATGCTTCTGCTTCTTCAGGGCTTGCTTAGTACCAACAGAGCCTCTTAAATAATAAGTGTTGTTTAACAGTGACTGCCATTGCTTACTTCCTTTTGTCCAAGTAGGTCAATCCTTTTTCTTGGCAGTTCCAGAATGGGAAAAGAGCAGCAGGGAATGGCTTGATGGGGTGGCAGCTCTCACCTGACCTCTAGTCAGCTGCTGCCTTCCAGGAGGGTTGAGGAGGTGGTGAGGTCAGTGTGGTGCGAATGCAGGAACCTCGGGTTGGCTCCTCTGCTATGTTTGCACTGCAGCAGCACTGTTAGAATTCCTGCTCCGTGATTGCAGTCATGGGATTGTTGTCTATCACATGACTGTATATGTTTTGACTCCACAGAGTGGGAAGTGACGGAGGCAGGATGTTCGTGTTACTGTGTTCCATGAAGTGGGACTATTGTCCTTTGTTCTTTTTCTCTTTGCGGTCTGATGCTAGAGAGAGAGAGGGAGCCATGTTGCAGTGCTCCGTGTATGTTTATATGTAAATAAAGTAAAGGTAAAGGGAGCCCTGACCATTAGGTCCAGTTGTGACCAACTCTGGGGCTGCGGCGCTCATCTTGCTTTATTGGCCGAGGGAGCCAGCGTACAGCTTCTGGGTCATGTGGCCAGCATGACTAAGCCGCTTCTGGTGAACCAGAGCAGCCCACGGAAACACCGTTTACCTTCCCACCAGAGCGGTACCTGTTTATCTACTTGCACTTTGACATGCTTTCAAACTGCTAGGTTGGCAGGAGCAGGGACCGAGCAACGGGAGCTCACCCCGTCGCAGGGATTCAAACCACCGATCTTCTGATCGGCAAGCCCTAGGCTCTGTGGTTTAACCCACAGCGCCACCTGCGTCCCTGTATATAAAGTAGATTAGCCAAAATGCTGAGTTGCTGAGGTCTGTCATGCGAACCGCGCAGACTCTGCAGATCCCTAAGTGTTCCGATTTCTGTTGGCATCGGTCACTGTGTTGTTCGGGCAGAAGAAAGCTTTTAAAGCTCCCAAACGATCGACCAGGAGGGAGGGAACTTGCCAGTTAGGCATGTGTCTCTGCCAGGGTCCTACTTGAGTGTAGGCTGAGCTCCTGACAAACACAACCCATCAGAGGTCAAGCAGAGCACCACTGTCCACTGTTGGTAGAAGGAAGGTCCTGAGAGAGTGACGTATTTAAAGCATCTCAGCGAGGGATTTGCCACGGGCCCCATATTCTAAAGGACGTTGAAAACAAAGCAGTTCACTTTCCCAGAAAATAAATGGCATTTCATTTTGGTTGAGAGTAGGACCCTTGGCATTTTGTTTTGGTCCGTTTACCTTTTATTTGGTCCGTTTACCTTTTACCACTAGATATCTAAGTTGGGATGTTCCTCAAGAGGTCATGGTTGTCAAGTCAGCTCAGCTGAAGCTCCCTGTGGCCGCACGGCAGGTACGTTGGCTGGAAAGAATTTGCTTTCAAAAGGAGACCTTTTGGGGTGCTTCTCATGTCACGCTATATAGGAAACTTCAGGAACTGTTTCTCCCTGATTTTGCTTATGGGATTACTGTGTCTTTAAAGGACAAGGATACTTGGGGTATCCGAGTCTATAATGTATCTCAGAACTTTGGGAGTCCCTGATCTGACTCGAGATGCCTTGTGAACAGCATTCGAAGCTCCCATTGTTCCAGGCACGTTTTGCGACAAGGAATTTCTTTAGCACAAGCCGTTTCTGAGCTCTGGGCGCAGTACTGCGCCTAAGATTTCAGATTAAAGCTGCAGAGTGGAAGGAAAGGAAGAGCTTTTTCTGCCTCCCCACTTCCAGCCACTCTCTGAAGACCGGAGAAGAGACCCTCTTAATAATATTAAGGGGGTGGGCAGGGGAAGGACTAGACCATGTGAAAAATGAACCTAATATTTTAGCTGCAGTTCTTTCATTTTCAGCTTTGAATCCTTGTTATAAAAAAAGTGCGCCTAGACATTCTGTTGTTGCGCCCATAATCTGGGTTTAAGGTGCCATTTAGCTCCTAGCTTTTACATCTCAGTTTCTAACACTGCTTGTTAATGGCTCGATCCAACTTGGGCAATCTTATCCAGATCACCCCACTCACCTCTTAATTCGGGAAGTACAGAAAGCCAATCCACACCCCTAGTGCATCTGTTTTCAGAGTGGTAGCCATGTTGCTCTCTCCCGAGAGATTATACCATCATAACTGCTTGAGGAAGAAGATGCTCATTCGTATCTACCTCTGCCCCATCATGCCCAAGCTGAAGTGTGATAACTGTTTCCGGCATGTTCCTTCCTAGGCTGGCATCCAGCAGTCTGTGCTTTTCTTCCTTGCTGTGTTCAGAGTTCTTCCGCTTTCGTTCATCGGGATGCTAGAACTTGACAAAAAAGTAAGTCTGTTATCCTAGGGGTTAGTAAAGGGACCCCTGACCATTAGGTCCAGTCGTAACCGACTCTGGGTGCGGCGCTCATCTCGCTTTATTGGCCGAGGGAGCCAGCGTACAGCTTCCGGGTCATGTGGCCAGCATGACTAAGCTGCTTCTGGCGAACCAGAGCAGCGCACGGAAACGCCGTTTACCTTCCCGCTGGAGCGGTACCTATTTATCTACTTGCACTTTGACGTGCTTTCGAACTGCTAGGTTGGCAGGAGCAGGGACCAAGCAACGAGAGCTCACCACGTTGCGGGGATTCGAACCACTGACCTTCTGATTGGCAAGTCCTAGGCTCTGTGGTTTAACCCACAGCGCCACCTGCGTCCCAATATCCTAGGGGTTAGCTGGCCTCTTTCCGAGTGTTCTCAGAAAGTAAAGCCATCAATCGGTACAAATTGCTAGTTTTAGAAAGCCTGAGAAGCCATTATTATTATTATTACTATTATTATTATTAAATTTACGTATTTCCCCTTGTATAACACGTCTCCGTGTATAAGACGCTCCCTATTTTGAGGGACTCAAAATTAAGAAAATGGGGGCAATTGCCCCCGTGTATAAGACTACCCCCCTTTTAACATTATTTTTTAGTAAAAAAACCTAGTCTTATACACAGATAAGTACGGTATATACCGCGCTGTATGGCTCCAGGTCCTAATTTCTAACCAATGCTGGTGATTTTTGTCAAGTGTAGGAGGCCTCTACTGATCTCTTCATTTATTTTCTTTCCACTCAATCCAGATCTTTGGAAACAGCATGACAGACGCCACGTTGTCTCATAACATGCTGGTTGTGACACACAGCTCTGGCCTTGTCAGGCTGTACAGCTTCCAGGCTATCTCTGAGCAGGTAAAGGACCACGAGCAGAATCAGTACAGCGCCGCTGATGCAGAAGTTGTTTTAGAGTAACGTAGCTTATATGCTTAAGGTTGGGGAGAAGCAGCAGGCGGAGGGGTGAAGCAAAGGTTAAAAAGCATTGATATGAGTCAGTAACAAATACCCCCTACTGCACATCAGCATAAACTTGGTTCCTGAATCATACAGAGAGGGGGAATTTGCTCTCCACGGAACTCCAAAAGAAGCATATGGGAAAAGAACAACAACGGAAACAAAATGAGGTCAACTTATTTTTTGTGGGTGGCAGAGATGTGTTGGGATACTGCCAGGGAGATAAAGTCCATCAAGGCCCCCAAGCCGTCTGCCAGACGATCCATCGACCTCCCGTAGGCATGCAGCGACATGAGTTTCTAGAAAATATCTTGCCACATTCCAGAGCTCATGCACACTCTATCAGCAGAGCAGTTCACCCACTAATAGGGAAAATCAGCTTTGATCAGAACACAGAAAAACATGACTGCCTGCTTTAGTGTCTACGACACAGAGAGAGAAAACGAAAGCAATAGGAAACATAAACATCCTGTGAACAGGAAATACGCAGACTCTGTGACTCACAGCCTGCTCCCTTTTAAGGTGGAACGGAAATATCCTAACAAGATGTGCCTCCCCAGATCGGACTTTCCCACCCCAATGCCCTTCAGAGATTGCTGGGGTGCAGCTTCTGCCATCCCTGACAACTGGTCATGTGGCTAATGGCATTTGGTGTTCAACGGGGCGTTTGCAGGGCACCTGGCTGGAGAAGGCCATTGTTCCAAAAAGCGAGCGAGCAAAAAATAAAAATAAAAAAATGGAACGCTTCACGAATTTGCATTTCCAAATTATAGGAGTACTACAATATATCCAAAACAATGGGAAAAATTGGAAGGATCTCAAAAGAGAAGATAGGGACTTGGAAGGTGTTTAAAGGATACTTGCAAAACCATATTGAAAAATCAGAACTCCTATTAGAATAAACAAGTTCCGTTTTAAATACTGGAATACTAAATAAGATGGATAACAATGTGTAATAGAAAAAGAAGCATGAAATTAGGTTAAAGGTGTGTGAAAGAAAGTAGTAGAAGTGGAAAGAAATTGCAATTGAGTAGATTGGAAGTCTAACACAAAGGTGGGGTGAGGGGTGGTGGACGGTGATGGGAAAAGGAATTATCTGTGGGATTGAGTGTAGGTATGTTTGAACATTTTTAAGGATTGTATGAAATGTATGTTTGTATATTTAAAAAAAGAAAAAGCGAGCGAGCAGTCAGCCACATTCCCTTCTGTGAGCAAACCTCCTCATGCTGGTAGGTGGACAGGACCCTGAGGCAAAACCAGCCAGACTAGGGTGGTCCTTCATCCAGACTAGGGTGGTCCAACGCACAGCCCAAGGCCTGCATGTGGCCCTCGAGGCAACATTTGACGCTCTCCAACCCCCAGCCTTCCCCAAGCCAGGTAAGTGAGGCACTGGGCTTGCGGAAGGAGATGTAAGGGCCCTGACAGTGTCCTAGAGTCCTTCTGCCTACTTCCCAAAGCCTAGTTAGTGCTTTCTCTGCATTGGGAAGGAGATGGAAGGGCTCTAGGACCCTACCAGAGCCTTTCAACTCCTTCCCAAAGACCAGGGCCTCCCTTACCCGGCTTTGGGAAGGCAGCAGAAAGGGGGGGGGGGTCAAATTTTGGCCTTGCTCGCCTCTGGCCCTGCCCAACAAGGCAGTGTGCATCCTGTGGGTTCCCTGCCAAAGTACGGCCCACGTGGTCTGAAAAGTTGGACTGCCCTGATTCAGGCAAGCAAGAGGCATCAAGAGTTCAAGATCACATTCCAGCCAGGCAAGAACGCTTTGGGTGCAAATGAAGGGCCAGTGAGGGGCAAGGCCTGGAAGAGTTCTGAAGACCAAACAGAGAGGCCCTTCTAGGCTTCAGGTTCTCGCTCCGTTTTCATCTGCGTATGCTTCCAGAGATAAATGTTGAAGCTCAGATTTAGAAACAAGGAATAACTTAAAAACAAGCAGACTTAAAACTTCCTTAGATGAGAAAACAGTGCAGCAACTTTCTTTAGAATAGAACAATCATACATGTGTCAAAAGAATTAAGCAGGTTTCTTTTGTTTTCTTTTAGTTCACAGTGTGCCAGGTGGATCTGGGACAAAAGTACTTCGGGAACGGCAGAGGTGGGATTGTGGGAAAATACCCCTTTGGGATTCCCTGCAATATTAAAATAACAGGTATTTCTACGGGGTTATAGTTTCATTACCACAAGTGGTCAGTTTCACGTTTTAGAAAAAGCTCTAGCGCTGCCAGTAACTGCTGCTTTTATGTGCATTGGTATAGTAATTGTTTTAGAATTTGTATTAATACTGTTAATGCAGTCCTTTTCGTGTCTCCTCCGAAGTAAGCACCATTGCATTAGTTTGGTCTTACTCCCAGGAAAGGATATATAGGATTGCAGCCTTTCTTTCTCTCTCTCTCTCTCTCTCTCTCTCTCTCTCTCTCTCTCTAGCTTTGGACTGTTATCCTGTCCCCTGTGGCTTTGGAGAGCATAAAACCTAGTACAGTCGTACCTTGGAAGTCAAATGGAATCCGTCCTGGAAGTCGGGTTGACTTCCAAAACATTCAGAAACCAAAGCGCGGCTTCTGATTGGCTGCAGGAAGCTCCTGCAGCCAATCGGAAGCCCCGTCAGACATTCAGCTTCCAAAAACAGTTTGCAAACCAGAACGGTCACTCCCAGGTTTGTGGCGTTGCAGAGCCAAAACATTCGAGAACTAAGCTATTCGAAAACCAAGGTACGACTGTACTGTGCAATTTGCAATGTACAATGCAATGTAGCAGCTTCAGCTGGTAAGACAGTTATGTCCATTCCTGGATCAGGCACTAGCTTGACCACTACTGTCCATGCAAGATTGGATAACTGCAATGTGCTCCACATGGGTTCAGAATGCAGCTAGGCTGCTTTGGGGAGCAAAGTACCACCAGCATATTGCTTGCAAGATTTGCAGTGGCAACCAATCCGTTACCAGGCAGACTTCAAGGTTTTGGTGCTAACATACAAGGCTCTGTGCAGCTCAGGACCAGGTTACTTAGGAGACCACATTATCCCTTATGTATGAAATAGGTCACTGCATTATCCGGGAGACTTCTTCCTTGAAGTTCCTAAAATACGACAGTAGCTCTGAGCTACTGGGCTTTCAGCACGTCTTATGAGAGTTGGCAGGCACCTAACATGTGTACTTTGTGGAAACAATTGAAGATACTTTTGTTCAGGCAAGCTATCCTTAGTGGTTATTTTGTACTGTTTTGTAAACTGTTTTTGACTATTTATATACTAGTGAATTGCCCTGAGACACACGTGAAAGGCGATTCACAAATTAATAAAATAAACACAATCCGTAAAGGGGAAATGTGATTTCTTGTGGCCTTTATTACCGTATTTTTCGCTCCATAGGGCGCACTGGACCATAGGGCGCACCTAGTTTTTAGGGGGGGAAATCAAGGGGGAAAATCTTATTTCCCCCCCAGCCCCAAAGAGCAGCGTACAGGTGTGCGCAACCTCTCCCTTCTGGAGGGGTTGCGCGCGGCTATGGCACAAGCCAAGGCAGCCAGCGGGATGGATCCCGCTCGCTGTTTTGGCTTCCTCTCTCCTGCCGGGAGAGGCTGCGCGGGGCTAAAGAAGAAGCCCTAGCCCTGTGCAGCCTCTTCCTACCAGAGGGGCTGCGCGCGGCTATCCCTGAAGCCTGGAGAGCGAGAGGGGTCAGTGCGCACTGATGCCTCTCACTCTCCAGGCTTCAGCGAAAGCAACGCAAAGCCTTTGGAGCGCGGAGGGAGCGCTCCCTCTGCGCTTCGGAGGCTTCGCGTTGCTATCGCAGAAGCCAAGGAGCCTGCATTCGCTCCATAGGACGCAAGCACATTTCCCCTCAATTTTTGGAGGGGGAAAAGTGTGTCCTGTAGAGCGAAAAATACGGTATATTGTCCCAGGTGTCTGTTTTGTGCACTGCTAATTGAATGCAAGGTTGCAGGGTTCTGCATAATCATTGTTGCACTATAAACTTTTGGCGTTTAGTGGTGTAAACTCTTGTGTGTGCGATCTTTAAAGCTTTACCGAAGAACAAATGGAATTATGAAGCTGTTCATGTTAACATTCGCAGGTACCCCAGATCTGCTCTTTGAAGTGTCTTCCCTGGAGAACACATTTCAAATTGGAGGACACCCTTGGCATTACATCATCACTCCTAACAAGAAAAAACAGAGAGGAATCTTCCACGTTTGTTCATTGAAAGACCACACTTTGGTAAATCTGTTCAAGTGTCACATATTGATTATCAATCAGAAAATCATGGGTGTGTAAACATAGGAAAAGAACCATTCAGCATTATTTCCTGATAGCTCAGTCAGTAGAGCATGAGACTTTTAATCTCAAGGTAGCAGATTCCTTGATTGCAAGGGGTTGGACATTCCAACTCTACAATTTATGTTTCCATGATTCATTTCTCATTGTTCACTTGTGTTTTCCTGAGTGCCCCATTTCAAGATAGAGTCGCGTATGTAGAGTCACGTTCAACATTAGGTTGCCCTGTTTTCTGTTTGTATACAGTGGTAAGGTAAAGGTAAAGGGACCCCTGACCATTAGGTCCAGTCGTGGCCGACTCTGGGGTTGCGGCGCTCATCTCGCTTTATTGGCTGAGGGAGCTGGCGTACAGCTTCCGGGTCATGTGGCCAGCATGACTAAGCCGCTTCTGGCGAACCAGAGCAATGCATGGAAACGCCGTTTGCCTTCCCGCTGGAGCGGTACCTATTTATCTACTTGCACTTTGATATGCTTTCAAACTGCTAGGTTGGCAGGAGCAGGGACCGAGCAACAGGAGCTCACCCAGTTGTGGGGATTCGAACTGCCAACCTTCTGATCGGCAAGTCCTAGGCTCTGTGGTTTAACCCACAGCGCCACCAGCGTCCTGTATACAGTGGTACCTCGGGTTAAATACTTAATTGGTTCTGGAGGTCTGTTCTTATCTTAACCTGAAACTGTTCTTAACCTGAGGTACCACTTTAGCTAATGGGACCGCCCGCTGCCGCCACGCTGCTGGAGCATGATTTCTGTTCTCATCCTGAAGCAAAGTTCTTAACCCGAGGTACTATTTCTGGGTTAGTGGAGTTTGTAACCTGAAGCGTATGTAACCCGAGGTACTACTATATAAGGAAACATCCTTGTATTGTTGGATTAAGCACAGACATGAGTACAAAATCTAGGGATAAGATCCCAGGATGTGAGCAAGACGCATGCCACATACTTTCGTTTTCCTGTTGCAAAGATGTGCATCTTCTGCCCATCTTCCTTGCAACCTTACAATAATATTTGGAGGCAGCACGGTGAAAATAGTGGGTTCAGTATTTAAAGCAGCTTTTCCCAACATGGTGCCCACTTTGTACTGCAACTTACATCAGCACAGCTATGTGCTTGTGGGGCTGATGCATAGCTGTCAGCTTTTCCCTTTTCTTGCGAGGAATCCTATTCGGAATAAGGGAATTTCCCTTTAAAAAAGGGGAAACGTTGACAGCTATGGGCTGATGGGATACGGAGCATGACAATATCTGGAGGGCCACAGGTTCCCCACCTCTGATTTAAAATATATATATATATATACTCAGGGAAGGTGTCGTATCCAGTTAGTAGGCAATTTATACAGGCAAGCATTAAATTGTGTTTCAGTCTAATTGTTTTGGCATCAAAATCTGAAGGGCTCATACCTGTTGTAAGCTCATCCCTTTTTTAAATTACTTTGGTAAAGTACCCTTGTAATAAATTAGATGGAAAACTGCATGTTTTATTTCAGATTTTACACTCTTTGTGCCCCTCAGAAATAGATTTCTTAGTGGTCAATGTGGGTTGAAAACAGAACTGCAAGGTTAGCCAAATGGATTATATTCTGGGATGAGATATTGAACAATATTCTGTGAAAAGTGGGACAAATTTGGACTGTGGAAACCAATGTTAAGTTGCCTAAAATAGGACAACACCCCCTACTTCCTTCTAGGTAGATCAGGATACAAATGCGTGCTATAACTTCTCAGTGTACATTAAACGGAGCGGTCTCTTCTGTGTTTGTTTGAGATAACTTACATGTTTTGTTCCATCATTCCAGGCAAAGAACGGTATCCAGGATATGGAATGTTCCTCGTTGGAACCTGACTGGATATCTTTCCACCCAGACACTTCTGGAAGAGTGCTGCATGTGGGACCAAGTTTGATTAAGTGAGTCTTGCTGTGAAAGTAGCCTGTGCCTACCTGTGACTCCATCGTTCTTTAGTCTTCATTGAGGGATTCACTGTCCAAGCTCGCAGGTGGCGCTATGGTCTAAACCACTGAGCCTCTTGGCTTGCCGATCAGAAGGTTGGCGGTTCGAATCCCTGCGACGGGGTGAGCTCCCGTTGCTCTGTCTCAGCTCCTGCCAACCTAGCAGTTTGAAAGCACACCAGTGCAAGTAGATAAATCGGTACCTCTCCAGCGGGAAGGTAAACAGCATTTCCTTGCGCTCTGGTTTCCGTAACGGTGTCCCATTGCGACAGAAGCGGTTTAGTCATGCTGGCCCCGTGACCCGAAACAGACAAATGCAGGCTCCCTCGGCCTGAAAGCGAGATGAGCGCCACAACCCCATGGTCGCCTTTGACTGGACTTAACCATCCAGGGGTCCTTTACCTTTTTATCTTTAGCTGTCCAAACTGAACTTCTGATTGGCCAAGGTTTCCGTGTCCTTATAATGTGTTTGGGAACGAGTTAGGCAAATTCATAGCCGTGATAGCTAAATGGAAGCTATATGTTCAGAGGCAGTATGTCTGTGAATACTAGATGCTGGGGGCATGTAGCAATGGTGGGTTGTTGCCTTCAAGCTTCTTGGAGGCATCCTGTTTATCATCTTTATTTCTTTATTGGAGGTTCATTGTTCATCATGATCTTGAATCACCCAACATGAATTTATAGCAATATCACGTAGCTAGATCTTCTAGTTTATATTTTCAAAGGTCATTAATTTCTGGATTCTCAGAACGAAAGAATTGAAGTAGAAATGTTTTACCTGCATGTGCACTCGCATGTACGCAACAGAGTCCTGGACATAGCTGTCAACTTTCAGATTTGAAAATAAGGGATCAGCAGCCTCACCTGTCCCGGGGACAGTCTACGGGATATCTAACAATCTGGGATAGCAGCGGGAAGTAGTGGGAAATGGCACTGGAATAAGGGAATTTCCCGTCAAAAAAGGGAAGGTTGACAGCTATGGTCCTGGATTATGCCCTTTGATACCACCATTACACACAGGAACACAAGAAGCAGCATTGTATGGACTGACATGTGGCAGGTTCTGATTCCACCACCCAAGAGATGCCATATATATGCTTATTAAAAATGTGCTGGTTCCTGACTCCATCGCTCCATCTCAGAATGCGTAGTGGCTGTGAAATTAGTGTTTTACTTCCCTATCACACCTTCCTGTGAACGTGACTCTCTTGGTTTCATTTTTCTCAACCAGAGTTTTGAAGCTGAAGGAATCTGAAAATAACGCAGAACAGCAGGAAGTTACGAAAGACTTTGTCATACAGGCCAACAGGAGAAATAATGTGAGAATGTAACAACAAACGTGGATTGTTGTTGTTGTTATTATTATTATTATTATTAAACTTTTTTATTTGTGCAATTTGTATATTATAGAGACCATTCTTCTCATTTCACCTCTAGCTCAGATAGGGAGAAATTAACTCTCATTTAGGGCTGGTTCACACCTGCAGCTTCCTCACTCATTCACAGTCAAAATTTCTCTGTTCACCTGCGTTAGTACCTTTCAGTGGAGACAACTTTGGACTGGATTTATGAATGGTTATCAGGTGATGAAGATTCATGGGTGTGAATCAATCCTTTGTGGCCTTTGTGTAGCAAGAGGCAGGCTTGGTCCTCTGCTGAAGCTGTGAACTGTTTAGGGATGTGTGGCTTTAAAATGTTTCCATTGCATCTGAAAGTTGTTGCATGGAAGCAGATCACAAAAAGGTACCATTGAAAAGACCTAGAAACTCACCATGAGTTCTTCATGACTTGCATCTGAAGACCTGAAGTTTAGGTGCGGCTCACAAACCGACATATAGGGCAGCTTTTTCAGATAAGGGGTCAGGCAGCTTTGAAAATATAGCGGTGCTACATTTGAAAATCCTCCTTGAGGAGAAAATGTGCGCTGTCAAAGCCTATCAAGAAAAAGTTGCTAACGTCAGAGAAAGATGGGATTTGCCCCTTGTGTGTAAGTTACTAAATTGTGTAGTCTCTGTGTACCAAGTGGAGCTAAAAAGAACTATTGTTATTACAGTCGTACCTTGGATCCCAAACGCCTTGCGAGTCAAACATTTTGGCTCCCGAATGCCGCAAACCATGTTCCGGTTTGCGAACGTTCTTTGGAACCCGAACGTCTTCTGTGGCTTCCGATTGGCTGCAGGAGTTTCCTGCAGCCAATCGGAAGCCGCGCCTTGATTTGCGAACGTTTTGGAAGTCGAACGGACTTCTGGAATGGATTCAGAGGTACCACTGTATTGTTTATTTTCTAAGAACTAGATTTTGTTTTGGAAACGGAAAGGCTTTCAATCCTCGTGGTTGTAGAGCAAAGCTTGGGAACGTGGAGGCAGGGTATTCAAACAGGGTTTTTAAGCTATTTAAAAAGAAGGAATGTTTTCTAGTTTGGGCACTCTCATCAGCCCTAGCCCTCCATGTTCAGTGGTCAGAGAAGATGGGAGCAGGAGCCCAGCAGCATATGACGGGCCACAGGTTCCCCACTCATGCTTAGAACCTAGATTTCCATGGCTCTTACTTTCCATGGCTCTTACTTCCTGTACTCTATTTACCTCCTGATTTATAGCAGGAATGGGGGAAGAGCTGTGAGATGTTGGAGAAACATTAATTACCAAACCACAGTCCCCACATGAGAGGTGCTTAGATCTAAACACTGAGCAGTCAGCGACATAATATGACGCTGTTGTTTGAACGTCTGCTTTGCGTGTTGCAGTAAGCCATGAGCAATTTGCATCATCTTAGCTCTTCCCTCCTTGTGCGTTGGTGGGAGGGGGACGGGACACAAAAACTGGCTTACCGTTCTGTCTGAAAACAGGGATTATGGTTTGTTTCACTCCTAGCAAACCACAGCCTGTAGCCAAGGTTCGTTCTTGGTTTCCTGAACATGGTTTGTTTGGAGCAAAATGGGCAGACTACCTCAGAAAGTAGTGGATGCATTTGAGGTTTTTATAGAGAGCTTCGATGGCCCTCTGTTAGGGATTCTTGAGCCGTGATTCCTGTATGCCGGGGGTTGGACTAGATGTCCCTTAGGATCCCTTCTAACTTGTATGATTCTGTGGAACAAATCTTAATCCCCGGTTCAGACATAACGCTAAGCAGGGAGGAAACAAATGGCTTAGATCGGCACATTCACAACAAACCATTAAATGTTGTTTACTGTGACATTGAATTGTATTGTTTTTAATGAGCTAGGACATAGTTATGAGAGAGAAATAACATAGCTAATAAAGGGAGGATGAGAAACAGCTTAAACAGTATTTTGAATGTGGTATTGAATAAACAACAGTAAAGAATCTTTATCTAGCTTTTCTGTGCTATAAATAAATACCCAGCAAGCTTAAAAGCTACTTTTCTAGAGTGCAGTGACTATAAGTCTGTATTTCTGCTGCAGCAGTTGAGAATGTACTGTTGACTTCATTATTCTCCTGAACGCTTTGTAATTATCCTTTAAATCTTTTCAGCAAAGACGCCCAAGAAGACGGTGTCTGTGTTTTTTCTAGGGGCAGTGCGCATTTTTCAAATCGTTTCGAAACTTTAACCAACCTGTCCTTAAGTATAAACTTGCTTAAAATCCATATTTAACAAACAAACAAAAAAGTAAATGAAAACTTCAGTTAGCGTTGTCCTTAATTTTACTATTTGTCTCATTTCTCTCTCTCTCTCTCTCTCTCTCTCTCTCTCCTGTCTCCATATTTTAATCTCAAAGATTAAGAACTCTGTAACAGTAACGGCGTCTGGCCGAGTTGTGAAGAAACGTATGACACTATTGGATGATGACCCTGGGCAAGAGGTAACCAAAAATTCTGTGATCTTGAATAAGGTAGCTCATGAAATGAGCCTCGTTGGCTTTGTAGAACTTGCGTTGTATCTGATGCTAGGTCTGCTCAGAGTAGAACCATTGAGATCAATGGGCATAACTGATTTAGGTACATTGATTTCAGTGGGTCTTCTCTGAGTACAGCATAGTTTTATGCAAACGTTTGTGTGTACATGTAAAATATAACTTACTCGTGTGTACAACCACACACACATACACACACATACACACACACACAGACACACACACACACACAGACACACACACACATACCCTGCTATACAGTGGTACCTCGGGTTAAGTACTTAATTCGTTCTGGAGGTCTGTTCTTAACCTGAAACTGTTCTTAACCTGAAGCACCACTTTAGCTAATGGGGCCTCCTGCTGCCACTGTGCCGCCAGAGCCCGATTTCTATTCTTATCCTGAAGCAAAGTTCTTAACCTGAAGCACTATTTCTGGGTTAGCGGAGTGTGTAACTTGAAGCGTATGTAACCTGAAGCGTATGTAACCCGAGGTACCACTGTATACCCATTCCTTTTGCTTTTGCTTTTCCCCCATTTTGATCTCTTCGTTTTTTCTAGTCCACCGCTGGTCAGCTAGGAATCTGCCAGCACGCACCTGGAAAACTAACTTTCTGCTAAAAATACAGCTTTTTGTGTTCTCTGTTCGCGGCGGGGGGCGGGGAATGAGGGGTACTAGTCCAGCGAAATGTTAGGCTATGCTTTAGAAATGTCAGGCTACCACTGTCCTAGATATCGTGAAATGCACAGGGAATCTAATTGGCCGGTGAGCATTTTGGTTATCTGACTGTCCGGTTTGACTGCAATGCCTGCGACCGATTTTCTGCTATTTGCAAGCCTGAGGTTCATGGAAAAGGACGGTAAACAACCTAGGCAAAACACTACAGATCTGAACAGTGTGCCCCCAGCATCATTAGCAACTATTTTTGGAATCCATTTTTCACCCTCCCATCAGGAACTGGAGCCGAGAAGACACAGCCACAAGAATTCTAATTCCTCCGCTTCTGGAAACTATCTGCAGCCTTGTTTCCATGGAAATGAATACCGACTGGGTGAAAAACATGGCAAGGGTTCCTCCATGGCCTTTAAAACCTGTAGTTCATTTATATTCAGTTACCAAATTTAGAAAGAGAGAGAAAACACACACAAGCAGGCGGAATTTTACCCATGGTATGCCTGCTGTTGGATTTTGTGGTTTAAATTATTACCATTATTATTGTTTATTGGATTTATCTGCAGCCCTGTACCTGGAGGTTTCGGGGCAGTTCACAGAACAAAATCAAAATATAAAACCACAAAATATATAATCGGAATAAAAACAACCACCCAACAACCCCTCCCAAAAACACACACATTTTAAAAGGGCATAGGATGTCAATCAAATCAACCAAAGGCCTGGTTAAAAAGGAGACGTTTCTGCCTGGCACCTAAAGGTGTGTAATAAAGGCGCCAGGCGAACTTCCCTGGGGAGTGCATTCCATAGACGGGGAGCCACTGCAGAGAAGGCCCCATTCTCGTGTTGACACCCTCCAGACCTCTGGAGGAGGAGGGCCTCAGAAGATGATCTCAGGGTCCGGGTAGGTTCATATGGAAAGAGGCAGTCCTTGAGGTATTGTGGTCTTGAGCTGTTTAAGGCTTTATAGGTCAAAACCAGCACTTTGAACTGGGTGAAAAACTTTAAAATGTTTTCTGGATTTGGGGGCTGCACCCCAACTAAGACACACGGAGAGATCGTGCTTCTAGAGGCTCCAAGTGAAAAGAATAAAAAACTTGAATGGCTGGAAAGCAAGAGGCAGCAATTGATGACAGGACCATTTATAAATTACAGCCGTTTCTCTATTATTATTAATAATAATAATAATAATAATATATTTATACCCCGCCCATCTGACTGGGTTTCCCCAGCCACTCTGGGCGGCTTCCAACAAAATATTAAAATACAATAGTCTATTAAACATTAAAAGCTTCCGGAAACTTCTTTTAGACTTACTATTCTTCCGTCTGTTTGTTTTTACCTGCGCAATAGCTAGGAGGTGTTTTAAAAAACTGTGGCAAAACAACTTAACTTTCTGAGTAACCCGAGCTCCTGTTTTTAATAAGACTTTCAAAATTGTGGACTATGAAGATGAACTGAATTTACTGTCCGTTGTGGCAGTTACTCAGATAGGAGCTGATGGGGCTGCCCACCTCGACTTCCACTGCAACGAGTATGGGACTCGACTTAAGAGCATTCCGTTTGCGGAATCTTGGGATGTGGTGAGTATAATCCCACTTAACGTACCGTACTTTCCCATGTATAGGACTATGTTGTTTTCTTTAAAAACCATGCTAAAAAGTGTGTGTCGCCTTATACATGGGTAGTGCACAGGGCAGACGTTTGATTGGTTGCTGCCGCGGCTTTCAGTGGCTATTGTGCGTATTATTGGTTTCTGCATCAATGGGTGGTCTTGATTGGCTGACGCTGTGGCAGTTGGGCGGGCGATTGGCAGCTTCTGGCAGCGATGGTTCAGATGGGAGGCGGATTTTCGTCAATACCCCCTAAAAAAGCTCAACAACCCTGGTAAAGTAAAGGTAAAGGGACCCCTGACCATTAGGTCCCGTCGTGGCCAACTCTGGGGTTGCGACGCTCATCTCGCTTTATTGGCCAAGGGAGCCAGCGTACAGCTTCTGGGTCATGTGGCCAGCATGACTAAGCCGCTTCTGGCAAACCAGAGCAGCATGGAAACGCCGTTTACCTTCCCGCCGGAGCGGTACCTATTTATCTACTTGCACTTTGACGTGCTTTCAGGTACCGCTGCGGCGGGAATGTAAACGGCGTTTCCGTGCGCTCTGGTTTCCCTCACAGTGTTCCGTTGCGCCAGAGGCAGTTTAGTCCTGCTGGCCACATGACCCAGAAAGCTGTCTGTGGACAAATGCCGGCTCCCTCAGCCTGAAAGCGAGATGAGTGCTGCAACCCCAGCCGCCTTTGACTGGACTTAACCGCCCAGGGGTCCTTTACCTGTTGACAATGAGCGCTTTGCTGGTGGATTGAACAAAACGCCCCCAACGGGCTGCAGGCTCCATCCAGCCGCTTTTTGCCTTCAGCAGCCGCCAGTTCTGTTGCGTCACAGCAGACTCCTCTCTTTGTCTCTGCTTTCCTGCCTCTCATTCTCTCCTCCCTGCCCTGCCAGCTGAGCCTTATTTGGCGGGAAAGTCCCTTATCCCAGCGCCGTGTCCCGCTGCTGTCCTTTATTGATCCCTTAAATTTCCCGGGTTTCAAAGGAAGCAGCTCCTCTCCCTCCCTGCCTGCCAGCCAGGGAGGAGGGAGGCTCCAACTGTGTTGCTTGGCTGCGTTGCTCACCCAATAAAGAGTCTAAGAACGACTGGGGGTGGAGCTTGCATGCCTTGTGCCGATCAAATCGGCCGCGTTGCCTGGGGACTCGCCTTTGCTCAGCGCTTCCCAGCGGAGAGGTGACGGTGGTTTTCCTTGCTGCATCCCCTTTGCCGGGTTGCTGCGCTGTGGGAACCACCGCTTGAGGCTTCATTTGGCTGCTGGTTGACTAAAATCCCTTATTTTGGCTGCTGATCCCTTATTTTCGAGGCTGCTGGTCCCTTATTTTCAAATCTGTAAGCTGACAGCTATGCAGCTGAGGCCCCACCTAATCTCCAAGTCCCAATCAGCAACTGCCATGGCCAATGGTCTGGGATGATGGAAGGAGTTCTCCGACAACGTCTTAGGAGCCGTGGGTTCCCCGTCACTCTGGAGTAGAGCTTATATTCACTGGTTAGCCCAAGCTTCATGTTATAACTTGCTTGCTGCAGAGGGATGTCATATCTAGGCGTTGTTCACCACAAAGCCCTGTGTGTCATAGGGGTACCTTCCCCTCCCTGCCTACCTGAAATGAAAATTACTGTTTTCTTTGTTCTCTCCATGCAGACATACAACCATGAAGTTTACTTTGACAGAAATATAGTTGTGCACATAGAACAGAAGCCTAGCAGGATCTACAGCTGTTACGTTTACCAAATGACCTGCAGTAGTTCTAAGGAAGATGAAGACATAAAGAAGGGGAAAGGAGAACGACTCTTTTGTGAAAAAATGGGGAAAACTTTTGAGGTTTTTTTGTAGTTCTAGCCATTTTAGAGACTTTGCACCGGAGGATTTGTAAACCTCTTTGAGCTGGTTAATAGTTGTTACTCAGCTTCCTCTGTGTAAATATACATCCTTTTGTAATGAAAAAAAAAATTCCCACTACATATTTATTCCCACTACATATTTATTTTGAAGTTGTTTTACACGTAATGAAATGCGAATTGCGTTTATTTGCAATGTTTTCAGGAGGCAGAAGGGGTCGCTACCCATTTGGCTGAAGAGCAGGATACCTTTTGATGGACTAGTTCCTACGACACACAGACTTTCAATAGCTCAAAACTACATTTGTAATAATAATTTTATTATTTATATGCCGCCCATCTGACTGGGTTGCCCCAGCCACTCGGGGCGACTCCCGACACAATTTGAAAATACAATAAAACATCAACCATTAAAAACTTCCCTGAACAGGGCTGCCTCCAAATGTCTTCTAAAAATCTGATGGGAGGGTGTTCCACAGGGTGGGTGCCACTACCAAGAAGGCCCTCTGCCTGGTTCGCTGTAGCTTCATGTCTCCTGGTGGGGGAACCACCAGAAGGCCCTCGGAGCTGGACCTCAGTGTCCAGGCTGGACGATGGAGGTAGAGACACTCCTTCATTTATGGTTTCTTTAAAATGTTTATCTTCTTTAAGTGAGACCACAAATAGAATTGCAGTACAGCCATCTTCAGATTCCATAAAACAGTAGACTCTGTAGGGAGCAAGTTCATGCTCATTTGACCTAATGCTAGAGCATTCATGAGCAAATGCTGGATGACATAGTCTTATCAGTACAGTGGTACCTCGGGATGCGAACGGGATCCATTCTGGAGCCATGTTCGCATCCTGAAGTAAACATAATAAGTGACGGCGCGTGCGCGGGTCACATTTTGTCACTTCCGCGCATGCGCATGACGTCATTTTGAGCGTCTGCACATGCGTGAGCGGCGAAACTCGGAAGTAACACACTCCGTTACTTCCAGGTTGCCGCGGAGCGCGACTCGAACGCACTCAACCCGAAGCACATTCAACCCGAGGTTTGATTGTAGTGAGAAGGGAGAGCAGGGGCTGGACTGAGCACTTCCCTCAAACAGAAGATTGACTTATCGCCAATTACCGTATTGGCCTGAATATAAGCCTCACTTTTCCCCCAAATTCCGACCGTGAAAAGTTAAAGTATGACTTATATTCGCAACCTTACGGTATGCAGCCAGGAGCGCGGGACAAACAGCGCCAGGAACATGGCAAAGCGGCGCCTGCCCCATCGAGGGGATGGGAAGGCTGGGAAGGGAGAGAGTGAGGAAGGGAAAAGTCCGTCGGTGTCAGGAGTGCGGGCAGGAGCCAGGCCCTGTGACCCTGTGACTGGGGCCTTCCTAAGTGTGTTCTGGAGAGGCAAGGGGCGGCCGCACAGGTGAGGCTGCTTGGTAACTCGCACCTGGTGGCAAGAGCCGGGAAGGGATATAAGGTCAGCATTTCCCTTCAGCTCTTTGCCACAGCAACTCGTTTTCTTCCTTGCTGCGTTTGGCTTTTTCCTTCCTGATCCTCGGACCTCGGCTTCTTGACTCCTTGTTTCTCAACCCTCGGACCCTTGACTTCGTGACTCCCTGCTTCCTGACCCTCGGACCCTTGGCTTCTGGACTCTCGTTCCTGCTCCCACCCCGCCATCTTGCCCCGGGTCCCGACGTCCTCAGCCGGGACTTCGATCGCCTGTAGACCAGACCACGACAGTCAGCAACATAGCACAGCTCCCCATTCCAGTATGCAGCCAGGAGCAGCGAGGATTGAAGCAGCTTATATTCGGTTATTTTTTCTTTCCAATTTTCTTTTCCAATTTTAAAGGTGTGGCTTATATTCGGGTGTGGCTTATATTCAGGCCAATACGGTATCTCAGTAACGTTACCAAGCGGGGCTTGCAAGTGGTGTTAACAGAGTGTGCAGCAGTCCACTTCTAGATGCACATATAATTGGGCCAGGGCCCCTGTAATTAAAACTTCATAACAGTTTTACAGCAGTAGGGATAGGAGAAGAGATTCAGTTCAGTTCAGGTTCAAAGCCAAACCGATCCAATTCTGAAACAATATGAGAGCCAAAACACAACCATCGTTCGAAATTCATGCTTGCCAAGATTTTTAAATGCCGTTCTCCAACCAGCCAGTGTTTACAAAAAAAACAACAACCACATATACATGAGGAACCTGTGCATGAACATATTCTTGAAAACATACAAAAATGCTATATTGAAATTATGTTGCTTGCAAAAGTGTGTACATGTCAAAACTGCATAGAAAAATCGTTTTATCAGGAGAATTTGCACTAAAATGCTGAAGAACCTTCATGAGGATTTTTGTTTTTTAATCACAAACTGCTGCAGAAATATGGAGAGCCGAGTTTAATATTGGGGAAATGAGGAGCTGTGAGAACTGAAATTGACAGATCTTTCCATCTCTATCTAGCAGTGGACTGGATATCGGAGGATAATGGCCCCAAAGAGTCAACTTGGCTGTTCCATACTATTGTTTGTCCCGATTTTGGCAAGATTGTATGTTTTCATTCTCAGATATGTTTGTACTGGCTTGGTGCAAGCTTCCTTTTAGAGCTTTACTTTTTAGCCAAAGCATTTCCCAAATTCCACTCAGGGCAAGGTCTGAGGGGGACTGTCTTTAAAACAAAACTGGAAATTCATATGTTGTCGCCGTTTCTTTTATTCTCGCAGCATATTATCAAAAGTCATGCATTTGTTTTAGATTTACAAAACGTTCTTCATTCTTCTCCGCATTTTCATCAGATATCCTGTCCACTCGATGGTGAAAATATATCATTACTAATCTGCACACATACACCTGAAATTGAAAGAAGTGCAAGTAGATAAATAGGTACCGCCCTGGCGGGAAGGTAAACGGCGTTTCTGTGCGCTGCTCTGGTTTGCCAGAAGCGGCTTGGTCATGCTGGCCACATGACCCGGAAGCTGTACGCCGGCTTCCTCGGCCAATAAAGCGGATGAGTGCCGCAGCCCCAGAGTCGTCCGCGACTGGACCAAATGGTCAGGGGTCCATTTTTATCAACAACAACAACAACAACAACAACAACAACATACAGTCAAACCTTGATTCCTGAATGGCTCTGTTTTGGAACGTTTCGGTTCCTGAATGCCGAAAACCTGGAAGTAAATGCTCCGGTTTTCAAACGTTTTTTGGAAGCCAAACATAATAATAATAATAATAATAATAATAATAATAATTTATTATTTGTACCCCGCCCATCTGGCTGGGTTTCCCCAGCCACTCTGGGCGGTTTCCAACAAAGATGAAAAATACACTAAAATGTCACATATTAAAAACTTCCCTGAACAGGGCTGCCTTCAGATGTCTTCTGAATGTCAGGTAGTTGTTTATCGCTTTGACATCTGATGGGAGGGTGTTCCACAGGGCGGGCGCCACTACCGAGAAGGCCCTCTGCCTGGTTCCCTGTAACTTGGCCTCTCACAGTGAGGGAACCGCCAGAAGGCCCTCGGCGCTGAACCTTAGTGTCCGGGCTGAACGATGGGGGTGGAGACGCTCCTTCAGATATACTGGACCGAGGCCGTTTAGGGCTTTAAAGGTCAGCACCAACACTTTGAATTGTGCTCGGAAACGTACTGGGAGCCAATGTAGGTCTTATATGGTCTCAGCGGCCGCTCCCAGTCACCAGTCTAGCTGCCGCGTTCTGGATTAGTTGTAGTTTCCGGGTCACCTTCAAAGGTAGCCCCACGTAGAGCGCATTGCAGTAGTCCAAGCGGGAGATAAACAGAGCATGCACCACTCTGGCGAGACAGTCTGCAGGCAGATAGGGTCTCAGTCTACGTACCAGATGGAGATGGTAAATAGCTGCCCTGGATACAGATTTGACCTGTGCCTCCATGGACAGCTGTGAGTCCAAAATGACTCCCAGGCTGCGCACCTGGTCCTTCAGGGGCACAGTTACCCCATTCAGGACCAGGGAATCCTCCACACCTGCCCGCCTCCTGTCCCCCAAAAACAGTACTTCTGTCTTGTCAGGATTCAACCTCAATCTGTTAGCCGCCATCCATCCTCCAACCGCCTCCAGACACTCACACAGGACCTTCACCGCCTTCACTGGTTCTGGGGAGTTTTTTCCTTTTTTCTTCATTGACTTTGCAGACCACCCTTTGATCCTTGGTTGTTGAACGTTTTGGAAGTCGAACAGTCTTCCGGAATGGATTACATTTGACAACCGAGGTTTAACTGCCATGATAATAATAATAATGATTTATTATTTATACCCCGCACATCTGGCTGAGTTTCCCCAGCCTCTCTGGGTGGCTCCCAACAGCATATTAAAAACACAATAAAACATCAAACATTAAAAACTTCCCTAAACAGGGTTGCCTTCAGATGTCTTCTAAAAGTCAGATAGTTGTTTATGAAGCCACAGGCGGCCTCTGAGACTATAGGTTTGAGTATTTCTGTGGTGGCTGTCACGAATGGGATACATTTACCTTCCCACCTAGCCAATGCTAATGAGATATGACTTGGGAAATCATACCCTCTGAATTAATTCGGTCTGCTCAACAGTTAAGTAATACGAGAGGAATGGAGAAATACTAAAAGCTTCCATATGATCCCTGTGGGAAGACAGCTTTATCAACGTTAAAGTGAACTCCTGGCTTAGGGAAGAATTGAGGAAATCATGCTTTTGAAAATGTGCATAAGCACAGAATGACATCTGCAGTAAATAAAGGAGGTTCACTGCCCTGCCACCGATTTAATCTCTGTTCAGGAATGGACCGTAGGGGCATTTTTGAAGCAGGAAGTCTCAGGATTTGAAAGCAGGAAGTTAAGAGTTTGTTTGTTTGATTAGATTTATGTACCGCCCTTCATCCCAAGATCTCAAGACGGTTCACAGAATAAAATATGGGAGAAAAACACGTAAATAAGTAAAACAAAACAGCAAAAGAATAACCCCCTCTCCTTTCCTCCTCTACATAAAATTCCCATGATCCCTGACCAAAGGGGTCCTGCTAGCTAGGGATTATGGGAGATGTAGTCCAAAAACATCTGGAGAGACCCAAGTTTAGGAAACACCGGTGGGCTGTGGCAGGTGCCCACTTATGCCAGCTCTTGACAGCTTCTGTGGGTCAGATGGAGAGAAGGCAGAAAATGTGGGTCAGAAAAATGTTTTTCTGAAAGGTGTTTTTTTAGGAGGTATTTTAAGATAAATATAGTGGAAAGGTTGATTCACAGGCGAATGAGCATATTCTGAACATAAGAGTAGAAAAGCTTTACAGTGGTACCTCAGTTTACATACACTTCAGGTTACAGACTCCGCTAACCCAGAAATAGTACCTTGGGTTAAGAACTTTGCTTCAGGATGAGAACAGAAATTGCACGACGGCGACAGCAGCGGGAGGCCCCATTAGCTAAAGTGGTACCTCAGGTTAAGCTCAGTTTCAGGTTAAGAACGGACCTCCAGAACGAATTAAGTTCTTAACTCGAGGTACCACTGTACAGTGTTACCTCGGTTTACGAACTAAATCCATTCCGGTAGTCCGTTCTTAAACCGAAATTATTCTTAAACTGAGGCCTAAAACTGAGGCCATTTCCCTAATGAGGCCTCCTGCTGCCAGCGCCCTTCCACCATTCGGATTCCATTCTTAGACCAAGGTAAAGTTCGCAAACTGGGACACTGCTTCCAGTTTTGCAGAGTTCTTAAACCGAATCGTTCTTAAACAGGACTGTTCTTAAACCGAGGTACCACTGTATTGCGGCGCTCATCTCGCTTTCAGGCCGAGGGAGCCGGCATTTGTCCACAGACAGCTTTCTGGGTCATGTAGCCAGCATGACTAAACAGCAGTGGGAGGCCCCATTTAGCTAAAGTGGTGCTTCAGGGTAAGAACAGTTTCAGGTTAAGAACGGACCTCCGGAACGAATTAAGTACTTAACCCGAGGTACCACTGTACTACTTCGGTTTCTTATTTTCCTGAACTCACTGTGACGGGGTAAACAAGGAGGATAATTCATGCTTTCCAAGGTCTTATAGAAGAACCTCTTCTTAGAAATACTTCATACTTTATTCTTTATATAAAGAACAGCTTCTATCCGTGGGCTGTTAGGCTGTGGAATGAAAAGATAACAGGGCAACTGACTTTTGGGTTTGGGGTGTGTGTGTGTCAGTAAACGAGGGGAATTAAGACTAAGAGAGCTGAGTGGGGGGTGCTTGTGTAATCTCACTGTATGCAAGTTGTACAAGTGACAATAAAGTATTTCAATTTCAATTTTAGAAGATGCCACTCATTGAAATCCAGATATAATTCAATCACCAGCAGCAACAAAAGTCTTGCTCCTGTGTGTGTTTACAATATTATTCATCGGTTTTAGGAGGAGCAATATTTATGCTAAGAGAATTCCACATTGCCAAGCTCTCTCCTATGAATAATGTTTCTTCCTTGCCTCATTTCAACCTGGACATGTTTGCCTGACAGTTCATGGGATGGTGAATCTTAAAATTGTCACTGGACCCAGACCCAACAAGCATAATGGGTGCTTGTTTCAGCGCTCTCTTATTTATATCAAATCAATACTTGGATAGAGCATTGTTTTCTGTTCAATAGTATTTAAACGGCATTTGTCTGAAGCTATTTGTTAAAAGTGATGTATTATGATTCTTTCAATAACGGGCAGAGAAAAGACAAGATTGTTAAACGTGCGAATTAATGTGCTACATGCATTGATGGTGATCCTGGAAGCACAAGTGATAAATTATTAATGGTGGCGCACAGTCTAATGCACTGTAGCACTTTTTTTTTTTTTTTAATGTCATCATTTTTGCATGGTCTCATTACAGCAGGGTTGTAAAAGTATCACCACTGTCTTCATGAACATGGAATAAAGCTTTTTACGGACTCTCTCTCTCTCTCTCTGCATTTGACACATTAAAACACACACACACGCACAGCCTAGGGTTGCCATATTTCAAGAAGTAAAAATCCAGACACAGTTGCTGAGCTGTTTTGGGACGAGGCCAGCAAAACACCTCAGATAAACAAGTGGCGCATGGTGCCGGCGGGGCCATTCTGCCACCCAAGATACGCGGGGCGGGTGGAATAGGAGCAGGGCTGGTCCAAGATATTTTGCCACCTGAGGCAGACCCCAAAATGGGACCTCCCTCCCTGCTAGGGAAGAAAGGGTGGGGGAAGGTCTACATCAGGAACAAGGGACAAAGACTGACAGGGAGATCTGCTTCCCTGTGGATCCTGCTGCCTGAGGCAGTCGCCTTGCCTTGCCTTATGGGTGGGCCGGCACTGAGGACGAAGTCACAGGTGGACTGTGAGCAGCAGAAGAGAAGAGCACACTTGCATCATGTTCCAGCCGGTAAATCCATGACCACATCCTCTTCAAAGATCCCACATTGTATCAGCCTCAAACCTGGCACAAATAATTTCCTTCCTATTTAGTTGCCCCCCCTCAATAAAAAATACTTAACTGAGATTCTGCCCCCCTCAACAAAAGCCTGTTGCCCCTAACAGAAATCCATGCTTCATCATGGTTTCTGTGTATAACTCATTTTATTTGGCTGCAACTTTTGACAGAATGAACATAACACAGTTTGTTGCATTATATTCTGAGTTAAAGGATCTTTCCGATGGTTTCATGGTATGACCTGATTCTGATGTTATGAGCCACCAAACCTCAGAAACACAACTTTTCGGTTGGTGGTTTCTGAAAGAGAGAGGATGGCGGCCGGGGAAGCCAATTCCATTTTATTCGTTTGCCTGGGGAACATTTGCCGCTCTCCCATAGCCTAAGGCATTTTGAGGAAACTTGTGGCTGAGGAAAACATTGAAAACAAGTGGGTGATAGGCAGCGGTGCTGTTTCTGACTGGAATGTGGGACGCTGCCCAGATGCAAGGGCTTTAAGTTGTCTAAGAAATCATGTCATTCAGACGGGCCATAAAGCACCACAGGTTATACAAGTTGATTTCCTAACTTTTGATTATATGCTTTGTATGGATGAAAGGAATTTACGAGATCTGAAAAGAAAAAAGCAAGAGTTTTCAAAACTGCAAATCTCAGATTGAGCTGTTTGGGATTGAGCTACGATCCACAAAACCAGCTTATTATGGAAGATCTATACTATGGGACTGATGAAGATTTGGAAACTGTTTTATCAACAGTGTCTTAGACGCTGTAAAGCAGTGGTTCCCAAACTTTTTTGGCCAAGTCCCACTTAAACATCTCTAAAATCCTGGTGCCCCCCCGTAACATATAATAATAATTATTATTATTCAAAGAGTGAACTCCTATTCACGTGGAAGCCTAAAAAAAATTCACTCTTAATCGCCTCCCCCCTTAAAAATCAAATTGCCTCCCCTTGTAGGGCGTGTGCGTGCCCCAGGTTGGGAACCACGGCTTTGAAGCATTTTTGGAGTGGGGGGGGGAATGGGGCAAGTGTTTCTGAGAGCAAGTAATATTGAGCTGTTCTGTAAAATTATTCTCAATTGATATTCAATTGTAAAGATTTTTTTAAAAAAAGAAAATAAAAGAAACACAACTTCTCCTAAATTGTTTCCACAAGTTTGACCACTGGGGTATAGCGGATTGCCCGAGGGGGGCGGAGAAAAAGCCCCGGGGGGGGGCCGGCTTCCCCCTCCGCCATCCTCCCGGGAGGAATTCCGCTTCTCTCGCTTCCCCTCCAGGGGGAGGAAATCAGGAGGTCCCGCCTGCCTTGCCTGCCTGCCTGCCTGGAGCTGCCTCGGCGCAGCTCCGCCCCGTCTGTGGCGTTTGTTTGGGTCTATAAGAAGCCCGCGGTGCTGCGTAACGGCGTCGGGGGGGAAGATGGAGGGCTACTGGTGTTTTCTGGCGCTGCTGGCGTCGGCGCTGCTGCTGGGCTTCTGCTCCGTCGTCTTCGCCCTCGTCTGGGTTCTGCACTACCGCGAGGGGCTCGCCTGGGACGGGGGGAACGCCGAGTTCAACTGGCACCCGGTGCTCCTCATCACGGGCTTCGTCTTCGTGCAAGGGATCGGTGCGTAAAAGCGCGCAAGTTGCAGGGAGCAAGCGGCGCGGTGCCCGCAGGCAGAGCTTTGCGCGCCCCTTGGAGAGGCATCGAGGGGGTGGGAAAGCGCGGGGAATCGGCGTTGGGGGGGGGGGTCGAGAAAGCGGGAGGGGTGCTTCTCTAAACTTCTTTGGAAAGTGTTTATTTGAATATGGTGGGGGGGGATTGTGTACCCTTGAAAACGTTGGCAGCGTTGAGATAAATTCAACAGTGTAAAAGAAGTTTGGACGGATGTAAGAATGGAATACTGAATGGTTTAGTTTATGTATACGCAGGGATTTATGATACCCAAAAGGAACCACGGAAAGAGAAGAAGGGAAGTCACTGATATTTTAAGGAGGTCTAAATGAGCATTCTAAGTTGTAAAACAGAAAATTTAATAAAAATTATACACGGAGAGGAAGGGGGCTGCTTGCATCTCAGCAACAGGGCAGCTGCCCCAAACTTCTGCGGCTGGTTAGAAAGCATTGAAATTTGTTTAGGTGTGTAGCGACAGCAGCTAGGGTTCTTTTTTGGGCAAGGAAGAACTTCCCACGAAAGAAAAATGGATAAGTCAGCTGGCTATGCAGAACTGGTGAAATTAACAGCAAAATCCAGAGCGATGACAAATAGCAACAACAGCAATAATGTTGTTTTTTGTACCCCACCCATCTGACCGGGTTGCCCCAGCCACTCTGGGCGGCTTCCAACAGAGATCACCTCTGACGATGAGTGTTTTATGGAAGAATGGATGCCTTTTTTGGACTGTTAGGAGTACGATGAACTCGCGAGCAGGATTTGATCTATGAACAACAGAAGGGATTCGATTATAGAGGTTATAATTTAATAAACAGAAGGAAGTAAAGTTCAGCAGAAGGGGGGAATCGAAAACTCCATGGAGGACGGGGCGGGAAATTGACACAAATAAGAGAAAAGTCGAACTTGCGTTTTCAGTGAATGTGTTAAAAATGGGGGGGGGGGGGGAGAGAGGAGAAAAAGAAAGTGAATGTGCACTTGCTAAGACTGCGTGGCGACTTGGGAGTAAACCAAAGAAGAAGAAGTTCCATTGAACTGAATGGGGATTGCTGAGTTTTCTTGGAGCTACAGAAGGCTATGTTTTATAACTCTTCAGTTTTGCTGCGTTCAGTTGGCCAGGATTGCAGCCTCAATTTCTTCAGCAAAATTAAGATCGCAGCTGCCACTACTTCTGCTTTTTTCTGCAACAAGTTGAAACTCTTGAAAGCGGCTCTGTTGCACGCAGCCAGAATTGTTAGCACACAGATCAGTCCCAGAGCGCAGGGCTCTTTAAGTATTCCATGTTGCTGAATTCTTGGCTCCCCGCCCCCGGGGGGGGGGGTAAGGCAGAATGCAGAACGCATTCATTGTCCAGAGAACTGTGCAGTGCAAAACATACTTGACTCATTTCTGAGTACTGTAAATGTGATCCAGCAGTGTGCTACAAAAATGCATTCTTCTGAGGCGTAGTCCACTTATTTAATTACACAATCAGTTTCTTATACAACCAGCAAAGAAGAAGAAGAAGAAGAAGCCTTCTATCCCCCACTCCCTCCAATGACTGCATTTTTTGTGGCAGGGTCACAACCACATCTGGATTCCGTCAAGCGTATTCCATTGAGCCAGGAAGGCTTAACATTATCTGTGCTTCCTGTTTACCGATGTTTGACTCACTTGATGTGAACTGAAAAGTGGAATGTTTGAGCCTCCTTGTTTTTCTTTTCATTAGGGGATTGATTTGATTTTGCTTAAGTTGTTTCATCATGTTGTAAATTGGGGGGGGGGGGGGTTTATCTACCATGACTGAGCTGGATAGTGCATGAGCAAGAAAAATAATGTCTTTAAGGTGGGAAACTGGTACATGTATACCCAGAGACTTAATCTGAGTAGATTTGTCTTAAGATTTTAGCCCAAGGCTGTAGATGATAATAGCTGCCTTGGGAGCATTGTGCAGTTGGTAGAAAATTAACACACTCGGGCCTTGACCAGCACATTCCGCAATCCAGCACGCTTGCAAGGATTGCAGTGGAAGGCCATCTGTGGCTACTAGCCATGATTATTATGCTCTCAATAGCAGTTGGAGGCAGTAATACTTAACAATGGCCGTTGCTGAAGACCACAGGAGGGGAGGTTACTCTTGGGGTTGTATCCTGCTTGCAGTTGTATCCTGGTTGGCCACTGTGAAAGCAGGATACTGGTCTAGATGGGCAGCCATTGGCCTGATCCAACAGGCTCTTCTTAAATATTTAAGTTTTTTTTATCTCCCCTGCCCAGCCAAAATTTGTGGCCGAAAACAGGCTGTCCTCACGCAGCCCACTATCAGTAACACTGCATGTCTACTCAAGAAGACGTATCAGGCTCAATAGGGCTTACTCCCAAATAACTGGATAAGATTACAACCTTGAACGTATGTTTTGCATCCATATTGTCTTATTTCTTCGTGCTTCTGTTTTGACTAAGGCTGCAGTCCTACAAAGTTTTATACAGTTACCTTGGAATATGCTCCATTGAAAACACTGAGACTTTTGAGTAGACGTGAACAGTGGTACCTCGGTTTCCGAGCGCCTCGGAAGCCAAACGCAGAGCCGTCTTTCCCATGGGGCTTAGTGGTGCGTCGCGCCAGGGCGCCGGCCTCTCAGGGGCGCCCCAGCAAGTGGGGGAGCTGCGCGGCTTTGCCGGTGGCCTCCCCTTTTCCTGCACGCCCGCCATAATGATGGCGGGTGCAGAACTCCTCCCAAGCCTCTGCGGGGATCACTCTCCCGCAGCGGCATGGGGGAGAGTTGTGGAGGCCCCCGGATGGTTGGCAGTGTGCAGCTACGGCCACCCCAACACTATCCGTGGTAATTTGGGGGCGCTGGGCGGATATTTGCACCCGGCACCGCATCTGCTAAAGACGGCCCTAGCCAAACGTTTTGGTTTTCGAATGCCGAAAACCAGGAAGTAAATGCTTCCATTTTCAAACGCACCTCGGAAGTTGAACGGCTCCAGCTGCGTTTTTTTTCCATTTTCTCCATTTACTTTGCAGACCGCCCTTTGCGCCTGGGTTGTCGAACATTTCGGAAGTTGAACGGTCTTCCGGAATGGGTTACGTACGACAACCGAGGTACCACTGTATATGGTATTGCACTGTAAGTGCAGTTATAGTGCTGGGTTGGTTTCGCGTAATTCTCAAAGCAATTAGTTTTAATAGCATCCGGTAATAAGAGGCACTAAAGCTGGAGAATAAAGACAATATTACAATTCACATTTAAAAGCAAGGGTATTTGCTATGATAGAAAATTGGAAAAAGAAGACATCTACAGTTCAGTCCTGTACAGAAGTCCCACTGAGTTCAGTGAGTTTGGTTGATTGTTTATTTAATTTCTATACCACTTAATATATTAAAAATATTTTAAGCGATGTACAGAGAACTGAAGCAACATCAAACAACTTAAACAAAATATTACAAAAATACACAGTTGCATATAAAAATGTTGCATATATCTATATATATATCAATTCATTTTCCTTCTGACATTTTCCAGTATAGAATTACAACCTTAAGCTTAAAACTGTATGTTATGCTGCAGCATGTCAGTATACTAAGGTAAAGGACCCCTAGACAGTTAAGTCCAGTCAAAGGTGACTGGGGTTGCGGCGCTCATCTCGCTCTCAGGCCGAGGGAGCTGGCATTCGTCCACAGACAGCTTTCTGAGTCATGTGGCCAGCAGGACTAAACCGCTTCTGGCACAACGGAACACCGTGACAGAAACCAGAGCACACGGAAACGCTGCTTATCTTCCCGCCGCAGTGGTACCTATTTATCTACTTGCACTGGTGTGCTTTCGAACTGCTAGGTTAGCAGGAGCTGGGACAGAGCAATAGCAGCTCACTCCGTCACAGGGATTCAAACTGCCGACCTTCTGATCGGCAAGCCCAAGAGGCTCAGTGGTTTTTAGACCATAGCGCCACCCACGTCCCTATGTCAGTATACTATTTAGAACAGGGGTGGGGGAACTTGTGGTTCTCTAGAGCTTGTTAGACTGGAGTTCCCATCAGCTGTAGCCAACATGGTCATTGGTGAGAGATGATGCGATTTGTAATCCAGCAACATTTGGAAAGCCAAGATTTTCCCACCCCCCTATTGATGCTGAGAGGGAAGTGGCAAGTAAGATGAGGAGCAGAGATGATATTAAGAAGTACAATAATCTTATTAATGGTTAGTTCTTTTTTCTCAACTGCGTTTTATTTTTGTCCCCCACTTTTTGAGGGAGCAACACTTTGCTTCCTAATGTTGATTTAAAATTTCTTATTTGGGTACCCATCGCTGCATTGTAAAGGTAAAGGTAAAGGGACCTCTGACCATTAGGTCCAGTCGTGGCCGACTCTTGGGTTGCGACGCTCATCTTGCTTTATTGGCCGAGGGAGCCGGTGTACAGCTTCCGGGTCATGTGGCCAGCATGACTAAGCCGCTTCTGGCGAACCAGAGCAGCGCACAGAAACGCCGTTTACCTTCCCGCCGGAGCGGTACCTATTTATCTACTTGCACTTTGATGTGCTTTCGAACTGCTAGGTTGGCAGGAGCAGGGACCGAGCAACGGGAGCTCACCCCGTCGCGGGGATTCGAACCACCGACCTTCTGATCGGCAAGTCCTAGGCTCTGTGGTTTAACCCACAGCGCCACCTGTGTCCCTATAAAATGGTGTTGAGGTGCAGAGGGGAGTTTGGTAAGCAAACTGACAAGATGCGACATAAAGAAGGTATAACTTGGGTACGAGAGGACAGGGTGACGTAAAGGGAGAGAACTCTTCGCACAGCCTGACAAGACTAAGAATGCCTATCAAGAATGCGGGAAGACAAAGGGAGTATTGAGTTGTAGAAAAGCAGAAGGGTATGTGGAAAATGAAAGAACTTGAACTCTGTCTGTGCATTCCTTTGCAAAAGTCTGTTTTCAGTTCAGCCAGCTTGCCGCAGTTAGGTCACATTATTCTTCAGCTTTAGCAATTGCATTCACCTGAATTACCTGTCGCGTTAGACGCACAGTAATGCAGAACAGCTCACACAACGTAGCTTTTTACGAACGCATATAAAATATTATGTGTGCGCTCGTAAAATTGCAACGTGCAAATCCATTTGTGTGGTTTGTAAGTGGATGTGCCAGGAACAAAAGAATGTGATCTGTCACAGGACTAGGTTTTTATTAGCGTTTGACGCTCTTATGAGAGGAAGCCAAAATGCTTCTAAGAAGGGGGGGGGGGAGCTACGTGGACAGAATTGTGTGCAGCCTTCTTCCTGCCCCAAAATAAAATTATGATACACTTTTTAAGCATCTCTGTGCCTGCTTGCCAAAGGCTTATTAAGCCCCATTAGACTCAACAAGACTTGTTGGCATACAGGCATTCCTATGAGAAGCTGCATGTAAGCACTTAATAGCTGAACTTTCTTTGTTCTTCTGTGTTTAAACTGGTGCTCTTCCCCTCAACCTGTTGAAAACAAGGCTACCATATTTCCAGTCTGAATGTGCTTTTCTTCAACTCCTGGCGGGGGGGGAGAAAAAGCTGTGAAATTGCAGAAAGGTTGTGTACAGTTGACTTGAAAAGACGTCTTCAAATGTCAATATTGTGCTTCCTATAGCATAGGGAAATATACATTGGTTCCAGTTCCAGGACATTCCATTTAGGAACAGAGTTTTCTTTATGACTTATATAGTGGATGTGTAGACCTTGGCATGCGCTGTACATAAATTAGAATGTTTTATAAGGCTATAGAGCCTTAAAGGTGATGTTGTTCATAGCAAGCAACTGCTGTTTTCACCCCTTCTTCCTGAACTGGCTTTTTCCTGGCCAGGTGACTGGAGAAGAGTGGGGAAAATAGATTGGGTTTAGTCCTTCTACACTGACATGCCACTTCAGGAAATCTCAGTTGCCTCCGCCTCCAAGGAACTATAGATAATAAAGTTGTAGGAAGGTTAGGTTTCTTTGTGTCTTTACCACACTGCTAGCCAATTGCTAGTTTGACAATCCACACTACACATTTAAATCATATTCTCCCCCAAAATGCCAGGAACTGTAGTTTACCCCTCACAGAGCTATTTCCAATACCTTTAACAAACGACAGTATCCAGAATTATTTGGGGAACACATGTGCTTTCAATATGCATTGAGTAGCTCAGTCAGTCGGTAGAGCATGAAAAACTGAATCTCAGAGTTGAGAGTTTGAGCCCTTACATTGGGCAAACGATTCCTGCATTGAAGGGAGTTGGACTAGAGGATCCTTGTGATCCCTTCCAACTCAACAATTCTTTGATTCTCAGATGTTGCTGGACGCCCAGCTTCCTTCAGCCTCGGCCAGTGTGGCCCAATGATCAGGGAATTCCCCGTTTCTGGAGTTAAAAGAGTTAGTGGCATCATGGAAGGAATGGGCCAAAGTTAAGTGACGTCTCAGCTTGGCATGTTCCATTGCTGCATAACATGGCTTATTTAGCAGGAAGCATCACAGGAATTTCATACTGTGCCACGTGAAAATCTGGTACTCCTCTTGAGCAAGTTTTGGCTTTCGAAGAGGGAGCGCCTTCTTGAGCCAGGCGTCCCTAGCTAAATCCTCAAAAGCTGATATGTACAATTTGAATAACACGAGAACGGCCTTTAACATTCTGGGGAGGGAAAATAGTTTTCTAAAAAATTCTGAACTCTTCCCTTTCTTTCTCCATCTCTAGCAATCATCGTGTACCGGTTACCGTGGACCTGGAAATGCAGCAAATTCTTGATGAAATTAATCCATGCTGGGTTAAATACCATCGCTCTGGTGCTTGCAGTTATTGCTCTGGTGGCTGTTTGGGATTTCCACAATGCCAAGAGTATTCCCAACATGTACAGTCTGCACAGTTGGATCGGACTGACTGCTGTCATTTGTTACGCTCTGCAGGTTAGACACCGTTTATAAACGGCACTTAAAGAGGTGGAATAAGTTGTTCTGTCTTATCTTTATTAACAGTATGTTTGCACAGCCGAACGGCCTCTGTTTGAATCGCTTTAATTGGGCACTTTGTATTTACCACAAAAATGCAACAGTTTGTAGGTAGGTAAGCCAAACTCCGTGTGTTCATTGTGAGCAGAATAGATTATGTAAAAATGTGCAAGTTTTCTTTAGGCAGGCTAGATTCTCAGTATACAAATTCGTTCATTTCAAGCACTTTTTTAAAAGATGCTTTCCCCCTGGTAATCAAGCAACACCTGGGCTGGGGGTGAGGGAGAAAGAAAGAAATAGTTTGCAAGCATCTTGGAATTGACACCACAGGATGCCATTGAATAGGAAAAACAAGATTAAAAAATCTATCCATTTCAGTCTTTTCAGGGGAGAGGGGCATTGAAATGATTTCCAAGTACTAAGCCACCATGCTAAAGAGGAAACAGCATTCTGTATGCAGGGTAAAAATAGATTTTATGCAAAGTCATTGTGTGGGTTCCTGTTCAAACGTTCGCGATTCCTTTGCCTTTCAAAAGTAAAAATCTGCCCTGGGTTCAGACAGTTTCCCCTTCCTCCACCTCATAGTGGATGGTACCAGGTGTATTTCATATAAGCCCGTACCTGAGGTGGTTTAGAATGTGAAATATACTCGGAGTCGAGGGTAGATTTCATGCTCTTTATTCAGCTCATAGTGGTGAGGAGGAATGGAAGTTCCCCCAGAATGTCTGCTTTATATACATTATTTACACAATGGGCCCCACGTGATTGGCTAATTCCGGGATTCTCCTGTAGGCCAAGCAGATTGTGGATTCACTTCCACCTGGAGCTGGATTGGGTGGCTCCTGTGGACCAATCAGACTGCTGCATTCTGTATCCTATTGTTCTAGGACCAATCAGACTGCTGCATTCTGGATCCTATTGTTCTAGGACCAATCAGATTGCTGCATTCTGAATCCTATTGTTCTAGGACCAATCAGACTGCTGCATTTTGGATCCTATTCAACTCAGTACATAACAGAATGGTTCTTTAAAATGGTAGACGAAGGAAGAGAAATGTTTGATTCAGTGTGAAGCTCTGCAGCAGTAACAGGGAGCCTGTGGCTCTCTAGTCAGTGTTGGGCTACAGATTCCTTCAGCCTCGGCCAGCATTTTCAGGGATAATAGGAGATGCCCTTCGGATGCCCTGCTGATCTACCAGAGGACCCCCACCCCTATTCTAAAGCTCCCATATAATGGAAATTCTTCAGGAACACTTGAAAGGTGAAGGGAAACCCAACGGTAGGAGCTTAAAAAGCAGTGGGGGCCTGGACACAAGATAGCCACTGAGATTCAGAAGTAAGCCTCAAATATCGATGGGGCCTGAATCAATTCCGGCTATTGGGATTTCTGGTAAAGTTGCCTGACGCCACTGTTCACAGAAGATAAGAGCTCACCAGCGCTGCGTTTCCTCATCCTTTGGAACTCTCTTCTTAGAGAATCAAGACTGGCTCCTTTTCCTTCCACCTGCAGGTGAAGACTGTTTTATTCCTGCAGGGTATTGGGAACTGGCTGCTTTTAAGGAAAGGGCTTTTAAGAGTGCTGTGCTGTTTTTATCCGTATTTTAATGGGTTTGTTTTTATATCCGTTTAACTTTGCTACATTTTAAATGCTTTCTAAGCATCAGCTTTTATATGTGTTGTTAGCTTTCTGTGTTTTATTCATATTTGCTTTAATTATTGTGAGCCGCCTTGAGTCCTGGTTCTGGGAGAAAGGCGGGATATAAATAAAATAATAATAATAATAATTTATTATTTATTCCCCGCCCATCTGGCTGGGTTTCCCCAGCCACTCTGGGTGGCTTCCAACAAAACACTAAAATACAATAACCTATTAAACATTAAAAGCTTCCCTAAACAGGGCCGCCTTCAGATGTCTTCTAAAAGTTTGGTAGTTATTTTTCTGTTTGACATCTGGTGGGAGGGCGTTCCACAGGGCGGGTGCCACTACCGAGAAGGCCCTCTGCCTGGTTCCCTATTACTTGGCTTCTCGCAGCGAGGGAACCGCCAGAAGGCCCTTGGCACTGAACCTCAGTGTCCAGGCAGAACGATGGAGATGGAGACGCTCCTTCAGGTATACTGGGCCGAGGCCGTTTAGGGCTTTAAAGGTCAGCACCAACACTTTGAATTGTGCTTGGAAATCTACTGGGAGCCAGTGTAGGTCTTTCAAGACCGGGGTAATATGGTCTCGGCGGCCGCTCCCAGTCACCGGTCTAGCTGCCGCATTCTGGATTAGTTGTAGTTTCCGGCTCACCTTCAAAGGTAGCCCCACATAGAGCGCATTGCAGTAGTCCAAGCGAGAGATAACTAGAGCACGCACCACTCTGGCGAGACAGTCTGCAGGCAGGTAGGGTCTCAGCCTAATCCACAGAGTGAATGCAACACAGCGAGTAGCACCGTTTTGTGTGTTTTTCGCCCCACATTGTTCGCCACAGCAGCTGTGTGGTGGGACCTACTTTGAGGATGAAAGCGCTCGCTCTTTGTGCCCACTCAAAACTGGTCTGTCAGCTCCATGGATGAGTGCCCAGCTTGCTTGTGTTGCGGCTGGCTCTTTGGTTTGGAGGTGCACACAAGGAATGCGCCGGCTTGGATTTTAGCTGACGAGGGCTTTGTTTATTTGCTTAGGGAGACGTTTCAAGACAGCTGGGACGAGCGAAGTAACCCATCGACAAATAACATGTTCAACTGCCCTCATTTCATGCTTGCTAAACAACATATCAGAATAATAAGCAACAGAGCAGTTGGTTCTTAGGCAGACAATCCTTATTTAAAACCATTTTTAAGATTAAATAAATATGTTCTTGTTTTCTTTAATATCTTGAAATGACCTCATCTTCTCTGTTGTGTAAGATGATGAGCATTTAAAGTGAACGTGTAGCATTTTCAGAAATATGCAACCTTAGCTCCATACATGATGGCGATATTTTGCCAACAAGTTAAGAGCTCTGGTCTTAAACGATATAGTTTTAATGAGCTTAAGCATTACTGTCACCTTTCTTTAATCACTATTTAGATAAGTTGAATCTGTTTCTGGGTATGGTCACTGTTTGGTCTAGAGGTTTTCAGTGCCTTCCACATAAAAGTACAGCTAAGAAAACTACATTAAATATTTCTTCCCTAACGTCCTTTACATCAGATGTCAAGGAAATAAACAACTAGCTGACTTTTAGAAGACATCTGAAGGCAGCCCTGTTTAGGGAAGTTTTTAATGTTTGATGTTTTAGCGTGTTTTTAAGATTCTGCTGGGAGCTGCCCAGAGTGGCTGGGGAAACCCAGCCAGGTGGGTGGAGTATAAATAATAAATAGTAATTATAATTAATACCCCTATTTTTGCCTGCCCATTTGTGGAGCAGCATCCTTGTTGAGATACAGCAGGCTTCCACTATTAGCAATTTCCAGAAACAACTTAAATGTTTGTGGGGGTTTTGCTTTTTTGGCCAGGTTGGGAATTGGGTCTCTTTTTTGCTTGGATGATGGCTTGTATTGTGTTTAAATCTACTTTTAGGTGTGTGTGTTTCTATTGCATGATTGTAAATATTGTCAAAATATATATGAAAGGCGATTCATAAACCATAATAGTAGTAATAAATCCCTTTAATATACCGTATTTTTCACCCCATAGGGCGCACCGGCCCATAGGGTGCACCTAGTTTTGGCGGGGGGAATAAAGAAAAAAAATTATTTCCCTCCCCAGGCGCAGGGCTGGGGCGGGGGAAGCCCGAGCTTCCCCCGACCCCAGCCCCCAGAACAGGCTGCTCTCCGCAAGCCGTGGGAGCCTGGCGCGACTTCCAGACTTCCTAGGGAGCCCGCTGCGCGGCCCAGGCTTTGAGATGCAGGCAGCTCTCCGCAAGCTGTGGGAGCCTGGCGGGAACTCCCGCGGGCTCCCAAGGCTTGCAGACAGCTTCCTGAAGCCTGGAGAGCGAGAGGGGTCGGTGCGCACCGACCCCTCTCCCTCTCCAGGCATCAGCGAAAGCCTGCATTCGCCCCATAGGATGCACACACATTTCCCCTTCATTTTTGGAGGGGAAAAAGTGCGTCCTATAGGGCGAAAAATACGGTAATTATGGGGAACATTATATTTCCATTACAGCTTCCAAAACATATTCCAGTAGTTGTTGGGCTTAGAACATTTTTATCACATGTGATGAAACAGCCTGGAGGTTTTAAAAAATCAAGTTATAGGAAACATAGACCTTAGCTTGCTGCTCTGCTTCTGTCCTTCTTCCTTGTAGTGTTTATAGGCAGACTAGGGAGCAAGTGAATTCCATCGGACGTAGGACCGGGAGCGGCCAGCTCACTACCGAAAATTATTTTCCCTCTTTTGCACTGTTCATCTTGCTTTGCCTGTTCATTAAAAAGAAAGACTTGGAAATGAGTCACACCCACTCCTAATTTGATATTTTACCCTTCTGTCTGGTTCTCGTTTGCTTTTCTGCTCTACAAGGCAAGAGGGCATAACTCTGCTTTGCATTGCTTGGGCTTCTGGCTCCACATTTGAACAGCATCCTCCTCTTGGCTTCTGTCTGTATTGCATGCGTGTTTGACAGTTTATGCATCTCAGTAGGCTCTGGCCCACGGAAATTTATGCCGCAATTAATTGGATATTCTTTAAAGCGCCGCAGGACTCCTTGGCTGAGTTAGCATGGAAGGGTAAGCCAAACTGGGACTTATCTTGAACATGTGAGTGGGTGCGCTCCCAGAGAATATATCATGGCTGCTTCAATCCTTTTCCTTAAATTTTTTTTTTTTTTCAGTTTTACAATTACTGTATTGGTCCAAATATAAGCCTCACCCAAATATAAGCTGCACCTTTAAAATTAAAAGGGGGAGGAGAGAGAAAGACAATGCCCTAATACAGGGATCAGCAAACTTTTTCAGCAGGGGGCCGGTCCACTGTCCCTCAGACCTTGGGGGGTGGACTGTTTTTTGGGGGGGCGGGGGAATGAATGAATTCCTATCCCCAACAAATAACCCAGAGATGCATTTTAAATAAAATCACACATTCTATTCATGTAAAAACACTAGGCAGGCCCCACAAATAACCAAGAGATGCATTTTAAATAAAAGGACACATTCTACTCATGGAAAAACATACTGATTCCTGGACCGTCCGGGGGCCGGATTGAGAAGGCTATTGGGCCAGATCCAGCCCCCGGTCCTTAGTTTGCCTAAAAAGGTAAAGGTACCCCTGCCCGTACGGGCCAGTCGTGTCTGACTCTAGAGTTGTGCGCCCATCTCACTTCAGAAGCCGGGGGCCAGCAATGTCCGGAGACACTTCTGGGTCACGTGGCCAGCGTGACAAAGCTGCTCTGGCGAGCCAGGACCAGCGCAGCACACGGAAACGCTGTTTACCTTCCCGCTATAAAGCGGTACCTATTTATCTACTTGCACTTAAGAGTGCTTTCGAACTGCTAGGTGGGCAGGAGCTGAGACCGAACGACGGTTAGTTTGTCTACCCATGCCCTAATATAAGCCACTTGCTTAAAATTCTGCAGGCACTCGCACCCGTTCTGTTTTACCGTATGTCTGTTTCAGCAGCGATATCGTAAAAGCCCATTTTTGTAAGGTCGCGAATTTAAGCCGCACTTTCAACTTTTCACAGTCAGAATTTGGGGGGGGGGGTGAGGCATAAGTGAGGTACGTCATTTCCCACTCTTGTACAGTAGTTATTTTAGTCCTTCTGTTTGTGTTTAAACAACATATACCAGTAAAATAACTTGCTCTTTCTGTGTAGCTTGTTCTAGGTGTTGCTGTCTTCCTGCTTCCCTTTGCTCCCGGTTCTCTTCGGGCAACCTTGATGCCAATTCATGCTTATTTTGGCCTTCTAATCTTCGGAACGGTGATTGCGACAGCCCTCATGGGATTCACAGAAAAACTTATTTTTGCTTTGTAAGTATTTTTTATTTACGCCGTCGTAGATAAAAAAAGGTCTTGGTGTTTTTCTTGTTTGGTCTCAAGCGCTGCTCTTATAACAGCTTTCTTTTTCCAGATCGAGCCCTGGATATCAATATAAAGATTCTCCCCCAGAGGCCATCTTTGTCAACGTTCTTGGTGTTCTGATCTTGGTCTTTGGTGCTGTTGTTTTGTGGATGGCAACAAGGCCCCACTGGAAGCGCCCGCAGGAGCCGGATTTGAAAATCTCTCACCGAAACGGAGGAACGCTTGACAAAGAGGGATCGACTATGACGGACTGCAGCAACGCGGAGAAGTCTGACGTGGAGTTCAACAGCGAGGCAGCCAGGAAACGCAACCTGAAACTGGACGAAGCTGGTCAGAGGTCAACCATGTGAAGGTGTTGGGAGCTACAGCCGTACATCTCTCAATACCAAAAGGGCTATTTTTCTCCCTCGCCTCTTTAGCTGTGCAACAACACAATATATATTGCTTGCTTAGTGCTACGGGGATATTCATTGATGACGAGGCGGCAAGGACTTTGATTCTAGAAGAACTCGTGTTTATTGGTCAGTTGTTCTGAATGTAACTTTTCATTGACATGGGGCTGGAATGAAGCATGTCAGTTTTCCGCTGGTACAAGGCCTGTTGTCTTGGCAAATCTCTTTGAGGAGCAGCTTGCCAGTGTGGTGCTCCATTCCTTCCCATATTTTGGGGGTGAGCAGATCCTAAAACCATCGCCATGACAATTTTATCACTAAAACCAATAAAACGTTAGGGTGTTTGTAACGGAAGGGTCTCTAGAAAAATGGCTATAAACCAGTTAGGAGAAAAATAGCACAGGTATTGAAAGAGAGGAAATGTTTTGGGGGGCAGACATCGCATAAAGATTTGCCAAAATGATTACAATCTTCCTATGAGTGTTGCTCATATCAGCCCTTATAGTCTCAGAGGTGCAATCAGAGTTCTGTTTGTGCCGTTCCAGGTTATCTTACACAACTGGCATGGCAACATCTAACTCCTCCATCCCTTGATTTCACACAAGCTTTGGTGTTTAGGTTTTTTTTTTACATTGCACACTTCATCTCATGTTAAACCACATAATTTGCACCCTAACAATATTGGAGGGCACAGTCCATCAAGCCACGGCTACCAAGAGTGTTTCTGCACAACAGTGTGAAATTGATATAGGCTGCTCAGCCACTGTGTTTGGATTAAAATGGTCCCTTGACTCCAGTGGGACAAAAATCCAATATAAGTGGAAGGATGTTTGCATCCTAAAGCAGTCCTCTTCAAAACACTTTGGAATATTGACCTCTTAAAGGCACTGGTAGAACTATGTTCAATAACTGTAAGAAGAATGATGACATGCTTTGCACACTTTTCGCTATAGGAAAACTTTATGCAAAAGCATTTTACCTTTAGTTTACAGCCTGCACTTTGTAACTTTACAAAAAAAAACAAAGCCCTCGCCACGGTCACATTATTACAGTCAATATTCTAATTCTCCAAAATAAATTCATTTGGCACAGCACACAGACGAGTAACTACTTCCCGTTTATATGCCAAATAGCAATCTGACGATACGGTACCCTCATTCAGCTAAACAAACCATAATGCTATTTATTTAAAGAGCTGGCTGCTATTTATAGTTGCATCATTTGTTAAAGGGTCTTCTTTATAAGAGCTGCAGTTTCTATTTTTTTTTTAAATGATATTAAGAATTTTAAAATTACAAGAAAAACAAAAAGAAAAAGAAAGAAAAAACAAAAGAAAAACAAACCACAGTCAAGCAATACAAATTGATAAAAATCAAAATCAAAAAGTAACAACAAAACACATAACACATGACAATCCAAAAGCAAAAATAAACCACAAAAATTTAAAAACAAATCCAATATTCCAAAATCCTTAACTGTCATTGCCTTATTTCATCGACCTCCTCACTCGTCCCTTTTTTGTATCCTAGTTGTTAATTATCACAGCAAATCCTTTCCATTTTTCATAATATTCTGTCATTAAATTACCTTAATCTATTTTAACCTTATCTTACTATAAAAGACCCTAAAACTTAAAACTTATATCTTATTTATATCAGTTTCTCATAACCATAACATATTCTTACATAATTCCTTTAACATTTTTGCTAAAGCCAAATGATTTCGTTCCAACATTTTTCTAACATTCATCAATTTTATAAAACAATCCTAATAAAAAATTTTTAAAAAAAACTTTCATCCAATCTTCATCCAGCGTCTCTTCCTCCTGGTCCCGGGTTTGTCAGTCCTTTCTATCCCATCAATCTAGCTCATTAACCTGGTAATCTTATGTCCGAGGCCCTTAAGTCTCTTCCATGTCCCTTCCGCAGCTCTTCTTCATATTTATACCTGTACTTTACTTTGTCTCCTGCTCCTTTCACTCGTGGAAACTCCAACTTGACAGTGTTTTGACCCTTCTCGACAAATCAGCCCCTTTTCCATAGTCCACACTAAACTCCATGTGGTATTTAAAAACATGTTTCAAAATCCCTCCAGAATTAAGAGCCCCCACAACCCCAAACATCTCACGGTCCATTGCCAGACTTGGAAAGTCAAAACATCCCTGCATAGGGGGGTCTATCCAACCCCCCATTTCCAAACCAAACAAAACTCTATCTCTCCAAGCCTGGCTTTTTCCAAGTTCATTTGTCAAATCCAACAACTCGTGTTCCTGCTGGGCCACAGCTCCCTGCATCTCTGGCGCCCAAGATCCAGCAACATCCTCTTCCCTCATCTGATCTGTCAGAGCACACTCCTGATTTGATTCCAAGCTGCAGTTTCTAAGAGATCCGGGGAGGGAAGGAGGTTACAAAGAAAACGCCTTGGAATTGAAACCGGAACCTTTATCATGGACACATTAGGGAATGTTACATAATTTTGTAAAATGTAAGGAAGCCAGCTTCACTCTAGGTAATGCTAAGCAGTATATTCAGCAGTTATTTTTAAGATCTCGGGCTAGCTTCAATTCTGAAAGCACTATGCTGAGATTTTCCCAAAAGGAGTAGTGATTCTGGAATGATTTCTTAGGGCATTGGGATATAACCGGAAATCTATGGAAGCTTGTTGACTGTTGTACATATATGTTGTAAATTGTCAGTACAGTCATACCTCGGGTTAAAGACGCTTCGGGTTAAATCTTTTCAGGTTGCGTCCCACGGCAACCCGGAAGTAACGGAATGGGTTACTTCCGGGTTTCGCTGCTTGTGCATGCACAGACGCTCAAAATGACGTCATGTGCATGCGCAGAAGCGGCGAATCGCAACCCGCAGGCGCAGGTTGCCTTCTGCTCAGATTGCGAACGGGGCTCCGGAACAGATCCTGTTCGCAGCCAGAGGCACCACTGTATCTGCTGATGTGATTTTACAGAAAATTGCATCCGGACCGTCAGGGCCAAATCTGCTGTTTGTGTCTCTTCGTTATAAAAATTCTCTGGTATTGTTTATGGCTCAAAACTGAAACATGCTGGTTTTCATTGTGTAAAGAAAAGGCTTTTATATTTTGTACTACCCTGTTCTACTGAATTCTAATGAAAATCAGCACTTGTCTGTGAATGAACAGAGCTGATCGGAAGCTAAGCTGGATACGTGCATGCCCATCTTCTGACCAGGCCTACTGGGGGAAAGAGTGAACAACCTCTGTGAATGGCCTGTTCTGGAAACCTTTCTGCAGCCCTTGTTAGCAATGCAATGGGAAGCGAGCCTGAGAGAAGTCTTAGCATACATAAACAATCCCTTTGCCCCCCATGGCATGTGACCGTGGTTGGGTGTCACGTGATAGAGGGTGTGGCCATATTCTTTCTCACACTCTCATTTCCTTTGGTTTTATATGTAAGCCCAGGACATCCATCATGATGAGCTTCCATATCATCAACTTTTGAAAAGTGAACTTCCTGAACAGATCAGTCTGTTAATGTTCGGTGTGGTGTTCGTGGCCAAGCTAATACCATCTCATGCCTGTTCAGCAAGCTGTGCAATAGTTTGGTAAGCTCTGGCTCTGGCAGTGTCAAAAAATGTTGAAAGTTGTATTATGCTAGCCCTCGTTATTTTGAAAAACTTATATGGCTGCAATATTGTTTTTTATTATATCAATGGCTGCCTTATTTCATAAAATCAGTAGCTGAAGGTATGCTTCTCATTAAGTATATTTAAGAAGATACATAGGGTATTGTAAATAAGAATAAGCAGTGTATATTGGTAATGATAACTTGGCTCTTATAGAAGGAAATGGAAATATTTTGTAATTTCCTAATTACCAAAGATGTTGCGTTTTTAAAAAATGCATTTGAATATATTCCATTTGCAGAGCTTATTTTGCAGAGCAAAAGGGGGGCAAATGTTTTGTTACGTTTCCTTTTTTATATTGCAATAAAAGTTATGAAGTCTTACGTTCAGTGTATTATGTAGTCCCATTATGTTGGGGGTATGGATCGCCAAGCTTTTAAATATAGCATGCAAGTAACATGGCTTGGTGTGATGTGTATGAACTGCAGCAGGTCTCTGGCATGCACACTGCTCCTTCCACACAAAGGGAAAAGTAACTGGGGCTTTTACTTTTATTTTTTATTAGCTACAGTAGGTCCTGGCACCTACTGTGACCAGTTGCTGTTAACACTATGGTCAGTTAACAGCAGTTCAAACAGTGGTTTGAAGCTGGTTTCTTCAAAACAATTAGCGGTAACCACAGGCAAACTGTGGTAGACTAAAACTGAAATGAAAAGCTTTCTAAATCATTCTCCATGCTGCTTGGGGGGTGGCGGTGTGAGGTTCATCTTTCTTACATGTTTATTTCCAAAGATTTCTCTTGAAAACCTTCTGCAACAGGCTTGCTTGTTTGTCCCGTTCCGCTAGTGGAATATGGCAACAGGCACCTATTTCAAAACCAGTCCACATCCAGAAATAGATTTCCATAGGTGGATCAACACTCCAACCCAGCACAGTGATTGGTGGGCTGTGAAAAAGCAAACATATGGTCCCACGGAGGACCTTACGGTCTTCAGACAAAAACATCTTGGAGGCCCCAGGCCACAGGGAGGTTAGGCTGGCCTCAACCAGAGCCAGGGCTTTTTCGGCTGTGGCCCCGACTTGGTGGAACGCTCTGTCACAAGAGACTAGGGCCCTGCAGGACTTGACATCTTTCCACAGGGCCTGCAAGACAGAGCTGTTCCACCAGGCCTTTGGCCAAGGCATAGCCCGACCCCCTCCTTTGGTAATCCTCACAGAACTCTAGCCCAATGGTTGCCATTAATTAGATTTGAACTGATTTTACAATGAATTGATTTTAGAATGCTGCATTATTTTACTGTTGTTAGCTACTCTGAGCCCGGCTTCGGCTGGGGAGGGCGGGATATAAATAACATTTTATTATTACCGTATTTTTCGCCCTATAGGAGGCACCGGCCCATAGGACGCACCTAGTTTTTTTGGGGGGGGGGATAAAGAAAAAAAATCCCCCCCAGCCGCGGCTGCAGCGCACCCCGCGCAGCAGGCTGCTATCCACAGCCTAGGGAGCCCTGCAGGAACTCCCGCAGGCTCCCCAGGCTTGCTGATAGCTTCCTGAAGCCTGGAGAGCGAGAGGGGTCGGTGCGCACCGACCCCTCTCGCTCTCCAAGCTTCAGCGAAAGCCTGTATTCGCCCCATAGGATGCACACAGATTTCCCCTTCATTTTTGGAGGGGGAAAAGTGTGTCCTATAGGGCGAAAAATACGGTATTACTATTATCTAGGCTTGGGAGCCCTAAGTGCTTATTGCCAGTTGGTGACTGCTCTTGGCTCTAATGCCACAGGGAAGCAGGGCAAGAGAGGAGTGCTGGATTCAGTCAGACACACAGCCCAAAGCGATGCCCATACTGCTGCATTTGAAATTTGAAATACTTTATTGTCACTTGTACAACTTGCATACAGTGAGATTACACGAGCACCTCCCACTCAGCTCTCTTAGTCTTAATTCCCCTCGTTTACTGACACACACACCAAACCCAAAAGTCAGTTGCCCTGTTGTTATCTTTTCATTCAGCAGCCTAACAGCCCACACATAGAAGCTGTTCTTTACCCTACTGGTGGGACTAATCATGCTTCTATATCTTCTGCCCGAGCGCAGGAGATAAAGAAAGTGCCGGCCAGGGTGTGAATCATCCCTGAGAATTTTCCTCACTCTCCTGAGGCAACGTTCTTCTGCTATGTCATCCAGTGGATTCATGGGACAGCCCATAATATCTTGTGCTGTATTCACCACCCTCTGTAGGCACTTCTATTAGTTGATGTCAAACCAGCGTACCACACTGTGATGCAGTTTGAAAGGACACTTTCTATTGTGGACCGGTAGAAGGAGATCATCAAATGTTGATCAGCATCGTTTTTTCGCAATACTCTGAGGAGATGGAGGTTTTTTGCAGGTTCTTGGGAGATGACAAGGGGAAGCTTGCTTTGATATCCCTCAGAGCTACCTCTGCACCAAGTACATAAGCACTCAAGCAAATGGATGTAAGGACTGCAAACGTTCAATTCCGATTGAATAGCTCAGCTTGCGTATTCCTTCTGGACACAAAATGTCCGAAGGCAGAGTTTGAACTAGGAGAACTTTCTGTACCTGCCTCCCTCCCTGAGATTGCTTGGGCTGGAGAGGCATGTGGATGCCTGCACTCTTGACCCATAGAGATCCCCAGTAAATAGCAGCAGGTAAACTATGGCTCAATTACCGTATTTCTCGCTCTATAAGACACACCAGACCATAAGACGCACCTAGTTTTTGGAGGAGGAAAACAAGAAAAAAAATATTCTGAATCCCAGAAGCCAGAACAGCAAGAGGGATCGCTGCGCAGCTATCCCTCTTGCTGTTCTGGCTTAGCCACGCGAAGCCTCTTCAGGGCAGCGGGATGAAGGCTACCTGGGCCCGGAAGAGGCTGCGCGGGGCTAAGGCAGAAGCCAGGACAGCGAGAGGGAGTGCTGCGCAGTGATCCCTCTTGCTGTTCTGGCTTCAGTGGTGTAGTGGTTAAGAGCAGTAGTCTCGTAATCTGGGGAACTGGGTTTGAGTCTCCGCTCCTCCACATGCAGCTGCTGGGTGATCTTGGGCCAGTCACACTTCTTTGAAGTCTCTCAGCCCCACTCACCTCACAGAGTGTTTGTTGTGGGGGAGGAAGGGAAAGGAGAATGTTAGCCGCTTTGAGACTCCTTAAAGGGAGTGAAAGGCGGGATATCAAATCCAAACTCTTCTTCTTCTTCTTCTTCTTCTTCTGGGATAGCTGTGCAGCCTACATTCGCTCCATAAGACGCACACACATTTCCCCTTACTTTTTAGGAGGGAAAAGGTGCGTCTTATAGAGCAAAAAACATGGTGTGTAAGATGTTCATTGCATGCCTTTAGGGTCCGCCAGCAGGTAAGACAGGGTAGATAGAGGTTGTGGATATCTAGAGGCACGCAAGTGCTTCAAAATTCCCTTAGGTATTTATTTACAGTACATATGACACATCTGTACAAATACCAGGATAATTGATTTGTTGCTGGTGGTTGGAAAATTTGTTCTTTCATTGTTTTTGTAATATGGAAAATAAGTCAAAACATTTTTTTAAAAAATCCCTGAGGGTAGTGTAGAACTTGAGCAAATACAGTCAAACCTCGGTTCCCGAATGGCTCCATTTTGGAACGTTTCGGCTCCCGAATGCCAAAAACCCAGAACTAAATGCTCTGGTTTTTGAACGTTTTTCGGAAGCCGAACGTCTGACACAGGTTCCGCTTGAGTGCAGGAAGCTCTTGCAACCAATCGGAAGCTGCACCTCGGTTGTCGAACATTTCGGAAGCCGAACGGGCTTCCAGAACGGATTACGTTCAACAACCGAGGTTTGACTGTAGCGGAGAGCCCTAACCTCAAACCAGATAGGTCAATTCATCTTTCATAGTTCCTCCAAGACTCCATCCTATATATCAGGGTCAGCAAACTTTTTAAGGAGGGGGCCAGTTCACCGCCCCTCAGACCTTGTGGTGGGCCGGACTGCATGCAAACACACACACACACACACACACACACACACACACACACGGCAGAGGGGGCATCTTCTCACCTCAGCCCCTCACCCTGATTTCCTACCTCCTCAGTCGCTCTGCCGGCGTTGGGAGCCAGCGGTGGTGGCGGTGCCTCTCCTTTCAGGGCCAGCTTTCCCAGGCGCCAGGTGTGGGGCCAGCAGGCGTGCCAAGCTCCAGCTGAAGCCCCGCGACGCGCCCATCACGATGCCCACAGCACAGCCATGGACGGAGAGGCAGGCGGCGAGGCTTCGGATTGGCTGGCACCAATCAAAGCCCAGCTCCCTTCCTCCACAGGGCAGGGAGAAGCCAGGAGGGAGGAGGTGCTTCCGTGGTGGTGGGGGGAGGCGCCCCCGCAAAAAAAGTTGCAAAAAAATAATGGTGCTGCCTGAACGATCATGCTGATCCAAGCAGCAATTCCAGGACCATCCGTGGGCCAAATCCAGAGGGCAATTAGGCCAGATCCAGCCCGCGGACCTTAGTTTGCCAACCCATGCTTTATATGTAAAGGTAAAGGGACCCCTGACCATTAGGTCCAGTTGTGGCCGACTCTGGGGTTGCGGTGCTCATCTTGCTTTACTGGCCGAGGGAGGTGGTGTACAGCTTCCAGGTCATGTGGCCAGCATGACTAAGCCGCTTCTGGCAAACCAGAACAGCGCACGGAAACGCCTTTTACCTTCCCGCCAGAGCGGTACCTATTTATCTACTTGCACTTTGACGTGCTTTTGAACGGCTAGGTTGGCAGGAGCAGGGACCGAGCAACGGGAGGTCACGGGGATTCGAACCGCCGACCTTCTGATCGGCAGGTTCTAGGCTGAGTGGTTTAACCCACAGCGCCACCCATGTCCCATGCTTTTATGTATATAACTTATATAACTGCATTCTGATATTGGCAACTTCCTAATGATCCCCAACGTGGAATTAGACTCCCCCAACCGCAGTTGAACACTGGGTCAAAGTTTTCATTGGGCTATGCACCCCAGCCCCAAGATCTGTGTGCCAAAGCTTAACATCAACTTTGAACAGCTTTGAGTGTTGTTTTGTAATTAATGAGAATGGACTATGAAAGGCAATGCAACAATGTTATGATCTTCTTATCAGCTGAAGAACTCATTAGCTTGCTTTTCAGCGTGAGAGAACAAGAGAGCAAAGCGAGGCTTTGGGGATGCTGTAATGTGTAATAGTTTTCTCATTGATTGCTTTTCCTGCAACGCTCTACCTTGTCTGCGATCCGCATTCTGGCTTATTTCCATACACTGAAATGAATGTTCGCCATCACACAGCAAGAAATAAAAAGAAAAGGAAATACAACAATAAAACTCTGCAGTGAGCAAGCAGTAGAGATTTTCATTCCAGCAGCAGTATTTGGCA